GTTTTTTGTAATGATTTATAAACCTAGGATTCACATCTAGAGTTCGAAAGACTTCAACGAAAATGTGTGCAGACAGACAGATACATGTGCTGGAAACTTCATGAGACTTTCAAGTCTCAATAAGGTTGTGCCGATGATCAATAGGCTAAATAAAGGTAACGTTGCACTTTAGAAGACAGTTAGATGCTTTAAACAGGAAGTCTTAACCTACGAAGCTAGATGCTTATCCCAGACGAGAGGGGTGACGTTTGGCGTAGCCGCGCGACCGAGGTGAACATGTGTTTCCCGAGTGATTAACTATGATTAAGCTCGCGTGCCACGCCACGTCGCTACTATTTTTGAATTTCTCATCTACAACCTTCTTCAGACGTCATGCAATGTCTCATAAACATGTATTCTACTCACTTTCGTCCGGACGAGCTTTAAGATTCTGATTGGATACTGAAGTGGATGACTTCATCATGGATCAGTCGACATCGGCTATCAGAAGGTTTGACTCCGAAGACTTTCATCATCGTCAACAGTTTCTTGGACGAAAGGATATTGGGGTAGCGCTGGCCCTCATCATTCGTAGGTTGGTTACCCAGGAGGCGAGGTGTCTTCACCGACGGGTAGAGACGCCGCTTCGACTGCAGTGCATTATCTACTTTAACGTTTCTCCCTCATCTAACACTACCTGCCCCACTTCGTTTTGATTCTTGCAGATTTAATATATGCTGTGCGATACAGTGGAGAAAAATATCACTGGAGGGTTCTACGGACTACCTGCGACATCGACCCCCTCGATGCCTGATCGGCTATACTTGCATGCTGAGAAGCTTGTTGAGTGAGTGACGAGAAATTATTTATGGCCTTTAATTTCTGGCTATTTTCAATATTGGGGCTCCCCCACGTGTTTCTCTCTGTGCCTGGACATATTTTGCCAGGAGGCATCTCATCCGAAATATGATCCCCAGATGCTTGTCTGCTTATGGGGACACGACATTCACGAGCCGTCCCCTCAGAACCATCGTGTACAAGACTCATGTACTAGTATCCTCGGATCTCGCAGCTTCGTCATACATCTTCCCTTTCCTCCTTACTCCTAAAGGTCGAGGGAAGGTCAAGCACAAAGCATCACTCGTTCATCAACTGAACGCATCCAGTCCTTTTGGTAACTATGGGTTTCAGGCTTGTCACCGGGCTCGGAATTCCTCCTCTCCTATTAATGAAAAAGCAATGTCTATCTCTAGCTAGGCTCTCGCATCAAATCTGGATAGGACCCGGGCTGAATCTTCAAGTGCCGTTGGTGACTGTCTCAGATGTATGCGCGCAACGCGATATCAAAATCAGGACAACGAATTAATTGCATCTCCGGGTCGACGTACATAGGTCCAAAGAAGTGCTTGTTTTGAAGCTGGTTGTACAAGGACCCTGAACGATGATCTCTCGTGAGACCCTGTTTACTCACTTGCAAGTACCTGAGTTCCTGCGGGTATTGATCGATTTGTGTGAGCTGATTCAGTGACGACATCCAGGAGGATTTCTGTATGGAGAGAAATGGGCGTCTAATGCAGGGATGACAATCTCCGTTCCAAAGGTAAGGAGCAAGTTAGTGGAAGATGGATACCGGTATATTTCCCGGCTTTGACGCTCTCCGTGGTGACGAGTCTCGATCAATATGCATGGCCTTAATAACTCATGGGAGTGGGGGATTACTATATCTCTTCATTTACGTCGGATGGTGTTGTGTCGGAGTCGTCCTGGAGAGAATAAGCATTCTTGGTGTCTCTCTTCGGAGCCTTGACCATTTTCGAGAAGCTAGGTGAGGTTACGATAACCTTTATCGATAAGATGTAGGGTTAGGGTTGTGGTGTATTGATTCTCAAATGGGCCGGGTAATGATAGTATGTACAGTGGCCATACGATGTCACCAATGAACCTAGGCATCTTGGATTTTGGAAATTGGCTGTTTCACAATTTACGGAGCCGATATCTAGCCTTATCGTCAGGAAAAGACCGGCGTCAGCAGTGCAAACTCATCCTCCGTCTTAACTTGAAGCAATTGCCTATATTTGCTATTTACAGGGGCCCGGGTCCTATCTGCGATAATGGGAAGTACTCTAGATCTATCAACCGCTGTTAAGAGCTATGGGATGGGTCAATTCCAGCTAGTAGCAGCACCCGACAATCGGAACCAAAAGCGACGATGGGAGCGGCGAGTTTAGGTTGGAGAAAGTGCAGGAAGTCAAGTGCAAGATATGGTGTGAGAGAGGGAAGAGATTGTGTTGGAGGCTGGGAAGATCCTCTCCTCTTTTCGTTATCTTGCGATAGTCGTTTGTCCGGAACCCCGTATATCCTTCCCATCGTGGGGCGTTGCTGTGGAATCAAGCAGGGAAAATTGATTGCACACCGATGGCTGTTCAACATCCAGGAAGCATCTTTATGAGCTCCCACCATATGAGGTGATCAACCTGATGCCGATCATGGTGAAACCTGGCTATGGGTTTGCGAATAAAAGAGAAGACGATAAAAAAAAGCTCTCTCCCGCTGTTTCTGTACCTTGTGTACCTCTGTTCCTTCCCTCGAGATACCTAAAAGCTTGGTTGAGGAACGGAAATGATCATGCGACATACGGCAGCGAGTCCCATCTGCATCATGAAAAGCTTGACATTGATTTTCTTCCCATAGACATGGTTTCCCAAGGAAAGTAAAGTTGAAGATGGGGTCAAAGTGTTTCTTGCAAGGTTGTTCTCGTGAGCACAATTTCTCCTGAACTATAACCTACAATTTCACGCACGCACGCACGCACCCACGTGTTGTTGAATTCCAGTTCCAGAGAGTAAGATCTATCCGAACTGTAAATAATAAACCAAGTTCGTTAAGGCGCTTGGCTAAATTGCTGCAGATTTGTGGCGGAGTCGCATGTTCCTGCTGTACTTGAACTTGAGGTATAATTGTTTATTGCTTGGAAAGGATACAGTATGCCGGCGACGACTCCGAGCTGAGTTCTATTTCTGACGGTGAATTGTCAAGAGGAGAAGGAGGATCATGAGGAAGTCCTTGATTGCGCGTCCCCAACCTGGCTAGATCGCACTAGAAAGAAAGGGAAAAAAATGGTTTGTGGTGGAAATTCATTTTGGGGAGGGTGCTCGACCAAAGTTTGGTGGTGCTGTTTTGTGACCAGAACAATGATTTGCTACCCCGCCAAAATGAAAGAAATGGAGAAAGCGCCCCAAAGCTTGGGTGCACGCACGCCCAGGTGCGGGTGATTCCTTTTTTGTGGTTAGGGCTAGTGGGGGGCATGCGCGGTGACGATCGGCCAACCAATGCTAACGGCGATCGAGCGAGGGAAGCTAGGGGAGGGAGAGAGGAGGAGGGATGAGTTGCGAATCTGGCACTTAACCCCATCGTAGATTTCTCGGATTAATATTTCACCTTTCCTTTTGGCCCAACAGGGCTGAGCTCGAGCATGAGGGTTATTAATACCGCCATAACTCGAAAAATTGGCTAGATCAAAATTACTTGTACGGGAAACTTCTGGTGCAGATCGATGCCATTCAACCAATCACTCAAGTGGTAATCCCTGGACGGAGATAGCCAATTTTTCGAGTTTTGGCGGTATGTGAGAGGTTTTAAGGGTTGGAGGTTGGGGGTTGGGCTAAGGAAATACCTCTCTCTGATGTCTCGCGCGTATTATTTTCCCTCACTCAGTCAGTTTCTCCGAAGTGAATCTACTCCAACATAGCCCACCGACGGTAGAGTACGTTATCAAGGCCTTACTGACAGGGTGCGTGGAAGGAAGGCGGCAGACCCATGGTGTGACAGATAAGCATGTTTATCGACTGACTGACGGCTCACTTCCTCCACCAAAAGAACCATGAGCTTGCCTGCTTGCTTCGCTTGCTTGCTCAGAGTAACTTGCTGCCTCTAACTAACGCCTCTAACGTTTGTGGAGCTCGTGATCCACATGGGAAACCGATCGACATCCACGGAGAGTTTGCTTTGAGAGCTAAGGGTCTGGGAGTAGTTTTACCGGTAACCTAAGCTTAGCTTCCAACCCCAGGTTTTCTCCGCATTTTTCGTCCTGGGCACTCGCTCGCTCCGAGGGACGGTTTCTTATTTGTCTGGGCAGCGTTTAGATGAGGTAGTCTCCAGAGTATGGTATCAAGGACTGTTTTGCCCAGAAAACTGGCTGTATGCAAGCAAGCAAACTGACGGATAATGGAAACAAAGTTCACTGAAGTTCTCGCTTGCGCTTGCACAGGCAGGCGATCGCTAACTAACTAATCGCTGGGGTGTGTGGGGTGGGTTGTGTGGGTTGGTGTGGGTGTTCGAGACCCTCGCTCTGTCCACCGTGCACACCACACCCCGGACTCTCCCCGCATTTGGCAAGGAAGTTCCCTCACCAGGTTGCACGGACTCACCGTATGTACTTCCAATCGGTGGTGGTGGGCAGTGCAGGGCCAATGATAGACTGTATCAGTTCTATCTTGTCCATCGAATCAGTGGCGATCGCTTGTGACGCCCGCATACGTCACTGCATTGGGAAGGGCTGCTTGTGCTTGATGGTCAACGTTCAAGCGGTTTCAGAGGAATTGCCGGTATCAAGCCTTTTGGGAAGTTGCCGCTCAGTGAAGTATCTAAATGTAAGTTATGTGTAGGTAAGGAAACAGCTAGGCAGCATCATGAGACGCAACCACCGACGAACAGGCCCGCCCCACCAACTCTGTGTGGTCATGATTGTGGCTTTTTTTTTCTCCCCCTTTTGGCATTTCCCTTTGTCTGCGAGGAGTAATCAAGGCCCAACACCTGCTTGAGCTTACTTTACTTGCCTTGGTGGAGAAGGAGAAAGATATAAAAGCTCCTACCACCCCCCTTATCACAACCCATTCCATACAGTCCAGTCCATATAGTACAGTCCAATACACCGTCCAATATAAATATAAACCAATAAGCTCAAGCTCAATTACCCTCATACTCACTACATACTACCAATAACTACTACTCAAACACTCACCATGACCTCCGAAACCCGCACCCAGCCATTCAGCATGAGCCCCGTGAGCCCCGTGAGCCCCGTCGACATTGAGCCGCGACAATACCGCCGCGGGTCCATGGTCGACGACGCCATGGCCGAGCCGTTCATGCGCGTAGGCCGCCGCGGCAGCGATGGCAGCGATGGCAGCCTCTCGCCAATAGAGAAGCGGGATCGCAGGATGTATGTTTTCCCAAATCTCTTCTCTTCTTTATGAGAGTTTTTATGAGAGGTAGAGAGAGACAGTTGGCTAATTAATATTGTTTGCAACAGGAGCAAGGAGTGGGATGCCTCAAAAACACCGCCGTCGAGATTCCAGAAGCAGGAGGGTTCGGTATGTGTTTCCCCTACCCCTAAGCTTTCAAACTCCTTTTTTAGTGCTGGTGACTGACTGTCGATCTGGTGGATAGATTTTCGCAACCCCCTCATCGCGTGACGGCCATGTCGCCCGGAATAAGATCCACGGCTTCAAGGAGAAAGTCAAGGAGCTCAGTGGGAAGAAATAAAACCCCCGAAACGTTCTAGAGATAAAAAAAAACGTCCTTGCGATATATACGGTGTTGTCGTCGACCGGGGCGGACTTCATTTATGATCGGGGGCGCACGTTGTTTCTTTTTTTTACATTCTTATTTATTTCCTTTCACATCTACTTTTTTCCTTTTCCGTTTTCTGTTTAGTACTGCGTTTAGTACTCCTTACCACTACTACTACCACCCCGGTCCCCACCCTTATAACCCATCTTAAGGACCTGACCTTTTTTCTTCTGTTCTTTCTTGTGTTCGTTCTATCATTTCATCTATTTTCTATGTCTCGAATGGGGGAGTTGTATGCAAATGGGAAATCCTTGTTGTCATGAGGTGTTTGGTCTTTTATGGTTTGGTTTGGTTGTGGGTTGTGTCTGGATCTGGAGGCATTCAGCCGGATCCGCCATTCATGTATTGATTATTGATATCTTGTTTCGTTTGGGAAGAGAAGAGGGAGAAGATTAGGGGAGGATCTGAACTGTACAACAATTATAATGTCATAGGACTTAAAACGTCTATGTTTCTGTCAAGTCGAGCTCAAGTCCAGTCAAGTACTATACGTCCAGTGATTGTCAACTATTAACCAGCAAACAGCAATTACATGAAAGAAAGCAACCAAAGAAGCCAAAACAGAAAGAACAGAAAGATATTTACACTACTATCTACACTACCTACCTACAAAACCCTCAACCCCCCCAACCCCCCCTCCCCCACCTCCACAATCCCCCCACCACTCCCCCCACCCCTCCCGGCGCCCACCACCCACCTCTCCACCACCGCCTCCAAGTTCCCGCCCACAACCCCCGCCTGCTCCCTCACAAGCCCATCGTTATCCGCGCCGCACACATACCCCAACACCCTCCGCACCTCGCCCACCCGCCCCCTCACAACCCTCCACACCTCCTCCCTCCACACCTCCCCTTCACCTTCCCCCTCCTCCCCCTGCCCAACCAGCGCCTTCAGCACGCCGCCAACACACACCACCGCCGCCCTCCTCAAAATCCCACTCTCAACCCCCCCCTCCAACGTCAGCACCAACAACGCAATATCCAGCGCCTCATCCAGCACCCGCGCGCCCAAGCCCGGCGCATTCGTCTCGATGGCAACCCCGAGAATCGAAAGCGCCGACGCGCGGATGCGCACGTCCTCCGTGCGGCCGGTGCCGGCCCAGCCCTTGACAATAGCCGCTTTGATCTCTGCGGCCTGCTTGCGCTTTTCTTTGGCAGCCTCATCGACATCCTCTACGTCTTCGTCGGCTTCCTCGTCGCTGCCGAATTCGGCGTCGCCTTGGTCTTTCTTGCCGCGAGTCTTCCGCCGGCTCACAACGGCCACCATACCGCCCGCCAGCGCCGCCGCAACGTCACCCACCAGCGCGCCGCCGAGGCGCTGCACGGTGTTTAGCAGTGCCTCGCCGATGCGCAGCCGCTCGTCGAGGCTGAGCTTCTCGTCGGCGTCTACATAGGCGTCTACCAGCATCCGCGTCACGGTGCGGGAGTGCCGGTCTGCCAGCGCCGTGAGACACTTGACGACGTTGAGATACACGTAGCTGTCGGCGTCCTTCAGCATGCCGACCAGTAGGCCCATGGCCGCTTGGACGTCCACTACTGGCGCGGCGGCGAGGATGAGCTCGCGGAGGAGGTGCAGGCCGTGGGCACGCACGGGGATGAGCGGGTCGCGGAGGTAGGATAGTGCCAGGGCGTATGTTTCTTTCTGCTGCTGGCTGAGGGATGTGGGGGCGGTTGTGGGGGGCGTGTGCAGCGTGAGGAGGGAGAGGATGTTGAGTGCGAAGGCGGAGATGTCTTCGGGGATGTTGGGCGCGGTGGTGAGGAAGGTTAGTGCGGGGTGGAGTGTCTGCAGGAGGCGCTCGTCGGAGGGAGTGAGTTTCGTGTCGGGGGAGGAGACAAGGACGCTGAGGAGTGAGAGCGCGAGGGTCATTGTCTGTGCCCGGGACGACTCCTCGTCCAAGTCTTCATCGTCCGAGTCTTCGTCCTCCTCCTCGCCCACAAACCGCCTCTCGCTCGTCACCCTCTCCCTCCTCACCGGCACCGGTCTATCCCCCACAATCCTCCCCAACCCCTCCAAACTCGGCTTCACCTCCTCCGCCCCCTTCCCCACACTCGCCTCCTTCCAAGCCCGATACTCCCCCAACACGCCGCCCACAATCTGCAACGTCTGCCCCGGACTCCTCGCCAGCGCCCCCCCAAACCGCCCCACCACCTCCCGCAGCACCGCCGTCCGCGCCACCATCCCCATCGCCGCCTCCACCCCTTCAACTGCCGCCCCCACATCCGCCAGCCACGCCCGCAACACGCCCAGAAAGAACTCTGCAATGGCGTCTTCAGGCGCCTGTGATAGCACCTCCACGAACGCGCCAACACGTACCTCCACCTCGTCCACGCGGACCTCACTAGCACCAGCACGCACCTCGACGCCGCCGTCCGCGCCGGGTCCGAAGCGCCAGGTCGCGCCGCCGGCGGTGAGGATGTGGTCGTGAAGCGCCGCGAGCACGGCGGAGGGGGAGGTCGACGTCTTGATGTGTGTGTGCAGCAGGGAGAGGGCGCGGGTGTGCCATGTGCTGCGGGAGGTGGTGAGCGCGAAGATGGTGAGTGCCCAGAGGGCTGGCAGGAGCGGGGTTAGCAGGCGGTGGGGGACGGAAGGGGTGGGGTGGGCGGTGAGGAGGGTGCTGAGGCGGGTGAGGGTCTGGGAGAGGGTGTGTTCGGGGATAAGTGCCTTGTTGCTGGTGTCCTCAGTGGTGGTGGTGGTAGATGTGTCGTCTGGAATTTCCTCGATTAAGGAGAACCGGGGCTTTGCCGGTGAAGGCGTGTCTTCGAACGCCAGCAACGCAGAGGACGCAGTATTTCCCGACTTCTCCGCCACCGCAGCTGCTGCCGCAACCTTCTCCGTCTCCGTCTCCGGCACCATGCCCGCCACAATCTTCGCGACCACCTCCTTCTCGACCACCGCCTCCACAGCACCCTTCCGTCCCAGCAGCTCGGCCAACACATATGCCGCCGCGCCGGCCAGGGTCCGATCGGCGACATCCAGGAGCTCCAACAGCTGCGGACACACCTTCTCAAAATACTGTTGCGCCATGACAGCCGCCGGGACGGCGCCGATGAGTCGTGAGGCGTTGGCCAGTGCGTCGAGCGACGGGTTTGTCAGGAATAGCTCGAGAATATGGCGGACGGCGTGGGGGCGTGTCATGGGGAGGTTGGAGAGGGCCTTGGTGAGTGCTGTGCGGAGCGGCGGTGGTGTGGACGGGTGGAGGAGTGAGAGGAGGGGAGGGAGGAGGGCGGGGGTTTGGGTACTGTGGGCAGGTTATTGTTAGATATGTAGCTTTAGGTAGAGTAGTTAGGATTTGTAGGCTCGAGTGATAGGCTGTGAAGTAAAGGGGGGTAATGATCGCGCAACCGGAAATGACCATTCCATCCACAAAAGAAACGGGAAAGCACATACCTCTCCACAACACCCCACCACCTTCCCCTCCACACCTCTCTCTCCCCTTCCCCACCATCCCCAGGGCCAAAAGCCAGTTCCCCACACCCCGCCAAAACATCCACCAGACACCTCTCCCTCATGGACCTCGCCGCCGCTCCCCCGCTCCCCAGCGCCTCTAGTAAGCCCTCTACAACACTTCCCAGCAGCTGTACATCCCGTCTATCTTCAACTTCCGTGATTCTCCCGCGGCTCGCAGGGATAACGAAATTCCGTGCGCGCCGTGAGAGCGGGATTCCGATGCCGGGTGAGAGGGAGGGGTATATACCCTCCAGCACGAGCAGGTCGAGGAGCGCGTTGAGGGTGCGGTTGTCTGTTGCGTTTTCTAGCGCGGTAGTGGCGGGTGCAGCGGTAGGGGTAGGGGTAGTCGATATCGTATGTAAGAGGCGGAGGGCGTGGGTTAGTACTTTGTGGGCGAGAGTTTGGGCCGGGGACGGGGTCGGGGACGGAGTCGGGGAGGGGGGAAGTGTGAGGGCGAGACGGTCGAGGAGGGGGAGGTTACGGTGTGTTAGGAGTTGTGCTGGGTTTATTAGCTGGCTGGTCTAGAGAGAGGGAGGAAAAGGGGGGGGGTACTTCGGTCGAGGACGGGGGAGAGAAAATGTTGGGCTTCTGAGAGCGCCGTCATTTTGGTTCACTGTATTGCTATGTAGAGCTAAACCTATAACCTGTTGGTGGGTTCAATGGTTTTAGTCTGTCAGTTCTTTGAGTTTTGATGGTGAGGGGATGATAATAGGTTGTAAAATTAATTGTATTTGTAATTAATATTAGTGTTAGTAGTAATACTCAATAGAAAGAGCTAGTAGCCGGGAGTGTTGCGCAGTCGGAGGGGTCCAACCAGGTGCTAGCCCGGTCATTACCCGGACGCCGGATTATCGTTTCTCCACCCCCTGCCATTCTTCCCCACAAAATCCAAAAAAGAAAAAAGAAATCTCACAACCTCCCGCCCGCACCCCAATTAACTTAGAACTACCTCTAACCCCCGCACCCGCACCCGCACCACACACAATGTTCCGCCTCCGCCCCGCTCTCCGCCCCCACAACCTCCCCCGCCTCCTCCCCAGCACGCGGTAACCACCCTCCCCCCCCACCCCCACCTACCCACCCGCCCGCACTAACACCCCCACAGAAACCTCCCAGCCCTCTGCCTCCTCCCGCAGCGGCCATTCCACACCACCTCCCTAACCCTCAAAAAGGCATCAAAGCCCGCAAAAGGTGATCACCACCACATCCCCAGCAACGAGGTCCCCCCACCCGCCGGTGCTTTCGACTTCGACGCCCACTTCACCGACCTCGAGAGCGACCTCGCCCGCGTGCTCGAGAAGCTCAAGGACGAGCTGTCGAAGCTGCGTACAAGCCGTGTGGACCCGGCGCTATATGAGAACATTCAGGTGGTTGTGGACCGCGAGGGAGCCAAGGTCTCATTGCGTGATATTGCGCATGTGGTTGCGAAGGGGAGGAGTGTAGTTGTGGGGGTTTATGAGGAGGATGTGAGTCTATCCATTCCCTGGAGGGGTTTATATATATATATATATATATATATGGGGAGGTGGGGACTGACATAGGGTGTGTGGGGGGGGTAGAATGTGAAGAAGGTCATGAAGGCGCTGCAGCAGGCAGACCTGAATGTGACGCCGATCGTGGACGCAAAGACGCCGACGCAGATCACGATGCCTCTGCCACCACCGACAAAGGAGTCGCGGGTTGCGACGGTGGATGCGGCGGCGAAGGCGGGTGAGCGGGCGAATAATGCGCTCAGGAACGCGAGGCAGGGGTCGCATAAGAAGATTAAGAGCCTGAAGAGCATGCGTGTGGACGATGTGAGGAAGGCGGATAAACAGTTGGAGAAGATCATGGATAAGGTTGGCGCTGAGGCGAAGAAGATTATAGAGGCAGCAAAGAAGTCGATCATGGAGGCTTAGTTAGGCCTTCTAGCGAATAAGAAGAAAAGAAGATGGGTGGTTTGTGTCTTTGCTGTTTTTTGGGTTGTTAATGAGTGTGGTTGACGGTGTGTTTTAGTGATTAGAAAATCATTACCAGCGGACCATAGCGTTGTACAAGTTGCAGGTATTATCATTGACTTTGTGAATTTCTAGTGCCGCAGATCTGATTAGCAATTTGACCGCTCTGTTCTAGTCAATATAGGTACCAGATATCATTAATCGCAGCTGTAAATGCTCCAGTAGTTAGTCCCCGCGTCGTATAATAATACCTCGCAGTTCAGAGTGCCTCTAGCTTATCAGAATAAGATAAGAGTATTCCCACGAATTTGCTCCGCCAGCCAACCATATGTCTCCCCGCCGCCCAACGAAGCGCATCACCCACCAAGCCGGCAGGGGCCCGGGAACGGCCCATTCACTAGGCATTTCAAGCCGATGCGTTAATCCGTTTACTACACAAGCACCCCATGTGTCTCGATGGCTATATTGACTCAAGTGTCAACCTCACCCCAAATTTCTATCGAGTGATAACCTATGATGCAACTGTTCCACGCCCCACCTTACCTCACTTTTTGGACCCAGGTTTCCATGCCACGCGCCATCAGGAAACTATTATATCGGATTGCTATAGAGATAGCGCCTTGTTTCGCAGGGGAGATCTTCAATATGAACGCTTGTCTGTTGCGCGGACTCTCTATTTCCCTGTGCATATTCTGTTCCTGTCCTCTAGAAGAAAGGAGGAGGGGGCGCTGTCCATTGGCCAGGAGGATTATTCTTGTACGGCAGCCAGGCCAGCAGGCCATAAGGCCATCTATCAATCACCGGCCAATCATCGTTATAGCAGAAAATGAGCTTCTTGAGGCGGCAGAGCACAATCCCGGTGTTGTAGTTGCTGACAGTCGATCGCTAATATGATGAGTGGGACTTAAACGCCCTGGTGAGTTGGGGGCCGGGGGGCCTCTCGGAGTATGCATAACATAATACGATATATAAATATAGAAACCACCTACTGCATGGGGTCCCAACCGTACCCCCCGCTGCCGAACTGGTCCTCGATGGGGGTTTTCAAGTCCACCCCGCTTGCTCTGTTTTCTCTGCTTCCCCAGAGCGGAATAGTAGAAACTGGGCCAGATGATAGATAATTAGCTAGTGGGATTTGAAGGAAGATAGACCCCCGATTCCCACGGCTTCTGTGGTTTCCTGGTCCTGTTGGTACTGGTGGCCGCCCAGCGGATAGATAGATAGAAGAAGCCTAACTAGATACCGCAGATGGCAGCCCTTACAGGGGACTCATGGAGCGGCCTTCCCGGGTACATGTTTCCGCCTTGCGGGATTTCTGGTACTTCGGTCATTGACGGGTGATGTAAAGATTAAGCATAGGTGATGATTCGTGATTGTGGTGATTGTTTGGTTGGTTGGTGTGGTTGTTGTGGTTGGTGTGGTTAAAGTAGCAAAAAGCCAGGTGGGCGGCGATTGGGGTAATGATCAAGAAACACTATTCGATTGGTGTCGGGTAGTTACTGATGTCTATTCAAGTCTCGGTCCTCCCTGATCTCTATTTATAGTTATAGTTTCTGGCCATGTGTTCCTCGCCTAATCCAAGCTAGTTGTCCTTACACGCTGTACAGTGTCTGTTGGGCTAGCCTGGGTAGATCTCAGCCCATAGGAGAGCCATAAAACCCGCGCCATAGCCGCTTCGATCATTCCTAGCTGATGCCAATGATACATAGTTGCATTCTTAGATATCGGGTTGTGATTCGAGATGGGCGGAGTGGTTATTTAGTCATCTAGCTATTTAAAAGGCTATGTGGGTGAGTTGGCGATTGGAGTCTTCTATATTGGGTAAGATATTAATACTTTTAATACAGTATAATTTATCACATCTATTATTCTCATAACTACTTGTACTGTTTCACAACCGATTAGCTACGACGGTTGGATATCTATATCTATATTGATAATTGTTCTATCCGGTTTTTTTTTGTCTTCCCATCCCAGAGATGCCGCGCAAAGAGTAGAGAGAAATTCCATAGTAGTAATAGTAAAAAAAATGAAATGATAAAACTGTACACCAGAGAGAAAAAATACAACCAGCAAGAAAGTAGTAGTAGTTAAGAGCCCCTTTTTTGCAGAAATCATCATCATACCTTACAAGTTACATACAAAAAGAAAAAGAGTACAATTACGCGCTAGGAGGAGGAGCCGGAAGGCTCATTCCAAGTCTAGGCAGAACGTTGATCAAAAGCTCCCTCTTCTTCCTGTCCGAGAAGGTTCCGTTCACCATGACCATCCTGTGGATATCTCCCGCGATGCCGTGAGGGCCCACGTTAGGGGGCGTGTACTTGCCCTCGATGAGTCTGCCGAGAGCTGATTCGCGGCTGGCGTCGTAGTTCTTCCAGTTCTCGTAGGTCCATTGGGAGGTTGGCTTTGAGCTGTGAGTAGTATCAGCCCAAAGGGTGGCGCCGATGCCCTGGTTGGAAATTACTGAAGGCGGAATGTGAGGGGCGAGATATTCAGCAGTGGGAACGGTAGGGGTGTAAGGCAGCTCAATCTGCTCTGCAGGCGGTGCAGGGGGGAAAGGGTCCCTGCGGGAGGTGCGAGACGAGGCATTGCGGTCATCGTCTCTGCCACCGCGTCCACCACGTCCGCGCCCACCACCACGGCCACCTGGACCGCCACGTCCACGTCCGCGCCCGCCGAAACCACCACCGAATCCACCACCGAAGCCACCCCGGCCTTCACCGTCGAAACCGCCGCGGCCACCGCCGAAGCCTCCACGACCACCACGGCCTCCGAATCCACCGCCACGGCCTTCTCCGTCAAAGCCACCGCGACCGCGGAAGCCACCGCCGAAGCCACCACGGTCTCCACCACGGTCTCCACCGTAACCACCGCGGCCGCCACGGTCACTAAAGCCTCCGCGGCCACCGTAGCTGGGACGGTCACCGTAGCTGGGGCGTTCACTGCGATCACCGTAACTGGGACGTTCGCTGCGCTCGCCGTAACTGGGGCGTTCGCTGCGCTCGCCGTAACTGGGGCGTTCGCCATAGCTGGGACGCTCACTGCGGTCACCGTAGCTAGGACGATCACCGCCACGGCCGCCACCATATCCACCACGGTCACCGTAACTAGGGCGGTCTCCGTAGCTTGGGCGGTCTCCGTAGCTTGGGCGGTCGCCACGGTCGCCACCATAACCACCACGGCCTCCGCCATACCCACCGCGGTCACCATTGTATCCGCCACGGCGCTCAAAGCCACCGCGACCACCACGGTCACCGCCATATCCTCCACGACCACGGAAGCCTCCGCGACCTCCGAACCCGCCACGACTACCGCCCTCCTCGTTGTTGTTGAAGCGACTGCCACGTTCTTCGACCTCCTCCTCTTCGATGGTTTCAATGTCTTGTTCCCTGGCCTGGGCGGGGCCCTCGTTGTTGCTGTTAGGTGGGAGAATATCGTCTATGTCGACAGAGCGTGGGTTTGTGCGTCCCGCGAGAGCTGTAATGGGGACATTGGGTTAGTTATGTGCATATATCAAGTTCCCACAATTAGACAGAGGGGAATCGATAAGATAAGATAAGATATACCTTCATCGTTCCAGTAAGGAGAGGAAGGAGCGGGTTTATCGTCCTCAGCGAGTCTGGCCGGCGTAATGGAGAATTGGCGGCGGGCAGAACTAACTAGAGACTTTCCGTGGCCGAGAATGAGATTCCTGGAAAACATTTTGATTGGTTTTTTTTTTTTTATTTTCCTTTTATGGGAACCTGTGAGTGGGAAGGAGAGAGGGATTGAGAGCGTTTCTCAATTCCAATTAAACGGTTTTGTAGGGCGGGTTGCACGTTGATGTGGGGGGCGGTTGATGGCCTAACAGAGTTTTTTCTCTGCCTCAATCCTTGTCGCGCTTTATTTTTCACCCCACTACTGCCAAGTCTTTCCTTATCCACACGTGACACCCGAAAAACCTCATCTTATATCCTGCATCATAAAAATAAATTTGAAGAATTGAAACTAATAGCTCTTTTCACGGACCAATCGAATCAATCATGAACTTCGCCCGCCACCTCCTTCGTCGTGCTGTTACTGCTCCTCTCTCCTCTCGAGGGATCTCAATAGTTCTTCCATCCCTCTCCGCCGCTCCAGTTAGAGTTCTCGCAACCCCAATTCCAAGAATCATTATACCACGACTCCAGCAATCTGTACGCCATGAGTCCTCGACTGCAATTGGGGCAGTCGGAGGTACAAAAGAAGCTGCAGAAGGCGAGGAAGTGAAGGAGACCAAGCCCAGCTATGAGCTTACGTTCACCTGCAGACCATGTGGACACAGGTCTACACACACAATCACTAAGCAGGGGTACCACCACGGTACAGTAATGATTACATGCCTCGGGTGCCAAAACCGCCATGTTATCTCCGATCACCTGAAGGTACATCGATATTCACATATTTTCTCTTCGTTCATCTGTTAATGTTTGCTACCGGTATAGATATTCGGCGAAACCGCCCGCTCGTTCGAGGATATCCTCTCTCAGTCAGGTTCGGGCGAGACCGTCAAGAAAGCCACCCTTTCCCAGGAAGAAACGATGGCTGCCGTGGAGAAGGTGCTGAAGGAGAAGGGCATCTGGAGCAAGGATGGAGGCGATGTAGAGGTGTTGCCGGGTGAGCCAAAGGAGACGGAAGAAGACTGGCGGAATGGACTGGTAGGGGGAAATGAGAAGAAGGAATAGCTGTACTCCAGATGAAAGGAACATGGGATGGCGTTATATGTTTTTGTGTTTTTGTAGATAAAAAGTGTTCCTGTATATAGCCGGAAGGCGGCATCTGTATCCTTATTAGCATTGGATTGAGATAGTATTTAAAAACTCCATTCTAATTCTCATATCCTCCAGTTGACTCTAATTGGTCAATTTTATACTTAAGGAAAATCGTGGGGTTGGCTGTGATTATTACCCAGCTGATTCACAGTCTGCAGGGACGGGCAGGAGTTTGAGTGGTCGAGTTTGAGTGGTCAAGGAATTTGAAGGTTTTTTGACCATCTATAATTAAACAAGAGGGTGGCCAGTGGGTCATGATGTACGTCGTGGTGGATTGTGATTGCAGAGTTAGGTGTACCCCTAGCTAGCTCAATTTTCCCTCACTTCCTTAAGTATTACTTCCGGACCGTAACCGCAGCTTGAACAATTATCTTAGCTTCTCATTATTTGGCCAATTGGTCTTCCCTATGATCAGGTCCGGATATAGGATTAGGCTGGTTTAGCGAAACTCTTTCAGACCATATTCTTTTATAGTATAGTAGATGTATGGACTGCATGCCACGGTGTTCCTATGTAGGACAAAAAGTTAATCGTGGTCATTTGAAAGCCATGATGCGTTGTGACTACACCGAGTGATAACACGTGATTCCACAATACATCTATAATCCACCACTCTCCCACCTCGGAATTAGCAAGATCACATCTCATCTTCTCCTATCTGTAAATCTATCTGTGAATAGCGAATACTATATACGCTGAACCGCTAGAAAAGCATCCTCAAGAAGCCTTGTGGTCGGTTTGCGTTATTAGCCTGCATTTATCGTACCCAAGAGCCCCTCCCAGTCTCAATCATCAACCAGAAGGCAACCGAGGGAAGAAGCAGAGCAAGAGGACGCTCCTAGGCGAAACATTTGACCAGTATTCTCCCCGCATTCATCGACCTCCAAGTAAAAAGCACTTCCTGAAGCCTTTCGTTCTCGTGGAGATCCCTTCATGCTACCTCACTATCCCTAAGCAAGTCCCCAAGCTTCTATCCGCTCTGTCCCAGAGATAATTCTGCTTCTTTTCACTCAGATTTCTACAGCGTTTGAGTCTTAACCAATCGGCCGGCCTGCGGCACGCCAATTTCGACCAAGACTAAAATACTTTATCCCGGTACCACCAAACCCTCTTCACAGCAAACATCGACAGCACACCACCAAGCCCTCTACACTCTTCTCCGTATGTCTAGACATCTTATCACCCAGGATCGATCCTTTCCTTCCTTCCCCGCTCCCACTCCCAACGTCTCACCCCCCTCCCTCGCCTACCCCCACACCTCCCGCCCTTTCCGTGGCTGAGTCGTCTTCCAGAAGATGCAACTTTCGAGAGCTTCAAGGGGGCTTTTGGGAAGAAAGAACAAGGACTGCGTGCTTACTATACAACCTCCTCCCAGATATGGCAATTAACACTAAACGATTTATTCTTTTCTTGCACACAGAGCTTACTACCGGTTGTTGTCTGGCTGTTCCTTACATGAATCAAGGCGTCAGTAACATGCATCACATGTATCAGCACTATCACTAACCTAAGAGCGCCAGTTGAAGAACCAATTCTCGTCGGTACCCAGTACTTACTAGAGAAGATATTAACTACAGGTGTGGACCATATACTAAACTTCAAGTTCAAGCACCTGCCCGCATAGGACTGGAGAGGCTATAAACTCATGAACCAAAACGGTGGATTCATACGTTGTGCGCTGACTACTTCAGTCCAGGAAACAGCCTAACGTACATATTAACAATCGTTGCTACCTTCAACAGTTCACCAGCCAATGGCTACACGAATATCTAGAGGCGTTACCTCTATTTACGGAAAAAGATGAATTATTTTCACTGAAAAACCAAGCACCAGACGTAATTGCCCCAAACTGTGCTTACTCTGATTGGCTTATGACTACATGTAGTATCTAAGGTCCAGAGAACCGTCAGAAAGAGGCTTTTGGACCTCAGGCAGTGAATAGAAAAAGAAGGATTTTGCCCGACCAACCGTTTTAGAACCTCGCATGCACAGATAAAAATGGATACCAACCACTCTGTCAGATTTCCGACTGCCCAAGTATACACGCGAGCAAACCAGATTCGGAGGGAGAGAGGGGTCGTTTCAATTATAAGACAGCATAGTCCCCTGTTTGGGACACCTCATCCTTGCGAAATGAAAGTGGAGCCTATAATCTTTAGGCCATTCTCGTAATATAATACACAAAATAGCCTTTATGGGCTTAATCAAACAGCACGACACATATGGCAGACGGCAATATAGCGACTTAATCTTCTTGAAATTTTAAACCTCACGTCAGAATATATCTCGTCGAAGGACTCGATTACAAACCAATTTATTTGCGCAAATTCGGTTTTCTTTTGCCGGATTAGGTCGAGTGATTACACATGATTCATTCAACCCCAAATAAACCATTAACCCAACAGTTGTAATTACCGTACCCGAGGTCTGTCTCGGAGATATAAAGGTCTGGAGCATATGATTAACATGATGTGCGAGGAAGGCGTCTATTCGCCCCGTGATTCCCTCAAACAGCCGCAATTGAAAGAAGTACGGGGGACACTTATAGGGATCCGCTCTGCGTGGCAAAGAACTTTGGGACTTCTGGATAAGGGTCACAAAATCGGCCCCATAGGACGATTATGGTCTAGTTCCTCACCTGTTCTAGAGAAACAGCAATATAACTTGTCTCCATATTTGGGGGCCGCGCGCGCCCTAAAGGAAAGAAAGATTCTGAATCCTCAAAAAAAAAAACGACAGAGCATCAGAGATCTAGCACGAAGGAACCCTGACCAACACCCGCTCAAAAAGGTTTCAATAAGCTTCGTAGGATCTGGGGGGATACGCCGGCTTAAGGAGTTCACCTATAACAGGAACCCACCCCTTTGCAAATATCGCTGGAATTTCATGTTGGAGTAGTTAAGATTTTGCTACATACACTAGCGAATATCCCATAGGCCCCTATTCTGTCCTAAAGCCAGTTTGCTTGCTTTAGTTCACTCGAATGAGCAAGAGAAAAAATCTCTCCGCCACTGTTAGTCTACACTAGCTCTGCTAGTCTCTTGGACGCTAATGGAAAAGAGAACACAGCAAATATACCAACTACCGTCGTTGATCGACCCTGGAGGACCAAATAAAACTCCAGGAACAGCTGCTAGCTAGGCTCCATCATTATTAGATATGCGACAACTCTACTATTTATCCCAAGAATTATTTGGGGGGAAACGTCCTTAATTTAGCTGACTAGGCTGGTCAGCTGAGACTCAACAATATCTTGCCCCTTTAAGGATATACACATGTTTATTATATCCCAAGGCTCTGTTGGTATTATTAGTATATACAGAAACCGTCCAAACCTCGGAGACCACCCAGCGCTCTTATCTATTTCACCTACTAACTCTGCGTCACGTTCGCGTTCTAGCTGTGATACTCCATTAACTTGCGGAAAGGCGTCCACACACCAACACCAGTACAAACCGAAAAAAATCTCCAGAAAATCGCAGTTTAAGCCCCATCTACCAGCACCAGAACACGAGCGTTTTGCGCTGCTCAGTCCCCATCCCGGCCCACCCCACCCCACCGCGCTGCGCTGCCCCGGAATTGCAATCGGCCGTAAAGGGCTTACCTTAACTACACGCCCGCAGACGTAAACAGCGTGGTGTTTCGGGAGATTTGAACTAGTGGCCCCCCCCGGGGGGGGGGGGGTGGGGCTAGAGGGTCCGAGTGATCATACACGACCGACCGCCAAATCGAGTGCTGTGCTGTCTTTTCGGGAGGGGTTTGATCAAGATAGTCTCGTTTCCCAGACTTGTGCATGCCGGTATCGACCACATTCTAGGTATGAGAAATAGGCTTGAGGCGGAGAGCTAGGGCGCTTATCCCTCCCTTTGTCTGTCACGTTGATAAATACTGCCCATGGTGCTCACAGATCTGTTTTATCTTTCTTGTCGCGGGGGAAAGACATCTTTAGTTTTTTTTTTCTGGCATAGGTGGGGATGTGCCTGGCTATATATGAGGAGGAGGAGTTTGGCGGGACAGGAGAGGTAGGTGGCTTGGGTTCTCACGAAGCTGGTTTTTTTTTTACAAAGGCGTAGTAATAGTTTGGGGGGGGGGGGGGGTTCATATAAGTACTGGTTTTAATTAGAGGGTGGAAGGAATGAATGAGGTAACGGTGTTTGTGAAGGGGTATATGCTGGGTGGAAACGTAGTGAATAACTAGGTATCTAATCTCTGGTCTTAGTTTCTAGCTAAGCTTTAGTCGCAAATACTGATACTCAGCTACAATATTCTGATTACTGCGTTAATGTACTGCTGCATATAAAGAATGATCAGACCATACAAGAAACCACTGTCAATGATCACCAAGACTGTTTTGATTGACTATATATTTACAACAAAAAAAGAAGGAAAGACAAAAAGCGAAGCAAAAAAAAAAAGGAAAAAAAGAGAAACTCCGGGTATACCTCTCTACGCCTCCGCCATCTTCTCATCCTTGACCCCCTCCCCCTCCCCCTCCTTCTCCCCGCCCTTCTCCTTCTCCCTCTCCTTCCTCGCCTCCTCCTCCTCCTTCCCATCCGCCGCCGCATCCAACTGCATCTTATCCTCCAGACTCTCCTCCCCCCTCTCCTCCCTCTCCACACTCGCATCCCTCATCTCCTCCACCCTCCCCATCTCCTCGACCCCAGGCGGATCCTCAAACACCGTCCCCTCCGGCTGCGGCCCCACATCCTCGGGCCCCAACGGCGGCGGCGCCGCCACCTCCCCCGCCGCCCCCTCCGCAACAATCCCCAACTCCTGCTCCGCGCGCATCAGCTCCCCCTGCGACACGGCCGCCGTCTCGTCCGACAGCGCGGTGGGCGTCAGCCAGGGTATAGGCGACAGCAGCGCGCCGCCCAGCGACTCGTCGCTGCCGAGCATGAACGCCGCGCCGTTGGGCGCCGCGGGCGCCGCGGTGTCTTCGAGCGGGAAGACGGTGGCGGCCGAGGAGACGGAGAGCACGCGTGTCAGTGCGCGCAGGTACTTGGTGAGGGAGCGGTAGTGCGCGGTGGGGTTGCGCAGCAGCTCGGCGAGGCGCTGGATGGTGTAAGGGGGCGCGGTGTCGAAGCTGGTGGTGAGGATCGTGGTGAGGTGCGTGAGGGTTGTGAGGTCGTCGGGGGACATGGGGGAGGTGTTGCCGCTGGTGGGGGGGAGGGTTGTGGGGGCATCGGATGGGGGCGGAGGCGCCATGGGGGAGGTAGAGGTGGCGGCTGCGGTGGGGGCATCGGTGGTGTCGTTGCTGGGGGGGCCGGTGGGGGCCTCGGCGGGGGTCTCAGAGGGGTCGGAGGCGTCGGGCGCGGTGGACTGCGTGGAGGGGTTGGAGGCGGGGATGGTGCTGGGCGCGGCGGGGTTAGGCGCTGGCGGGGGCGTCGGGAAGGAGTTGTGGGCGATCTGGGTGAGCTGTTAGTGGGCGGTATTCTGGGAGTGTGGAGAGCGAGGGACGAACGTGTTCCAGACGGGTCAGAAGGCGCTTCAGAAGCTCTGGCCACTCGGAGCTGAGGTTTGCGTTAGCTACACGGTAATGTATTGGAGGATATATGCTCGCAGGGGGTTACTGACATATCCATTGAGCCATCCTTGATGATCTCGTCGAAAATCGCCTCGTCTGCAGTACAGAGAATGCCCCCATTCGCTCGTCAGCCCCAATTGCTTGCAGTGAGTGTTACATGTATCAATCTGGAGATCGAGATCTTTGGCTTACCGGATCGCATTGTGCGTGTATGGGGTATGGGGGGTGGTTGAGGGTGTGATAGGTGGTGGTGCTGGTGGTGGTGCTGGTAGGAGGTAATAATTCTGGGGTTGCAAGTATCACGTCCGCCAGATAGGTTGGAGCTCTTCACGTGCCAGCTTGTTTACGGTGGCTGTGCAGGCCTGCTGCCCTCCTCTACCGCTCCACGTGTGGCTCCCGCCCATTGATTGACAACGCCTTTGTCAAGACTCAACCCCCGTCCGTCCGTCTCCGTCCCCCAGTCCGTTCCCCGTGGACCCCCGTCCCCCCACCCCCGACCGACATCCCCCATCCACCCAACCATCCAATCCATCCCCCAACCATCCAACCATCCAATTCATCCCCATCCAGTGTCATCCACCCATTTCCACCCATCCAGGGCCCACGTCCCTGCCCCCAACTGCAGCAGAGCAGAACCGGTAAGGTAAGAGACTCGCAGCAGAACTGCACTGCACTGCACTGCGCAGCTCCAGGCTTCAACGTCTGTCTGGTCTGTTCTGTCTGTCTCTCTCTCTGGCCCTGCCTGCTCGGAACTGCCCATGGCGGATAAAATAGTCCCACCTCCCTCGCAACTCTCCGCTTTCCCCAGACTTTGTGTTGCTCGTGTGCTTTTTTAATTTTACCGTGCACCCACCCACCCACCCACTCGCTCACTCACTCGCCTGAGAACCCCCCCCCCCCCCCCCCCCCAAACCCCATATGTGCCCTTTGGTAGACCACTAGTAGCTAGGCCCACCACTGCTACCAACAACTCGCTACAGGCTCCACTAATTACAGTAGCTAGCTCTAGGCAGGCACACTGAGAAAAAGAAGGAAAGAAAGAAAAGAAAAAAAAAAAGAGAGCGAGAGAGAGACGCTTCCAGACCGCACTCCTCCTCCACAGCTCACGCGGAGCTAGCTATGGAACATCAGCCTTACAGCATCAACAGCAGATATAGAAGCCCCCGTAGAGCCAGAACCCGCACCAGCAGCTCTCCCTCCATCACGCCCTCTCACCCGCTCTGCCACCACTCCCAGCACCACGCCTCTACCCCCTCCACCCTCACCACTACTACCACTACAACCAGTACAACCACCACCACCAGGCAAACCCCAATCACAGCCACTCACTCGCCCAATTAAAACCACCCCCCCCCCAAAAAAAAAACCCACTACAACTACTACAGAAAATGGCAATCCTCCTCGCCTACAACATCACCGCCGAATCGCCCCCCAAGCAGCCCCAGCCCCAGCCACAGCCACAGTCACAGTCACAGTCACAGTCACCGCGCACAATGCCCTACCCGCTCACCCCCGCCCCCTCGCCCCCGCGGGCGCTCTCCCCCGCGCCAATCCTCCTCCCACCCCCTCCACCACCCACCACCATCAGCACATCCCCCACCTCACCCTCACCCCTCCCGATCCCGCGAGGCCGGCGAATCTCGCACACGCCAATCCCCCTCCCCCCTCCCACCCCCACCACTCCTACCACCACGACAGAAGGCTCAGACGACGACACCGACACCCTCGACCCCGAAACCCGCTTCAACACCGAGTTCAACACGCGGCGCTGCGCCGCGGCCGCAGTGCCGTTCGTCGCCAAGCCGACGACGACGGCGGCGGCGGCGGCGGCGGCGGCGGCGGCGGTGCACGCGAAGAAGAAGAAGGGGAAGAGGGTGGCGTTTAAGCGCGAGCTGGCGACGCTCATTCCGCCGCCGTGTACGGACTTGGTGCTGTATGGGCGGCGGCCGCGGGGGCGGTGTGAGCGCAGGAAGGGGTGGTGGGAGTGGGTTTTGGTGCTGGTGGTGGTGGTGATGGTGGTGGTGGGGTTTGGGGGGTTGAAGGTGCAGTGGGCGCCGGCGGGGTCGTGGAGTCGGGGGGCGCTGGGGATTGCGTCTTCGTAGGGTTCTGGGTCTTGGGGGTGGATGGATGATGGACTGGCTGGCGGGTTGTTGGGGGGTGTCTCTTTCTTTGTTTCTTTTGTGGATATGGATGGCGTTTTTGGCGATTGCTCTTTTTTTTTTTTTTTTTTTTTTTTTTTGGCTACTACTACTTTGCTACGACGGCTTAAGCTTAGATGGGGGCTAGTTATGTTCTTGTCGTTTTTCTGCTCACATACGAGTTACTTTTCTCCTTTCTCTGTCTCTTTTTTCTCGGGATGTTAATAGATCGTGGTTTCTGCGAGTGTTTCAAATGGTGGGATAATGATAATGATAGTTGGCCTTCTTTTTTATGCAATTGATATGATGTTGATATGATGTTGGGTGGTGGGTGGTGGGTGGTGGGTGCATGCTAACTACTGATCTTCTTGTAGTGGGGCTGCTTCTGTAAGTAACTATTGGCATTTTTTTTGCACTGGGCCTGTTACTGCTGTAACTACTGATATTCTTGCAGTTGTGGTAAATATTATTATCCTGCACTGTTGCTGCTTGCTTGTGTTCGAGGAGTCGGATATCATGATTCGTAACTCCCTACTGTGCTTCTCGGAGTTGACGGTTGAGCTTGAAGCTGAGAGGTTTCATAGGTGACAACTGCTTAGCTACCTACATACATATATACGTCATCTAAGCTTAATCCTTCTCACAGCAAACTTTACTAGTAGCATGATGGTTTATACACACGATCAAGGTGTGATGCACAGAATGGAGGTTGTCTTCAAGTTTTCATACAAAAGTTCATAATTATACTTAGTTCTGGTGGCTTCCTGCTTCCTGAAACTCTCCGGAGCTCCCTGGGACCGCCCTACCTATCCACCAGATGACGGGTCCACCTCGGAAGCGAGTCACGCGACTCGCCCGAGCAAAACAAAGCGTCGGTAGGTAGGGGAGGCGGTGCTTCTTTCGGCGGTCTTCGGAGGGATAGTCTCGCGCTGTACTATAGAGTTGACATCTATATATATCCTGCTTTCTTACGCCCCCCGCTATCAGGGCTACTATTATTTACCACCAATCAAGCCTTCTACTCCCCCTGGCTTTTTGCACGGATACTGACACTTATTGCTGGATAATTTGGTTTTTGGGCCCTTCCCTTTCTCTATTAACCCGGCCCGGGGCAGGGGACTCATTGAGGCCTTAAGTAGGGATCCGCACTATCGTATTATGATACGTGTGTGGTAGTACTATAAGGAGGGGAGAGGGTGGGGTGGGCTGGGGCAATTGTTCTGTTTGATATCTATATAACCTGGACCGTTCGTGTATATATGGGGCAGGAACATATCCAGCTCTGAGCCGGTGATCTATCAATATTGAGCTGTTCATCTTTGAGATGGCAACAACTGCGTCTAGCTGGGCGAACAGCTGAGAGAGATATGTTCTCCGCTTAAGGCTTTTGTGCACACGCATTCATCTCTCATCATTGACAGTGGCCGCACTTGCGTGGTGTGCGGCCGGCGGCCTCCATCCCCGCGCCTCACTCCTAGCCGCACCCGTCCCTGCATTCCTTCATCGCTGGAACACCCCACCCCACCCCACCCCCACCCGTTCATCGCTAATATCCCTTAGGCGGTCAGTCCAAATCAAAATCGTGACCGAACCAGATATGGTAGCTATGCTCTGATAAACGCAGTTCCTGTTTGTTCTATCCTCGAGCCTATTCTCACGCTAGAAAGCTCCACCTATTCCACTAGAGATAGGGAGAGAATGAACAGTAATTGCGTTCAACTGAGCCCACCCAGCCATATCTGGTTCGGTCACGATTTTCATTTGGACTGACCGCCTAAGGGATAAGTTCAGACTAAACAACTGCATAACATGCAGGAACTCCAACACCGCAGGTACAAGTACTCATAATCGACAAAAGAAATATTCCTGAGACAGCATGAGTGCGAACAGTCTGTAAGTCGTACTTAAGGGAAGGAACAGCACTTGGTTGTGTGCAGTCCGGCAGCTGGCTGAGGTTCACATTTCTTTCTGCCCGAGTGACGACCACCTTCATTGACTGGCCAGGTTGCAGCTCCTTTGGTGTAGGATACATCGCGGCAGGACGGAGCTGTGGGCACTATTATTCCAAACAGCACGTGGTCGTGCCGATTCCCACGATGGACATGTCTATATCCCCGCAGAAAACAAACAGCAGCCTATGATAGCTCGAATCGAATGAGTGAGCTTAACAGGTGCAAGTAAGGGGATCGGTATCGACTGTGGGGAGCTGGCCCAGAACTCGAGCATCTACATACAGCACAAGAACTACATACCTGCCGTCGTCATGGACTAGTATCTTGCAGAGAGAGAAAATGTAGCCTTCTTTTCTTCGTGCGCAGAGGACGCATCCGATCTAATTCGCCGATCGACGATATGTGCTTTTGCGGGCCTGGTACTGGGTCTTGGGGTAGTTAGACCAGCATATAGGGCAACATAAAATCTCTCTCCCTCCATCAGCCGCTGGAGTGCGGTAAAGCAAAACCTACACGAATGTCTTAGAATTATAAACTTGATTTGGATAGGATCTCAGACTCAGATGAGACGGAAAGACCTACGAGCTCAACCAGGCTACCCAAAACTTCTGCAGCCCTTCCCCTGGTTTCTCTACTTCGATGAGCAGTAACGTAAAGCGCAGTGACCTCATCGTGTCTAAGGCCCTGAGCAAGAGGGAAGGGCGTCAAGGATCTAAGACATCGAGGTACAGGTGGATCATAAAGTATCACTCGCGAATCTACCACAGATCGTGCGCCATGTGGGGGGGCCCAAATAGACGGTGTATTATGGAGCAGATGTATGCACAGAAGGTTCTCCAATCTTCTCGAGTAAAAAGCCAAGGCGGACAAGAGCTTTACAAACGGAGGTCACTGATCGATCGACGTAACTACACAGGAACACAACACAACAACGCACAACGCACAACGCACAACCACAACCACCACAACCACGATCAAAGAACGGAACTCAAGCTTATTCCATCTCCTTTTCTTTTACGCTTTGGTACCCCTTCGTACCAGAAACCTACCCCAGATAGACAACCCTATCCACTCCAGGCATCGAACCGCATCCGCTGTGTGTCCAGGTACTATAGATCGATCCAAAGCTCCCCATAGTACTCCAAGGCGCATTAAAACCTTACGTACCTCAAACATACTACTCAAAGAGCTCGCCAAGCTCAAAAGTAGTTGCAGGTTGGCCCTTGTCAAAGCTTCTTGTGGGCTCAAGTGAAATCATTACATCAATCCTAGAGACGGCGTCGATCTAGGCAGTGGCTGAATTTCCCTTTTGTGGCCAAAACTTCGACCCAACTACATGTATCTATGTACTGTTACCTAACATCAAACAGCAATAGGAAAGTGACTGAGACGAAGGACAAAATAGGAACGTGATCCCGTTCATGGGCGACGTACACACATATACATACCTTTCATGAAAACAGTGTCCCATCAAAAGAAGTCAGTGAGCTGCTGGGAACAATAACCCTGGTCTCCCCAATGAGAGTAGTATGTCACTTAAGTAGAGAGCTATTTGGAGCTTTAATAGATATAAGAGATAACAATAAACTCCGATGATTCTAATTCACTCCGCCAGCAATACCGAACTAAGAGGGAGTTCCTATATAGGGAGAAAAACATGGAAGCCTTTAGTGCAGGTTTTAAACACATGTAGAGCGCAAAAGCAACGAGTGGTGATGGTGGACCCGATTCTACAACTAAAGAAGTGCCAAACCTAGTCTAGCCAAAAGCCCATGGCTACATGATCTCTGACAAGGAATATCTGGTAAACTTTTGAGATTGCATTATTCTAGCCCTACATTTCTTTGGTTAAAAAAAAAACTAGAAACCCAAATCCCACCGCTCTAGCGAGAGAGCGCGATATCATCTATCCTCAAAATCATCTTACAAGTTTCCGCAGCCAATTCAATGGCACTAGTAGAAACTAACAAAGGCTGCAGAACGTTCTCGTCAATGATGTTTGTGACTGCACCTCTCCTGACACTGACACCCGCACTCTTCTCGCCCTTCTCATGTCTATTCCTCAATTCAGTCACAACACGAATACTGTTAAGACCGGCATTCTCAGCGAGGGTTGTCGGGATCACTTCGAGAGCTTCTGCAAAAGCAGACCAACACACAGATTCAGTGCCTTCGATAGTCTGGGAAGCTTTCATCAACGCGCGAGAGACCTCGATTTCGGGTGCACCACCACCAGCAATGAGAGCCCTTTAACCAGTTAGTTTTTGAAGGAATTAAAGGCCGTAAGACTTAGCTTCATACTTCTTCTTGACAAGACACCTGATAACGCAAAGAGCATCATGCAGGGAACGCTCGGCCTCATCCAAAATCATAGAGTTGGCACCTCTGCAGAGAACAGAGACGGTTTGGCCAGCTGCCTTTACACCAGTGACCTTGACGATACGTGCACCAGCAGATTGAACCTCCTCAACAAGATCTGCTGAACCAAGCTTATCTTCTGTGAATGAATCGATATCGGCAATGGGCTTGCATCCAGTGCTCTGTTTATAGACGTATTAGCGTTGCTTGTGGAAGTAAGGATAATAGCTGACCTTGCAAATAAATTCCACTTCATCACGTTCGATATCCTTAATGGCAAGGATATTAAGCTTGGCGAGGAAATGCAACGAAAGGTCGTTGACAGCATCTCTAAGAATTGACTTTTGAATGAACAAGACATTGCACTTGGCCTTCTTGATTTTCTTGCACATGTTGAGCAAGTATGTCCTCTCCTCCTTCAAAATCTTATCCATTTGGCGGTAGTCATTGACGACAATTTGGTTCTCCATCTGCAATGTCAAACATATCAGCATCAATATCTGATTCCTTGGAAAGGGTATTACTGACATCAGGCTTCGGCGGTGACAATTGGAACTGAATGAGACCGATCCTGGCCTTCTCCATCCTTGATGGCCCCCCCGAGGCCTTAATAACATTTTGGGTCAAAACCAGGCCATCCACGAGCTCTGTATCGTCAATGGTTCCTCCGACTTTCTTTACAATACGGATGTTGTTGAGATCAACGTTCTCAGCGATGGCAGGATTGATGACCTTCAGCACGGCATCAACAGCCATTGGGCCGAGAAGCGAGGAGTATTGAGAGACGATCTTACTGGACAATGATGTACTGGCGGCCTGGAGGAGGGATTGGCGGTCGGTCAGAGCCACGGGAGTGGACATCTCTGTCAAAATCTCAACCGCCTTTGCCGCCGCCCTCTGGAAGGATTCGGCGATGATTGTAGGATGGATACCTATCATACCTCTATGTTAGATAGGCAGTAAGGTGCACAGCATCTCAATCTTCTTTATTACCTTTCCCAAGCAGCTTCTGTGCAGCACCCAAAAGACTTCCGGCGATAACTACTACCGAAGTAGTACCATCACCAGCCTCAACATCCTGCGCAGCTGACAGATCTACCAACTAGTCACCCAACCGTAGCCATCAGCAACGATAATCTAAACCGTAATCCCCTCCGGAGTTTGCCTTCATACCATCTTCGCGGCCGGGTGCATTACGGCCATCTCTTTCAAAATTGTGTGGCCATCGTTTGTAATCAGTGTGTGACCCTTTCCATTCTGAATCATCTTGTCCATTCCTCTAGGTCCCAGTGAAGTCTATCTCTCCCGTAACTGTAAGCATTGGAATACCATTCCAGAATCGAACTATCATACCCTGATGGCATCGGCAACAGCTGTAGTTGTAGAATTCCACCAGTCAGTCCAGAGCCTCACCCAGATCTGATACAGGTTCCTTACCTCTGGCAGCAATGATATTTGCTGTCCGTACCGCCATCGGCTTCTCCTTCAAACTTGAGGTTGCCCTGTTAGAGCCTGCTTGTGTCGCCATTCTTGTTTTGGTGGGTTTGATATTAGGGGGTGGTCTGGTTGTACTTTGATGGTGTTAAATCCGGACAGTTTGGTAATACTGGAGGGGAGCTGCGGGGGTTTATTTTTCGAGGGTCTAGGTACGTTGCCAAGCCACACGCCACTAGAGATTATCGAGATAAGATAAGATCCGAATCTTCACGAAAAATGACTCGGTCCACAATATAGAGTTTAGCTGACCAAAGGTGAAACACACTTCTGCACATATTATTGGATGCATAAATTTTAGATTGCTTAAGTTTCCGTCCAACTGTCACAGCCAGAACTTTATGATGCTAAAAGAGCAAACAATGCAAGTCACATGAACCTTACCAACAAATGAAGCACGAACGATCAGTTTGAAGAGAAGAAATTTTTTGTTTTATGACAAGCTAAAAGAATGAAATGAAACCATTCTTTCTCTGGGACATCCTAATATCCATCCATGCCCAGTTTACAAGAATTCGATACCCCGTAAGGATACCTTCCCGGTTCCACCACAATTCCACCACGATTCCATATCGTTACTCGGAAAGAACTCTGTTTTAACTTGTTAGGCACTTGTCAACCTCATAATCTTGAGGAGTGGGGGGGGGATGTGCACACCTTCTTAGTATTTTATTGAATCCAGAGCTCCAACCCATACTACCAATATACCATCTCTTCCCTAGCGGAAGACGATATTGTAGTTGGTGTTATTGAAATAGGCCGGAGGGGCCGGAGGGGCCGGAGGGGCAGGAGGAGCTGGAGGAGCAGCTGGAGGTGGAGCTGGAGCTGGCGGTTGAGGAGTAGCGAACCCGTACGCACTATGCCAGACGATATGGGCAGGAGCCGGCGCAGGAGCCGGCGCTGGGGCAGGAGCCGGGGCTGGCGGGGCTGGCGGGGCTGGAGCCGGAGGGGGAGGAGGGGGCACAAGATGCCGGGCATAAGTCCAGATCATTGGCGCAGCAGGAGGCGCCGGAGGAGCTTGATGGTATTGAACAGTAACAGAGACACCGTTCAAATTAGGAGGCGCAGCAGGAGCTGGGACAGAGGTCCAAAAACCGGTCTCGGTTTGATAGAACAAGCGTTGGCCGTCAGCCATTGTGGAACTTTTGATGTAGATGAGAGATAGAGAAGGGGTGATGGTTATAGGGGATGGGAGGTCAGTGATGGGAGGTGATGTGGTTTTATAGCCTGTTTCAGTGTCTCCGCACAAGCGTACAACTCGTACTATGCGTACAATGGGCAGTAACCCTGTCAGATTTTAAGCGAGTGATGGTACATGATTTCCCTTAGACTTGTTCACAAATATTATGTAACCTTTACCACCTCACACATAAGCTGAGAATCAAGTTAAGCTCAAACTCAATTGAAAATGTGACGCCAATTTAAATGCTCATGCGGCAATTTTGCTAGCAAATTGATTATATTTGTCTATACGGATCGCTTGAGAAATAGCACCATACACACAAAGGCTTGCCAACTAACTAAAAGCACAAACCAAAACAGACACGAGAAGGTTGAAATGACCCGTGCTGCGCCGATAAAGATGATCCCAAAACCAACTTTTTTTTAAATGTTGAATGACGCGCCTACCCTATACCCAGATTTTATCTTGTTGAAAAACGCCTTTACCAATCCCCGCCCCATACATTCTACCGAAATTGTCATAATAATATACCCCAAAACCTTTTTGAATAAGTAATCGAAGTTGAAGACGATTACTCAAGGCTTGATTTATGGAAATGAAAGGAAAAAAGGTTAGATTAACAAAAGAAATATTGGAAAGCTAGCTCAGATCAACAGATCTAGAACTCGAGCTTCTTGGGCTTCTCCCAAGTGAACTCTTGGTTGGTGAAGTGACCTATAACCCAATGATTAGAAAAATGAACACTAGCTGGAAGAAGCATGCAAACATACCATTCTTGGCGGTCTGGAGGTAGATGGGCCTGGCAAGGTCCAAGTCCTTGACAATGACACCAGGTCTCAGATCAAAGTTCTTGCGGATAATGGCAACCAACTCGTCACTGGTCTTGTCGGAAGTGCCGTAGGTGTCGACCTAATAGATTATCAGCACGTTGGATATAGGTAAATCTCATGCAGAGGCTACATACGAAGATAGAAAGAGGTTCGGCAACACCGATGGCGTACGATAGCTGAACAAGAGCACGGCGGGCAAGGCCAGCAGCGACCAAAGACTTGGCAATCCAACGGGCAACGTAGGCAGCAGAGCGGTCGACCTTGGAGAAGTCCTTTCCGGAGAAAGCACCACCACCGTGAGCACCCCAACCACCGTAGGTGTCGACGATGATCTTACGTCCAGTCAAACCGGCATCACCCTGGGGTCCACCAATGATGAATTGACCGGAGGGTTGAATCTTTGTTGGGTTAGCGAAATCAGGGCTCAAAGACACCGTAAAAGAGAGTTCTTACGTGATAGATGGTCTTCTCATCGAGGTACTGAGCAGGAATTGACTTCTTGACAATCTTCTCCAAGATCTCCTTCCTCAACTCTTCGGTTGTAATGTCCTCAGAGTGCTGAGCAGAGACAACGACAGTGTCAACGCGTTTAGGGATGACAGCACCGTTGTCGTGAACGTACTCAACGGTCACCTGGGTCTTGGTATCAGGTCGGAGCCATGGAAGAGAACCGTCACGACGGGCAGCAGCCATATCGGCGTTCAACTTGTGGGCAAGGACAACAGTCAAGGGGAGGAGCTGAGGAGTCTCGTCGGTAGCATATCCGAACATGATACCCTGGTCACCAGCGCCCAACTCTTCGAGAGCCTTCTCATAGTGGAGACCCTGAGCAATATCCTTAGATTGCTGCTCAATGGCAACCAAGACGTTACAGGTGTTGTAGTCAAAGCCCTTCCTTGAGTCATCGTATCCAATGTCCTTGATGGTATCACGGATGATCTTCTGGTAGTCAAGACGGGCGCTGGTGGTAATTTCACCAAAAACCATAATCATACCGGTCTTTGTGGCAGTCTCACAAGCGACCTTAGAGAGGCGGTCCTCGGCCAAGCAGGCATCGAGAACAGCGTCAGAGACCTGATCGCTGTGAAACTGTAAGTACGGGGACTAACATTGATGAACTTCACAAAATCGGAAAGCGGGGTAGTATTGATGCTAAGAATTGTGACAACTTACGCGATCTTGTCAGGGTGACCCTCACCAACTGACTCTGAAGTGAAAAGGAAAGTTCCAGTAGCAACCATCTTAAATTTGGATTTTTTTTTTCGTGTGGAGTTTGGTTGTAGTGTGTAGTGTTGTTGTTGGATGTTGTGTTGATAGAAGAGAAGAAAAGAGGGAGAGGGAAAAAATTTGGCTGGTCCCTCTTTTTAGCTTGGACAAGAATGGTGCAATCTGAGGACCCTTTCGGGTATGCAAGGAGCCCCTGTCCCTGGCATATGCCATTTCACAATTTAATTGTCAAGATTCTCAAGCCAAATCACGATATCGTTGAATTATTAGAGTCCAGGCGTATTTGCTCATTTCAAATTGGCCAATTGCAAATCGCGACTTTATCTATGACTGGTGGATTTCGTGCCGAGATGGCGACATCCGGGCCAATGTTTGTGGTCCCTGCGGCAGGCAAAGTGCCTGAAAGGTTGAGCCTTATATTGATCAAACAGTGCCAATCACCTTGCACTATGTGAATCTCTTTTGGCAAACCTCTCCGAAACCTTTCACTTTAAATCAGATAGAGTATATATGTAAAATCTTAGATCCGTATTGCCAAGGCTGCGGCTCAACTAAGGTTACCAGCATATTTCCCGATTTATCACCGTACTTTAAAATGCTTGATGTGAGCCCTCTTGATTTCGCATAGACCTACCCTACCCAAGTAAAATTCAAATATCATTGAACGGACCCAATTTGCAAAGCTTTGCGATCTGTTAATGCTTTGGGGTTCATTACCAATTACTACATGCATGCATGTACCTATTTCACTGTTGATTCCGCCGGACATATCTCTACATTTCTACGGAATTAGGCGCAACACCGAAGAGTACTGTCATTCATGGGGTATTGGCGGATACTGGGTGATGGCGGACAGGGCAAAAAAGAGACAGCCAAGCCGACTTTTACCGGCAATTCGCCAATACCCAGGATCCACCAATACCCCGTGAACGACTGTAATCGAGCTCTGGACTTTGTGTAACACAAACCATAGAAGGTGTGTTTCTGCCTCCAGGATCCTCTCCCTATGTACATGTAGTTATGCCCAAGCGACGAGGCAAATATTCGACCCAGCCCGCAAAAGACGATCATCTAGATATCTAGATGTTCGAGAGATATCGATATCGAATACTTATATCACACAGTAGCAACTTTCCATCTTTGTGTGTCTTTGTGTAATAATCGGATAATGAGGATTATCTACATGTAGTTTTCAAGCACAGGTAGCATGAAGTGATAGAGTGAGATGTAGGTTACAATTATAACTACAACTGCAAGTATATAGTCTTAGCTGCCTATAGAGTACATGTATTCAGGTGAAAAGCTTCTCCTGCATAAATTTGCCTACATGTAGTTGCCCCCACTTCTGTGAATTGAGTCATAATCAGCCGAGTATCTCGTCTTTTATACTCGCTCGTTAATTAAAAGGTCGGAAGTCGTTGCAACCAAATCCCCACACAAAATTCCGATCTTTTAATTAACGCGCAAGTATCCGATAGTTATAGGACAGATGTGGTGTCTATATCTAAATGCGCAACGCAATGAGATCATTGACTTTTTCATGCAGGATAATGGAAGAGACGGGAGAAGTGCCGAAGAATTTTTACAGGCATTGCATTATTTTATTTTTTGTTCAATTCATCCATCACCTCTCTAGTCCAAGGCCGTATCCTTGTGAGTTGTTTTAGAGGAGGAATTCATGGAGACCAGTTGGTCCTTGAACCCTATGCGCACTAAATTTAAACCCGAATGGGTGTACTCGACGTACACGGCCATTTCATCTTTCCTTACAAAACCTAAAGGTGTAGGTACGTATCAGCTCCAAACTAGCCCGACCGCCAAGACCGGTGGACATTAAATTTGTGCTTTCATCGCAAGTATCTACATGTATGTAGTTCGTCCTATGGCAGAAACAGCGGTTAGTAGGTTAATTACCAGAAAGTAATGGGTACTACGTACTATATATAGAAATATTAGAGCCCTACCCAAACATCCCAGCTGTCGGGGCGAGTGAGTGGGGATGAAGGAGTACATCCTAGACCTTCAAAATAGCTTGATGAGTCATGCAGACAGGACAAAGGCGGGGCAGCTCGCATTACTTACCCATCAGGATCCAGCAACCGTGAGACGTCAGCATTGGATATTTTTTCGATTTTGCGGAACTTCCCTTCCACATAACGCACGCCACCAAACAGAACAACCCTCCTCTTATAAAGAGTCCCCACCCAGAATCAATCGTTGAACGCAAGGCAAAGTAGAAACGGAAATAAGTTCTCGAGTGACTCAAAGCTCAACTGTATACCACAAATATGCCTATGTAAGCTGCAAATTCCTCCAGACAGCTCTTAATTCGTCCAATAAACTAACTGAGAAAAATTTTAGGCTTCAAAATCCAGCAACGAAATACAGGCCGTTCCCGCCTGTCAGTTTGCCTGACCGCCAATGGCCAAATAAAACAATTACAAAAGCCCCCAGATGGCTCTCTACAGATTTGCGAGACGGTAACCAGTCATTGGTTGATCCTATGGTACCTTGAGACCTCTACACAGAAATTGCGCAATGCATAGTTTGCTAACTCAGTTTTTCTCCTCGTAAAATAGGACGGTGACCAAAAATGGCGCATGTTCAAGATGCTTGCCGAGCTCGGCTATAAGGAAATTGAGGTTTCGTTCCCTTCTGCATCGCAGACCGACTTTGACTTCACCCGCCGCCTTGTCGAGACACCAGGCGCTGTACCCGACGATGTCTGGCTCCAAGTCCTCTCCCCTTGCCGAGAGGATTTCATTCGCCGCACAATTGAGTCCATGAAGGGCGCCAAAAAGGCAATCATTCATCTATATCTCGCAACTTCAGAGTGTTTCCGTCGGATTGTGTTTGGCATGACCGAAGACCAATCTCTGGAGCTTGCCGTAAAATGCACAAAACTTGTCCGAAGCTTGACTAAAGACAACCCAGATGCGCAAGACACTGAATGGGCCTACGAGTTCTCCCCTGAGACCTTCAGTGACACTCGTCTTGACTTTGCTATTCGTATCTGCGAAGCCGTTAAAGCTGCTTGGGAGCCTACAGAGTCTAACCCAATCATTTTCAACCTCCCTGCGACTGTCGAAATGTCTACCCCCAACGTTTATGCCGACCAGATTGAGTACTTCTGTCGTGGAATCACTGAGCGCGAGAAGATCTGTATTTCTCTGCATCCACACAATGACCGTGGCTGTGCCATTGCCGCTGCAGAACTCGCTCAAATGGCTGGTGCGGACCGAGTCGAAGGTTGCCTCTTCGGCCACGGTGAACGTACCGGTAATGTCGACCTCGTCACCCTGGCGCTGAACCTCTACACCCAGGGTGTCAACCCCAATGTTGATTTCTCAGACATCACCAAAGTCATCGATACGGTTGAAGATTGCACTAAGATCCCTGTTCACCCCCGTGCGCCCTATGGGGGCCAGCTCGTTGTATGTGCCTTCTCCGGTTCTCACCAAGATGCTATCAAGAAGGGCTTCAAGGTGCGCGCCGATGCAGGCGTTGGTGACGATGGTCCATGGCAGCTTCCTTACCTCCCTCTTGACCCCGCTGATATCGGGCGTACATACGAGGCTGTTATTCGTGTCAATTCACAGTCCGGAAAGGGCGGTGTGGCATGGGTTATTCAGCGTGCTCTCGACTTAGACTTGCCCCGCGGTCTTCAGATTGCATTCTCAAGGGTCGTACAGAAGCAGGCAGATGAGCTCTCCCGCGAGCTGAAGCCACATGAGATCCAGCGTTTATTTGAGACGGAGTATCATCTTAATACACCTTCGAGAATCAGTCTCATTGACTACGAATTCTCAACTGATCGTTCCACTTCGCCGTCCCCAGGACTTGGGAAGCAGAATGTTACTCCTCGTCGTACCTTTGCGGGTATCATCTCTATGGATGGGCGTGAGCACTCAATCAAGGGTGTAGGAAATGGTCCTATCTCCTCTTTAGCTGATGCGTTGAAGTCGGTAGGTGTCGATTTGGATGTCAGAGACTATAAGGAGCACGCTATTGGACAAGGGAGGGATGTGAAGGCAGCATGTTTCATTGAGTCCCTGATCAGAACACAGGAGGGTGGTAAGGAGACGGTATGGGGTGTGGGTATTCACGAAGATGCGGCCCAGGCCAGTTTGATTGCCGTCTTAGGTGCGGCTAGTAAGGTATATTTCAACAATCCCCCGTTTATTTTTTTTTTGGTTATAGAAATGAAACTAATCAACGATATATAGCTCGTATCATCTCGTCCTGGTACGCCACTGCCATTACAGCGAAAGGAGCACCTTGAAGCCCCGAGGTCTGGCCTGGCTTCAGAGATAAAGGTTAACATTAACGGCCTGGAACAAGCTGCTGCAAATGGAGTACATTAATTTCTTTCTGATATTTCGTGTTGATTTCAAAAAAATTCTTTATTTCATATCAAAACCCAAATTGGGAAGTCTCAAAAAAAGGTTGGAAAGGATAAGTGGTGTGGGTAGGATATCAGGTTATGGGTTTGAAAAGTTTTTTGTTTTAGTTTGACATCACGCAGACGCGTTGTAGGTACTTATTTTGATCATGTTCGTAAACAAGTAGTATAAGAAAACCATCACTTTGGGCGTAAATTCCTCTGTTGAGAGGTCTAGGGCATGGATCGATCAAACCTTGAAGTATTGAAAGTGATTCTCATGATCACGGACTAGATATTACTGCCACTGGTAATGATTGGCTACGCCAAGCCAGTTTAGATAAGATAAGATCAGCCCAGACTCAGAAAAAAACTCTACATTCCTTGCGCAGTTCGAGATCTCCATACCTTCAACCTACCTATCGATATCTGCTATGCGGGGAGTGTTCCTCAAAGCCCCCGCTGTAACCACCAAGCGCCTATTCGCAACTGTCACAAACACACCCCTTACACACATCATGGCTGCTGCAAACACCACCACTGCCGCCGCGAAAAAGGTGATCCTGGCGCCTATGGTTCGTACCGGAGAACTTCCAACTCGGCTTCTTTCACTGAAGTACGGCGCCGATATGGTCTGGGGTCCTGAGATTGTTGACAAAGCGATCATTGGTTGTAGGCGCGTCATCAACAAGCGTACTGGAACTATCGACTTTGTCAAGCCCTCCGGCGGTGCGAGGGGAGAAGAGAAGGTGGTTTTTAGGACGCACCCGGAGATCGAGGGTGGCAAGGTCGTATTTCAGATGGGCACGGCGAATGCGGAGCTGGCGGTAGAGGCGGCAAAGGTTTTGGTTTCGAGGGGAGAGGATGGGGAGAGGGAGGGCGGGACCGTAGTGGCGGGAGTGGATGTCAATTCAGGGTGTCCAAAGGTATGTGAATGCCATTGCGAAATGATTATTTGAGCAGAAATGTGGGTAGGTCAAGGAGGAGTGGCCTGCACTCATGATGTCTTTATATACATAGTCGACATCCACCAGACACACCCACCCTCTCCTCCACTCCCGCTCCACTTGCCCGCTGCCCCCGCTGCCCCGGTACCTTCATTTATATAATTATTCTCGTACTCATATCTACAATAGCACTTCAGTATTCATGCCGGAATGGGAGCCGGGCTACTTAAAAACCCCGACAACCTCGTCGCCATCCTTACCTCTCTCGTCACCCAAATCGGAATCCCCCACTCCCTCCCCATATCTGTCAAAATCCGCCTGCTTGAACCCCACTCCGAGACCCTAAAGCTAGTGGAGCGCCTCTGCACGACCGGTATCTACCGGCTTACCCTGCATTGCCGTACCATCCCACAGCGCCCTCGGGATCCCGCGATCCGCGATGTCCTTGCAGACGTCGCAAACATCTGCCATGCGGCAGGCGTGGAGTGTATCGCCAATGGCGACGTCCTAAGCAGGTCTCACGCGCTCCAGCTCTGCGATGAGTATGGTGTCGACGGGTGTATGATCGCCCGCGCAGCGGAGGTTAACATGAGTGTATTTCTTCCCGACAAACCATTGCCATGGAAAGAAATAGCAGATGAATTTGTCAAGACTGCCGTGAAGATTGAGAGTCACTTTACAAATACCAAGTTCGTATTGGGCAGGATCATACCCGGTAAAGATCCCATCTACCAAAAGGTGCACCAAGCGAAGACACACGAGCAGATTTGCGGCATTCTCGGAATCCCATATGAGCCTCTTTCCCCTACCATCGTGGAAGAGATGCCAGTGGAGGGAAAGGCAGCTACGAAGGCTGTGGAGAAGGCAAAGAGCGTGAGCGCGACTGCGAGGGCTGCGGGAGGTGTTGTAGCGCCGCGAAAAGAGGGGAGGAAGTTGGCAGAGCGAGGAGTTGGGTCGGCTGCCAATATCAAGGCAGCTGCCGAGAGAGAGGCAGAGACCGCTACTGTGACCATTCCGGAGCAGGCCCCAGTATCTGCATAGCGGACCATCTATTGGATCAATGTTGCAACATAAACGTAAAGTACTTATCTTTCTTTTCTTGGGCTCAAGGCGAAAAATATCATGTAGATTGGCGTTTTTTTGTTTTCCTTTTTACTTTATTGGGCTGCATACACTTTTCGGGTTTATAGTTATTATCTAGTGAGCACAATTGTACAAAAGTTTGGGCGTTCAATCACCTAGTCAATTTGCTGTGTTTTGTGCGGTATGGGTGAGTCAATATAGCATCGATGTCGAGTGATAGTTTATGTTCCAGGTGGTAACCAACCCGTCTTGGATAAGAGGTCTCCTGTAGGTAGTACATACCTTATCTGAATCGACATCGTGGGGGTAACTTTAGACTAGGTTATGCGGGAAGAGTTGCTTCTCTAGACAACATGAGCATAAGATATCGCCTACCGCATGAAGGAGAAAAGGGCAAATGAGTAGTACGATACTATTCATATCCGGTAATCATCTTATGGTCCTATAGTTGAGAGTGACAGTGGCAGTCTGGCCGTTTAGGGCTCCAGTAAGACAGGCTGTATCGAAAGACGTCGAGACAATATTGTAGGTATTAGGCTCTGTTTCGGACATAATGCCTTGTCACACGCGGTTATATCGGGCAGGGATGTTCTGTTACGAAGTGATCCATGGGAAATGTACCTGAATTGCTGCCGTATCTACTACTATGGTGTTCCAGGTATACATATTTAAGTCCCGAATATTATAACAAGCGACCAAATCTAGGCCTCGCGTGACTGCGTGACTGCGTGACCGCAATCATAATCGCAAGATATCTGGCTAAATCCTTTGCTCGAGTGTTCGCTAGAACTGCGTAATCAATTGCGTGAACTTCCCCGCCGTCAAACCCCTTCTACCCTAGAACCCCTACCCCAAACAGAATTATACCGCGGTCCCGGATGCACGGCCATTGCGGTCAAGTTTCATGGTAGCATGCAGAGTATAATTCATTGTGTTTCAAGGGCAAGTTTTTGCTGATTGTTATCTCGATAGGCCACGCGTCGGGATATACATTGTATCTTCTCAGAGTTGATCGATTGATTTCCAACCCCGGAAGAGCGGTGTTATCGCATCCGTATGTAGAGTACCAGGTGGATCTTCACGTGACCCCCCAAACTATTCAGAATCCGGGAAATGCAGAGAAGAAGAGAAAGAAGAAGCCATGTGGTCGGGATAGATAAACAAGCCGCTGCCAATTGTCGGGCCCTGCAGTAACTGAATCGCCCACCATTCGGAAAGCTGAAGTATCGCATTGCAAAAGTGCAACAATTGTTTTATGATTGGACGGGTAAGTAAGGAGAAACGCCGTTAGAGCTATTTTAATAAATTCCCCAAGTGGCTGCATAAAGTAAGCCGGACACATTGCAACCCCCGGACCTATCCTTGGTGCCTGTAGATGTGGGAGAAATACGACGAACTCCCGTCACCTCATCACCACATCTAACGTGTACCTATCTCCCACCTACCACATCCACACAAAAGCGCCCTCGCATCATAACAGAAGCACGAATTAAACGAGGAATCCAGTACCGGTCACTCCGACCGTGACAGCAAACATGTCCGACGAAAAGGATCTTCGGGCTGACGTCGATGTTAGTGCCAGTATTGAGGCTCCGTCTACCTCGATGCCTACAAAGGAAACAGCAGAGACGAAGCATACTGAGATGGTTACGGGTTCAGTACCCGTAACTGTGAACGGGGATGCTTCTGACGACGAAGAGAGCTTCACTGAGGTCAAGATCTCAGATGTACACGAAGAGGATGAAGAAAAGGAGCAGGAAATCGAAGCTCCTCAACCTAAGCTTACACCAATAGCTGACATTCCCGTTGTTTTGGAACCCGCAGAGGAGGCAAAAGAAAAAAGAAATGAACACCTAGAGAAGGACAGCCCTGTCGAGTCCACGCCAGTACCGGCGTCTCCTGTCGAGGAGTCTACAGAAAAGGTTGAAGAAGCAGAATCGCCCCCGGATGCACCGGAGAAGAACAGCCCCATTGAAGCTAAACCAGCTGCACTACAATCGTCGGAAGAAGCATCCATTTCATCTTCGGAGAAGTCCCCGCCTCCCACAATCTCCGTCCCGGATATGCGGGACCGAGAGCTACCACCTCTTCCGAACCCACCACTTACCCCGAAAGCTGGAATTCCACTTCCAATCTCTACAGACCGACCAGTTCAGTCTGAAGCACGGACTGCCCCTCCCACACCTATGCGTGAATCCTCAAAAAATGCACCTACCACGAGCTCTGCGCGAGTCACCTCCGCGTCACTAACTACGAACAATAGTGCAGGGCAGCCGTCATTATCATCGATGGTTTTTGTAGTCCAAGCACTCGAATCGATCGGCGCTTCAAAAGAAGGAAAGCGGAGAAAGTCTTTAGGAGAAAGTGTACAGCGGGCTCTTACAGCTATCAGAGATGCAGCTCCCCAACTGCCGCCGGATCCAGCAGTCGTATTTGAGCCATTACAGATAGCATGTACTGTCCAAAATACAGCTGTTGTTACCACTGCGCTGGATTGTATCGGGAAACTTATCAGCTACTCATATTTTTCAATACTACCGCCGGCACCCCCGGCGGAACCTGAAAGAGCAAATGAGAAGATGCCAGCACCCGAAACACCGCTCATTGAGAAAGCAATTGAAACTATCTGTGATTGTTTTCAGGGCGACACAACCCCAGATATGGTGCAGCTCCAGATTATCAAAGCCCTTCTAGCAGCAGTCCTGAACGACAAAGTAATTGTGCACGGCGCAGGCCTATTGAAGGCTGTCAGACAAACCTACAATATCTTCCTTCTTTCACGAAATAGTCCGAACCAAATGACAGCACAAGGAACATTAACACAGATGGTTCATACAGTGTTCGAGCGTGTCAAGATCCGGATTGCAATGAAGGAAGCAAATCTAGCTACGTCTGCTAATAGCGGCAACGAATCCCCAGCTGTGCCCAATAGACCCTCAAGCGTAGATGGGGATAGTGTTGTTGGGGGCTCGGAGGTGCCGTCTTCAGCTGGAGGAGAAAAAGTCCCAGAGAAGATCACGCTGCAAAGTTTTGAGAACCGAAAATCATTCGACGATGAACGAATTGCTGACAATGTGCCCACTACCGTCACCCGTTCATCCTCGCACAGAAACGCTCAGCCTTCAGGTTCTACGAGCGCAGAAGAAGACGAGGACGAGGTTTTCACTAAAGATGCGTTTTTAGTTTTCAGGGCCATGTGTAAACTCTCCATCAAAACCCTACCAGCAGAGCAAGTTGCGGACTTGAAAAGCCATGGGATGAGAAGCAAACTGCTCAGTCTGCATTTGCTACATACAATACTTAAAAGCCATATGATCGTATTTGTGAGTCCGTTGAGCACAATACGTTCAAGTAGCAGTGCAGAAGCGACAGGGTTTGTGCATGCCATTAAGCAGTATCTCTGCCTATCGCTCTCAAGGAATGCAGCGAGTGCGGTCGGATTAGTATTCGAAGTTTGCTGTGAGATATTTTGGCTATTAGTAGGAAGCATGAGGGTTATGCTGAAGGTGCGTTGAGAGTTCCAGGTGGAATATTTTCTCGTATTTAAAGAAATAATGCTAATTATTACAAATAACAGAAAGAAATCGAGGTATTTTTGAAAGAAATCTACCTCAATATCCTTGACAACCGTCATAGTAGTGTTCAGCAAAAGCAATACCTTCTCAGTGTCCTAGAAAGAATCTGCTCAGATCCAAGGGCGCTTGTAGAAATCTATCTCAACTATGATTGTGACCGAACAGCACTTGATAACATGTTCCAACGCCTTATCGAACACCTTTCACGCATCACCACAACACAAGTCTCTATTACAGAACTTCAACAACAACAATACGGGGAAGAGCGGAAGAAAAACGAAAACAACAAGCATTACGGATTCTCACTCCCACCAAGCTTATCCACAGCTAACATCGCAGCTACACCTGCAAGTACTTTGGATCCAACATTCCCTGTTGAGTATACGTTGAAAAGACAAAGTTTGGAGTGTTTGATAGCCGTGTTGCAGAGCTTAGTTACTTGGTCACAGAAAGGATTTGTAGATGTTTTACAGGAGAATGCAGGAAGGGAGAGCCAGGACGGGAGGGACAGCTTGGATAACACCTACATTTCACCACGGCTGTCTACTGTCGGCACTCCAATCATAGGAACACCATACCCAGAACTTGAGAGATCTGTTTCGTCAGTGGATGTGAACGAGATGGTGGATGACCCGAGTCAACTTGAGAAGGCTAAGCAAAGGAAGACTGCACTCGTCGAAGCAATCAAAAAGTTCAACTTCAAGCCCAAACGAGGAATTAAAGCATTAGTTGAAGGTGGATTCATAGAGTCCGAAACACCAGCAAACATCGCCGAGTTCTTACTGAAGAATAATAACAGCTTGGATAAAAAGGTGATAGGTGAGTATCTCGGAGAGGGGGATCCTGAAAATATTGCAGCAATGCACGCATTCGTCGATCAAATGGACTTTGTTCGTATGCGTTTCGTCGATGCCCTTCGTCGCTTCCTCCAGTCCTTCCGTCTACCTGGAGAAGCCCAAAAAATCGATCGTTTCATGTTGAAATTTGCGGAACGTTACATCAGCGGGAATCCAAATGCTTTTGCGAATGCAGATACTGCGTATGTGTTGGCGTATTCGGTCATTCTATTGAACACAGATCAGCATAGTGCTAAGCTGAAGGGGCGAGCACGAATGACACCAGATGAGTTCGTGAAGAACAACCGTGGTATCAATGATAATGCCGATTTACCACCGGAGTATTTACTCGCAATTTACGAGGAGATCCGAAACAATGAGATTGTGCTCGAAGGCGAGAAGGAAAGGGAGGCCGCAAGGGGTGCAGCAATCATCGAGAGTGGTGGCGGGATTGTCGAGGGTATTGGAAGAGTTCTAGCAAACGCCGGAAGGGATCTAGAAAGAGAGGCCTACGTTCATGCGAGTGAGGAAATGGCGAACAAGACAGAACAATTGTTCAAGACACTACTCAAGGCGCAGAGAAGGAACGGAAGTAGGCCACAATTGTCAAAATATATCGCGGCGTCTTCCTCAAAGCACGTGGGACCAATGTTCGAAGTGACTTGGATGTCAATATTGTCAGGGCTTTCAGGAGCGGCACAAGATAGCAACGAGACTGAGATGATAAAATTGTGTATGGAGGGATTCAAGCTCGCTATCCGAGTAGCTTGCTTTTTCGATCTTGAGACACCAAGGATTGCATTTGTCACTGCGCTCGCGAAGTTTACACATCTCAACAATCTCAGCGAGATGAAGAGCAAGAACGTGGAGGCTCTCAAGGTCCTACTTGACGTCGCACAGACAGAAGGGAACCTCCTCAAGACCTCATGGAGAGATGTGTTGACTTGCATCTCCCAGCTCGAACGCTTCCAACTCATCTCATCTGGCGTTGACGAGGGCTCAGTTCCAGATGTCACGAAGGGCCGTATCATCCACCCCGATGCCAATAGCGACGCAAGATCTCGTTCCAGCATGCAATCTCAGCGCCCTATGCGTTCACGGCCTAGAACACAGACCAATACGCATTATGTTGCCGAGGTAGCAGAGGAGAGCAGGAGTCGTGAAGTTATTATAGCTGTTGACAAGATTTTTGCCAACACCAGTAAATTGACGGGAGAGGCTATCGTAGATTTTGTAAGGGCATTGAGTGAGGTGTCTTGGCAAGAGATCCAAAGTTCTGGCCAGAGCGAGCATCCTAGAATGTTCAGTTTGCAAAAGCTAGTAGAAATCAGTTACTACAACATGGGGAGAATCAGAGTTGAGTGGAGTAACTTGTGGAATATTCTGGGAGAGCACTTCAATCAGGTTTGTCCCCCTAAAGCATTACCCGAGAGGAATTGTGCTCTTGAGATTGGAGTTAATAAAGAGCATAGGTCGGATGTCATACAAATACTTCTGTGGTGTTTTTTGCATTGGATTCGTTACGTCAACTATCCATGCGATTCTTAGAGATAGAGGAACTCCCACACTTTAAGTTCCAGAAGGACTTTTTGAAGCCGTTTCAACATGTTATGGCGAACAACGCAGTTGTGCCAGTGAAAGATATGGTGTTGAGGTGTCTCAGCCAGATGTTGCAGGCAAGAGGTGACAAAATCAAGAGTGGTTGGAGGACTATGTTTGGAACTTTTACATACGCGGCAAAAGAGAACTATGGTATGTTGTTTTCGCTCAACGATTTTCTGAATGATATTGGGCATGCTAAAAGTGATTGTGGTTTCACAGACCAAATTGTGAATCTGGCCTTCGATAGCGTCAGGAAGATTTATAGCACCAGATTTGGTGTTGTTGTCTCCCAGGGTGGATTTACAGACATGATCGTTTGTCTCACCGAATTTGCGAAAAATCAACGGTTCCAGAAAATCTCACTGCAAGCAATTGAAACCTTGAAGGGTACAGTTCCGGATATGCTTTCATGTCCGGAATGCCCACTTTCACAGACGAAGAAGCCTGCCGCGCTCGGCGACGAACTTAACCCAGCAATGATAAGAACTGTGAAGGAAGATCCAATGATCAAGTTCTGGTTCCCGGTCTTGTTTTCTTTCCATGACATCCTCATGACGGGTGAAGATCTGGAGGCGAGGACAAGAGCCCTAGGTTATCTTTTTGATATACTTGTGAAGTACGGTGGGGACTTTCCGACGGATTTCTGGGATACGATATGCCATGAGCTCTTATTCCCCATCTTCATGGTGCTGAAGAGTCGGAGCGAGATGGCACATTTTAGTACCCAGGAGGCAGTAGGTATGTGGTTGAGCACAACTATGATTCAGGCGTTACGAAACTTGATCGCACTGTTCACCCACTATTTCGACTTGCTGGAGAGGATGCTTGACGGGTTTTTGGACCTTTTGGTGACTTGCATTTGTCAAGAGAACGACACAATCGCAAGGATAGGTAGCAGCTGTCTACAACAACTGATCCTACAAAGTGTGAAGAAGCTAAGACCAGAACACTGGACAAAAATTGTATCGGCGTTCGTTCAACTCTTTGAAATAACCACTGCAGATCAGCTCTTCTCGGCGGCAACACAAGGGAGCGGTGCCAGGTCAGTGAGCGGGACTAGCACACACCAGAGCCCACCAAATGAGCCAAAGGGAGCCTTCAATGATGCAGTTATGGAAGAGGATGCGGACGGAGAGAATGCGCTGAAGATTAACGGACTGTCGACACCTATGCTGGGCGACGATAGTTCTGATACTTCACCCGAAGGTCGAAACGCCCAGAACATCGATCTTGAAGACTACCGCCCTCAGCAACTGACTCAGCAGCCTGTAGTTACAGCCGCAAGGAGGAGGTTTTTCAACAAAATCATCACGAAATGTGTCTTGCAACTCCTTATGATTGAGACTGTCTCGGAACTATTCTCGAACGATGCTGTGTACAGTGAGATCCCAAGTACGGAGTTATTGAGGCTGATGGGAGTGTTGAAGAAGAGCTTTACGTTCGCGAGAAGATTCAATAGCGATAAGGAGTTGCGCATGAAACTATGGAGGGAAGGGTTTATGAAGCAGCCACCGAATCTGTTGAAGCAGGAGAGCGGGAGTGCCTCGACTTATGTCAGTATCTTGTTGAGGATGTATCATGATGATCAACGAGAAAGGAGAGAGAGTCGGGGTGCCATTGAGTCGGCGTTGATCCCGTATGTTTAACCCTTCTCCAAGTCCTCCAATCACCACTACAAAGAAATTTACTAATAATAATTTGACACAGGCTTTGTGTGGACATCCTTCGCAGTTATACAATTCTCGACGAAGAGACTCAGCAGCGAAATGTTATCGCTTGGAGACCAGTGGTAGTAGATGTGATGGAGGGGTACACAAACTTTCCAGAGAGGGACTTCGACAGGCACATTGACACATTCTACCCACTTGCCGTAGAAATGTTGAACAGAGAGCCTGGACCAGATGTGAGGATTGCACTGCAGAACCTCCTGAGAAGAGTAGGAGAAGTAAAGAGGATGGGGATTATGGGGCGTGGTAGAGTAAGAGATAGGAGGATGAGTGATATGAGTGGGGTGAACGTACGGAGGACACCTTAAAAGGATACTTTACTTTCTTTTATCTTTTTTTATTTTTATTTCTTTCATTCATAGAGTTATTTCCTCTTTAAACGACTTATTGGACTTGGAGCAGTGTGGTGTTTCTGGGGCGAGGAAAAGTCTTGTTATGTTGTTTTTAGCTTGCATATTCCTTTTCGCCTTGTACTAATTTAGGTAGGGGTTTTCTTGTTTATCAGAAAATGTAATCTGTAGCTAGTACCTGCTTAATCTTTTCTTCAATCTAGACAGACTTGCATTGGCTAGCCAAGATGCTACTACAGAGTGGTGGATAAGAACATATGTAGCTAAGAACAAATAACAAATAACAAAGGCGTAGCTTAATGGAGAACACACTAGACATCCAGAAAATCTAAGACTCAAATCACTAGACTTTAGGGCTTCTAGATATGAAAGATTTATTAATCTTTAACAGCCTTTAATTTAGCTCATTCGACGTATTTTAGAAGAGCTATATGACTACTCGTAAATTAAAAAGGCAATAGGCATGCTTTTACACTGTTTCCCTCAACACATTACTGCCTAACCCCCATCCTCTCCTCCCTGGTCTTCTGCCTCACTCTCTGGTCCACCGCAACCGGAACCTTCTGCAGACTCTCCTGGAAGCTGTTGCTAGCCTCGCTCTTAGTATCCTGGGCCTTTTTGAACTCGTCGTAGAGGATGAGGTCATCAGTTGTGAGCTTGATCGGGGTTGGTTTGCGGCGGAGCATTTTGTGTTTTTTGTTTTTGTTTTGCTTCGGAGGTGTTTATGTGGTTGTTGTGCAACTACCACTGGAATGAGCTTGGATACACTGAACAAACGGACTCCACACCACACTTACCAGACCAGACGCTCACCGATATATGCAATTTGCAAAACTCTTACTAGCACCCAGAAGATAAGATGCCCAACGATGAAAGGTGAGCGACTCGCAACGATGGTGGTAGGCAATGTCAGCAGTGGGGAAGGGAAGGGGGTGTGGTCGTAGTGCTTACTGACGCGCGTGGTGTGTTGCAATAGTTCCTTGACGACCACTCAACGCGAGATCCTGACAGAGCTTCAGAAGATCTTGATGACAGTAAACCAATTGTAAAAAACCATCAGTTCTGTTTTTTCTTTCTTGTTTTGAGCTTTGTTTTTGTTTCCTTCAACTTACCATGACCTTGAAGGAATGATTCGTTACTCAAGACGATAGCGCTAGCGAAGGAAGGTGGGGATATGCAGCGCCTGCAGAAGGAGGTTATCACTACTGGTGGAAAGGTCTTTGGAGATGCGCTGGGCAAAGATGGGATGGACGTGGCCGATAATATGGAAGAGGATTGATCGTGCACAATAAAATTCTTTCTATGTAGACTGTATATAATGTTTTCCCTGTGCAGCGATCCCACGTTGAGCCCACCCAGAGAACACTATCAAATTTTACATAGTTATTGGTGGTACTGCATTTTCTAACGAGTGATATAACGTGAAGATAACGCAGGCGGAGATATAGTATCGGAAAACAGTCCTTTATGGGAATATAACACTATGATCATGAAGTCTTACTTTACATAGTCGGAGATATGATCTGGTCCAGAGCTGGTGTGGTGTGCCTTGCAGAATCTAGTCTGAGCTCAGAACTGCGGCCCCGAGAAAGCTGAGATTTTAGCCATAACTAATTAAGTATGTAGAGTACTTAAGTACATGTATTTAGTAAAAAAAACCCTAAAAAGCCATCACAAGCCCAACGCCCCCGTTAAAGTCGATAACCATTTATTAATAAGCTCACAAATAACTAATCTAAATAGCATAATCTTCCTCCTTGTGGTCAGGAAGCATTATGATTGGTTGGTTTTCTTCTACCAGGACTGCTATGCAGTAGATAGTGGACAAATTGCAAAGAGCCACTCCCGAGTTCGGAAGGGATGCGACATGAATGACTGGCTTCGTAGATAGAATGGACATTACAATATCCACTTAGAGGTCGTACATTGATTGGACAGTATATTTCTCTCTCTTAGGCTTAAGCTTTAGCGAATTTGCGGCCGGAGGCTGCATTCCACTTGTATAATATAATAACGTATTGTACTGCGAAACCGCCCATGATAGGGATTCCGCCCACATAGCAACGGGTCACGAACCACAACCCGTGAGGGTAAAAATAATATCATTACTCAAAATAAAAACTACCTACTCATTCTATATAATCTATTGACCTTTAAATTGACTTCTTGTCACCCTAGTTCCCCTGGGTTGGGGTGTGGTAGCCTCAAAGTCATCAATGTGTTTCCATTGCCGGCCCCCTCCATACTCCTCACTAGACCCTCCATCCTCCTCCTCCAACCATTCTTCTTCATCACTATGGTGATCTATCCTTTGTACCATAACCCCATTAGATAACTTGACCGCTTTTTTGACTATCCCTTTAACTTTCCCTTTAGATGATTTGCCACCAAGGTCATGTGTCTTTTTCTTTTCTTCCTTGATAGCGGCTTTGGCTGCTCTTGTTGCATCTGCAGCCTCTCTAATTTCCCTGAGCCTAATTACCTCTTCAGTAGTAATCACCCTCGCTTTAGAAAGCCGCTTCCTATCTGTAAAATTATTCTTGGACTTTTTGGCAGCGGCTTCTCTAATTTTCTGGTGAACATGATCATTGATTTCCTTATCTGTAATAGCCTGCTGTAAACCTTTATCCATCTGTTTGACAATGGCACGCAACTTGCATGCGCTGTCATTGTTTCCTTTAATATATGACAAAGCCAATTTAGTAGTTGATCTAGCCATCCTAGAATTGCGAGGGGTGGCGGTGATCGCCAAAGAGTCTCGGCGATTTGCAGACGCCGAGATTTTGGGGTTTGAGACGCGCCGAGGGTTAAAGGGCCAGATGCCAGCTGCTTCCCATGCAGCGCATATATTCTTGTTAGTATAAGTCATGCGCCGAGCCCTGAACAGGTATCTATCTAATGTTAGTTGAGGGAATGTAGGACAACGGAGCAGGTCAACATACTGCAGGAACATGCCCTTATTGATGCCCAATTCACCACCTTGGGCAGCCTCATCTAGAATATTGCTGTAATGGCATTGCAAAGGCCCAAATAGGCCTATATCCAGCGGTTGGAGAAGGTGGGTGGAGTGTGGAGGTAAGCAAAATGGTATTATTTTATGCTTAAGGCAGTAATCAAAAAATTCCCAAGTGACATGTGATGCGTGTCCATCCATTATTAGCAATCTCCACGCCCCATTTGCCCTATAAAAACCGTTAATATAATTCAATTATGGATGGTTTTGGAAAGGTACTGACGTCTCGGCACTGAATTTTTCGAAGTTTTTAGTCAACCATTCCATCCCCAGGAATGTATCAGTCCAACCCTTGGGTGAAAACCCAAACGTAGCCAAATCATTAGCTGTTACTCCTGCATACCACCCTTTATAATGTCCAATACCTTGATTAATAATCATAGGTGGTAGAGGTTCTCCGGCTGCATTTACAGTTTCAATAACCGTCACCCATTCTCGGTTACCATTGTGCGTCAAGCGTGGGTTCTTGCGACCGCAACGGCAGATCACCTTGCACTTAGAAGCGATTCCCATCATGAACCCTTTCTCATCCATGTTGTAGGAGTTTTTGGGAAGGATATTATAAAGCTTAATAACGTGTCGTAGCTGTAAAATTATATCAACGTTTTATTCCGAAAATATAGCGACCAATGGATTGAGTAGTACCTTGTCAAAGTAGTCTTTTAACAATCTAGGATTATTGGCAAATGCTCTTTGCCTTTCAATACGTCCGGTAAAGCGCGATGACAGCTCAGGATTGCGATCGAGAAATCGTGTTAACCAGTGCTGACCCAATTTGCGACCGCTTGCACGTTTAGAGACTAGATATGCAGCCATCTCTTTTACCAGACTTAAGTGCAGCGGAAATCCCCAGTCGTCCATGCGTTCGCACCATTGTACTATTGACTTTTCTTCGTACTCAGTCAATAGTTGTTGATGCCGATGACTTTCCCTTCTGCTCTGGGCACCTCGGAGGCGGTCACGAAGAGTTGACCATGGTATGCTGAACTTCTCGGCTGATGCTCTGATAGACGGCTCAAGTGTTTTGTAATAGTCCTTTATTGCTAGTTGTATCAGGTTCTCATGCTCCTCCTTCGCTCTACCTTTCAAACGGCCCATGTTGATAGCGAAGAATGCGTTGACTACTACTATTCTATCTTGCCGAACCTTTTATGAGTACAGCCGGCGTTTGCATCTTCACTTGGCGTTGAGCGTTGAGGAGTGCCAAGACTCTGTGCGGAATCTATGTCTTGGGCGGTTTCACGGTACAGTACGTTATGCAAAACTAATCCTTTGTGTTGGTGTGACGGCCAGCGACTAAAGTACATACTTGTGTACTTAATGAACCATACAATATTCGCATACTGACCTACAAATAGTAATAAATCCATTCACAAGATTTATGGAGGGAGAGCCTCAAGTTAAAACCCTAATTAAACCACGCTTCTTTCGAGCTCAAAGTCGGTTTCTGCCAATGAGAATTCAAGCTGACACACCTACCCTCTACTAGTATCATGAATTGAGCTATGCCCTAAAATAAATAACCGATCAACATTTATCTTCGGGTTAACCTTTGGGCCGTAGGCGAGAGCATACTAAGCTCGGAATATCACAGCCTTATAATTAAGAGACGCGTCGATCTCCAAAGACTTGGCACAGCCTTTGATTTATCCGAAGATCGCTTATTGGATGATTCCTTGAACTAGTGTTCAGCTCTGGAGGGTTTTAAAGCTACAGGAGCGCGTATAACCCATGGCCAGCAAACTTCATGGATCCAAAGTTTAAATGGATTCACGTGGACCACTATTCCCATAGCCACATATAATCTAAAAAGTTGACTTTTTGCGGAGCAACATTTCGCCGAATAGACGAAGTTTTTGCGGAGCAACATTTCGCCGAATAGACGAAGTTGTTGCTGAAAACGCCAATAATACTACAGATTTGGTCGCGTCACTCATCTTCATAGATGTAAACCACTATAGTTCTTAATGAACTTAAAACTGGTAGTGATCAGTATTACTAGTTTCTTTTTGGGCGGGGCATTATCTCACCGAGTAGACGAAGGGAGGCTGAGGACTTCTTAATCGTAATTTGAATATAAGAATGAATGCGAAGCTCCTTACTGTAGATTCAATCTCGATAATTCAAGCCATACATCTAGAGCAATTTTCCTCCTTTTCTACTTTCTCATATAACTAAACTTCCCTCCTTTACTTTGAATGTCTTGTGTAAGTGAAAACGCTTTTCTTCGTGGCTACAGAGCAACTTACAAAACCCTCGGGTTTTACAGAGGTTATAATTTCCCTCTATGTATGTTCTAGTCCATAACCTCGTATATACCGCATTGGATCAAATCTAATGCAATCAGGGTTCGTGTTCGGTGGAGCTTTACTCGGCTTCTCGCTTTCCAGACTTGGATACCTAGATATAGCAGGGATCTTTTCGAAGGAAGCCAGTCCTGGGGAATGGTTTTGGTACCGGCATGGAGTTGATAGAAGTTAGTTATTTGGTCTTTTACATTGGAATCATCGCAAAGCTGACAGCTGAATTAGTTGGTATCACGATACACCTAGCAGCAATTCTACCCTGCGGCATCCTATCAGTATTCCAATTCGTCCCCATTATACGTCATGTTAGCCCCCTCTTCCTTTCATATTTAGACCTGGATCGTAACTCATATAAACAGAAAGCCTTGATAGTACATCGTATTGATGGGTACATCATCCTCATACTTTTATGGATCGCTACAGCTGGTGCACTCATGATAGCCCGTCGTGCATTCGGCGGAGATCCTATAACTCAGGCTGGGACATATTTTTTGTCCTTTATAACACTTGTGGCTTCGTCTATGGCATACTATAACATCAAAAGGCTACAAATTGACCAGCATAGGAACTGGATGCTCAGAGCGATGGTTTATGTTAGTAACTTTGGAACGGTTGCAATTTAGTTAGACTGAGCTGACATGACTATATGTGCAATAGATGTCGAGTATTATAACGCTCCGCCTTGTGATGGTGATTGGCGCGAAAATCATCACCAGTATCAATTCATACTACAGGGTGAGTCGCACGCACAGAACCAATCCACAAAAGCTAGTGAAGGCCTAATCTTATTCCCTACCTTAGCTTATGCGTTGCGACGAAGTCGCGTTTATCATGGATGACGCCTCTCGGTTCGCAGAATCCTACCCTACCTGCTTGACTAATGCCAATTATGGCTATATTGCTGTTCAAGCGTCGTTCAAGTCCGGATCCTCACCCGAGAAGATCGGTGCTGCGTTCCGGTTGACCTTTGGGATGGGAATGTGGATTGCTATCTTAGTTCATGTTATTGGGGTAGAGATATATGTAGGCCCTCCCGGTTTAATTAGTTTTGTTGAGTGTTGCTATGATACTAACATTGCCAAAGATTCGATTGACACCTGCTGAATCTGAGAGGTTGAGAGGAGTGGCGTACGAGAAGCAGCTGAAAGCAGGACTGACTCCTGCAGGGAGTGCGGGGCTTACGACGGATGTTTGGGGAGACGCAGTTTGGGCGCCGAAGAAGAGTGCGGACGCGGAATCTGTACCACTCCAAATGTTGAGTCATGACCAGTAAAGAGGCGGTTGTCGGAAGTTATAGATTTTGGCGGTTTTAAAGTTTGGTGTATGTACTGAGATATAGTAGCTGTACATACATGTACATGTAGTTTCATAGAAGTCATATGTCCTATATTTATGTTACATGTGGCTTTTAACCACATCCACAAACCCCCATCCCGCTCCCTCATGTGATTGAAACGTTCGAACAAGCCTAGCCCCAAGGTTGTAAGCCAAAGATCAATTAACCCCTAACCTGTTATCAAAGCAGAAACTTCATTTAAAGTCAAATTTCAAGGGGATCCTCCTGGGCGTTAGCTCACCTCCGTTGGATTTTCTACCATAGCCTCCAGGCTTCAAACAATTAATAAATTACCAATCAATCAATCTGCGTTCTGAACCTTGCCGAGTGATGGATGATGATTATTCCGGACTAAACCAAACATGGCTTAGGAGGAGAGCATAACCGGTAAATTCTTTGGTATTTGACGTTTCCGATTCCGTTTATGAATTTTTGTTCTTCAGTTGCCGTCATGGAAAGTTTGCCTAGGCTTCGTTGTAAGTAAGTTGCGCGTACTTGCGGCGAGAAAGCGGCGGCTGAGACTTATATATACGTAGTATTCTCGCTGTAATTACATCTAGTACGTACATGGCGCTTGAGGTTATGCTACCGGTCTCAAGCAACAGCTTTTGTAAAATTATATCTACGAATGAAAACCTCACATTACTGCCACCTTTTGAATTTTATATAGTTCCACATTTTTCATACAAGGCACTCTCAAGGCTGACATCTACGCCCGAACCACTGGAGTATCTAGGGCACCCTTTTCTTCGCGCCCAAAAATTTCGAACTCCAAATGCCATCCATCAATCTGATATAATACTGAGAAAATGATACATCGGTTGTCAAAACAACCGGCAGAGTACCACAAAACAAATCCCATAACTCCAAGAATTTAAGGTCCCATAAAGCTAGAAAACAAGAAGAACCAATAATTACCACCACACCACAAGCAATGAAAGACATTACTAATTACGTCACTAGTTCATAAGAATGATATGCCTCACCCCTACCAGTTCCAGGTACGGTTCGCAGCATTGAATACAGGGGGTTTCCACTGTAGAAGTTCAGGATCAAGCGTGCGTTTGCCTTTAATCTTCTGTTTTTCTCTCTGTTTCTCCTTCTGTGCTAGGATTGCATCAGTGAGACAGATAACATGTTGTCCTTTCTAAAGAGATGTCAGAAAAAAAACATAAAAGAGGTTGAAAAGGGCGGAATTGTGGGTAACAAACATAGTACTTGAGCATATTGAGATTCTGCAGTGTATGAATAACATCTTGGGTGGTCATCGCGCTCGAACTGGCCAGTTCATCAATAGTTGTCTCTCCTTTAACAAGCATGAGCTGATCCACGATAGTGTCCTGCCAGAATGCACGATAACTCAGCAACCCCAAATCCGAAAGCGGCTTTTCGGGAGACCCAAGCTTTCCTTCCCTTTTCGAGAGTTCGTAAGAGAATGCGATCAGAAGTTTTCCATAACCATGGCGCTGGTATTGTGGTAGGGTAAGAATACAAGCCACATTATACCCCTCTGCGGATTCCTTTTCTTTAGAAAAGTACCCAATTAGATGGCACCCATACTCATCCCGAGTTGTCATGCAGTAGAAGAGGAAAGGGTCAACATCGTAGTAGAGCGTCTTGTGGTCTAAAAAGCATTTAGACAACAAACATAGGTTTCGGCACCATGTGCGTTGCCGTCGACCATCAATTTCGAAAAATGAGACATTTGCATCGCGATAAATCTCATTTCCTGGGGGATGAAATAATGTGCACTTTCCCCTGTGGCGTTCAAACCGACGGGGCTCTCCAAAGTACGAAAGGCAGAACTCGCAAATATACACAGTTTCTTCCTCTGTGTATTCTATTGGATATGGTGAAAAATACCAAGGCTCAACTTCATATTTTCCCATCTGAAGCTTTGACAAGTTACGGACACGGGAAATTTCGTGGGCAGACTGTGTCATCGAGCCAGACGTCCGAAGCTTTTCAATTTCATGCTCCTTTGAAAAGGTATCGGGTTGTTGGGCAATCGCGTTCCCTTGTTTTGCAGCAGCAGCTCGAGCCGCCGCAACCTCAGATGATATTTCCGGCTCCTCATCTTCTACACCAGGAGTACCAGTATCGCCCACAGTTTCTGATTGTATAACCAGCGAATCGTCATTCTCTTGAACAATTGATGCGTTTCTTCCCCTGTTCTTTGGTGCTTTTTGTCCAACAGTAGGTGTGCCAGGACCTAGACTGTCTCGTCTCGGTCGCTTCGGTGCACGTGACGCGGTGTCACGTGGTGTGGTAGCTTTCCCATTCTTTTCAGTCTTTGCGACTTTTTTCTCGGGGCGAGGCCACTCGACCTCGCGTTTAAGATCGAGGCGTGTTGCGGGAACCCATTCGTCAAGCCGTTTATTGAATTCATCGTAGTGAATATAGTAGTATGGCTCGCCTTTGCGGGTCTGAACTGACAAGATCTCGGCCCAACGATGTTCCTTAGAACTCTCATGGTAAACATAAAGCTTAACACCTATGCTAATTCAATGTCAGAAAACCCTTTAGACCATCGCGTTGGAATAAAAATGAGGAACACAGGAGACACATACCGGAGAGTAGCGAGAGTGGCAATCGATTTCTCGCCGGTTTCAACAACCGGGGTGCCGGCGTCAGCGCTGGTATCGCGTGCAGGCATCATGTATTACTGTAACAATTATAATACGGTATTTGTAGGTGAGTATATGCCAGGTTTGTGGTGATAATCCTCCTGACAGTTGGGGGTTGAACCTCAGAAAGATGAGATGACGTTGAAAGCTTGGATACGTAAGCGGTGCACTAATACAAATGGGGCTGTATTGATTGTTACACGGATTAGGGCTAATCATAAATTAGGAGTACTACATGTAGGTACCGTACTGTATGTACAAGTATCACTCATCTTCACCAGCTTGTGTATGCAAGTATTAAATTTTGATCCCGTCAACTGATACCTTATGAACTACAGTACCAAAAAGGGGGGTGTATACATTACCGAAGTAATACGGTAGTAATACCGCTTTTTCTTGATTACCGTATTCTTTCCATTACTGGTTTATTTCGGTATTCTGTGCAATAAATAGTTCCAGAAATACTGCAATGTTGGGTGATTACCGTAATTGCCAGAATGCGTATTGTACCAAATACCGTATCAATACCGTATCAATACTGAAACCTATCACCGCACCTCGCCGCTAGTGGCCCGCACCCCCTACTAGAGGCCACCCACCCCCTGTATGACCTCCACCTTGTCAGGCTACATGTGCATCTACTACATGTACATATACGTATACATGCATCATGATCAACAGCTTCAAAAGCCTCGCCTATATATGAGGTATCCAGCATGTATATTCATCAATCTGAACTGATACCTGGGTATATAGGAGAAGGAAATTTTATTTTTCAAAAGTAGTTCGCAACTTTTGCACCCCATCACCGGAGGATGGAAAGCTATGAAGATATTGATGAATCAATATCTGACGATGTTTCATAGCTCAAGGTTCATGAGATGCTTCATGGCCAGAATATGTATTAGGGTTAGGTAATAGGTATTTGCTAGAATACTGTAGTAATACTGTAGCTAAAGCAATACCATATTCTGTAGAATACTGTGTTACCCCAGAATACAAATTGCGGAAAATACCGGCATCCATCCGAATGCGCATTTCATATAATAAGTATTGTGGAGACTGTTGCATTGCTAGGACTACGGTACAGCTACGGTATTGCGTCACTGAATACAGTAATCTACAGAATGTGGTATTTGTCCGGTATTGAGAATACCCCCCCCCCCCCCCCCCCCCACTTTTTGGTACTGTATGCCTAAATTTATCCCCGTTGGAAGGTTCAGGCACCCATGGAAAACCATATCTTGGCGCGGATATGTCAGTTACACAGTGTACACGATCATTTCGTACTCTTGCTCCAATTATCAGAAAAGGCATTTGAGACTGTCTGATATATATGTGCTTGATGATAAGTCGATTGGTTGGGAGGTTCGTGCCCAGTTTACCCAGAGGAACATATAAGGAAAATTATCAAGATCTATTTTTCATGACAGTCCATTTTATCTGATCGGGTTGGAGTTATTCCAATGATACGGCTCCATCATATCCGTGCTCTGCCATCCCCATTGATATCTGAATATAACCATCTTCCATGACTAGCTCATTCATATCAGAATACCTCTATCAAAGTAGCCCGATAACACGGCTATCGTGCCAGTGACTCGCAACCTACATTTTTAATAACAAATATAAAAAGGGGGGAGGGAATAGTACCTGATTTAAGAGAATAGAGATATAAGTGAGAAAAGAACCTAAAAACACGAAAGGGAATGGGAAAAAGAGAAAAAAAGAATTCAACGCCGTTTCCGATTCATGCTATGCCCTTGCGAAACAAAAAAACCCATCCCCCTAGTAAACAACCCGCGCCCAGACAGGAAGTGAAACGAAATAGTAACAATATACAAAAAAAACCTCTGTAATGATACATCTGCAGGAAAATGAAGAACTAAAAATCCGTAGACTTACCAAAAAGACTAGACATCAAAGAAGAGAAATATGTTGCGAGAGATTGAAGATTCAAATTGACAGCAGTAATGGAAAACTTTGGATTTCAAAAAGTAAAGAACCCCCCTATGTTCATGCTAATCAAGAAGACCTCGGCGTTCCATTTGCAAGCGGATCCTTAAGCTTTAAAACAATCCTAGGGGCCTTGTTATGCGATTGTCGGGGCGTGGAATTATTGGAGGAAGATGCCTTGGGTGTGGCGGACGGTCTGGGGGTGCTTGATGGTTTCGGGGTGGACTTTGGGGTAGATTTCGGAGCCGACTTAGAGACGGATGGTGTCCTCTCTATATTGGGCCTAGAATCCTTGATCTTTCTCCCTATTGGCGTGCCGTTGACCCTCGGTTTCGGCGTTGTGATGAGTTTGAGTGGTTTTAATTGCACAGGAGGCGGCGGCGGCGGAAGTGGCTTTGCTGCGAGGTCATATGACCACTTAAATTTCAATACAGCCTAGTAAGGTATGTTAACAAGCGGTATTTATTATTCACTATGACCACCGTTAAACAAACCTTTCCTATATGTTCACACCTAAGATGGCGTGGACGTTTCATCACGACAATGAGCGAATCCTTCGTAGAGTATAGAAGTCTGCAAATATCTGTTAAGTCACGCAACTCAAGCAATCCAATGTCTTGAGACCTAAACAACAAGTAAATAGTCAGCTCAGACACAAACATTCTCGACGGGAGTTCACTAACGTGCATGCCTTCCAGAGGCTCTCCTTCAAAACCTTGTCCTCTCCAATTTCTTTCTTCAAAGAGGCAATTGCGCCAGAAATGGTCTCTCGGGCAAGTTCATCCTTACGTGAGCTCGAAGAGTCCCCCCCGTCCTCAATTATCATCATCTCGCCTAACTCCATATCCGGTTCGTCTTTCACTTTTGATTTGTCGTCACCGGTAGCTATCATTCCCAACCCCTTTACAAGGGCGCCATAAACACGCTTGCGGATATAGGCTGAGGGATCCGTTCCGATAACCTTGCATATGTACTCGACTAATACAGGGGTACGGAGAGCGCCAAGATCAATCATGCAGTCAAAAGCTTTTGCTCGAAGAGTTTCCAGTGTGCCCTCTCTAGTGTAAGACATGAAAAGCTCCATCTTAGCATCCTTCACACCTAATAAAGTCAAGTCTCTCCGAATCTATAATTGACGTTAACTACCACAGATCCCGTCTTCGTGGACTCTAGTTTTACCTCTAAAGAAACTTCAGAAACAATGTTCTGATAAGTCGGCTGCCACTGATCCATACGTTGATACCTTAAAATTTCTCTAATAGCAGCTTCCTGCGTAGCCGCAGCCTCGTCGTCCTCAAATTCATAGTGGTGGCCAAATTCACCTCCAGCATTTTTTGTCAATGTGAGGGTGTTAGCTAACGCTTTCATAAGATTGGCCACATAATGGCAGTCATCAAACTTTTTTACAGTTAGCGCATTATGAAAATCTTCATATAGTAGGGGGCTTACGTTATTGTTTGAATTGTCATTGTACCGAAGTACGTCCAGCAGCCATTTTTGCGCGCTTGTTGGGCAAGCCCCCGAAAGATTCCTGATCCGTGACATCGATGTTGGTATTGCTTTCTGCACGTAATACGAGGTGAAGTCCGTGAAATCATTACTTCTGGGTATCGCTGATCCTGGGAAACAGAAAAACTCCTGGAATGCCTTCATAAGGTGAAACTGTCCCACCCATGCCAAGTCGGCAGTAGCGCACTATATTTCGTTAGCTAGGTGGCCCCAAGACTCGCTAAGATTAACACACCTTAGATAATGCGAGCGCAGCCTCTGTGCGTATACCATGATAATATCGTCGATCCATCAATGTCCTTACTAGAATTGAGGATATTAAAGCGGACTCTTTTATGCTTGCAAGGTGCTGCAATGCCTATAGCAAATATGTTAATCCCATACACTATTGAACACTTTTAGAAATTATACCTCATACTGAGCAATAACGTCCCTGTCTTGCTGTAGCTGGGAAAGAAACATATAGTCCGGCTGCCCAACTTTAAGGGTGCAGATCCACTCAAAATCAGCATCCATACGAATCCACTCAAATGACTCTTGTGCCATCTTATCCTCGTCCTCTTTCGACCAATCTTCTAACCTCCAATCATCTACCTCCTCTTCACTCTGTAGCACATCGCCCAAACAATAGAGTAGTACATCATCATTCTGTGCATCAATACTGATATCGACGCCCGCACCAGCAGCAGCCCTTTCTTTCTGTCGCCGAGAACGCTTGAGCCTTTTATACTTCGTGTTGTAAGGGATATCAAGCTTTGTATATGTATCCTTGATGTCGACAACATGTTCATAAGGCGTTCCATCTGCCTCGTGGATTCGAATGGTCATTGGGCCAGTGAACAAGGGCAATGGAGGTCCCACTGCTATATGTCGGACATGCTCTTGAGCATCGTTAAAGAAGCTTTCTGCAGTTACTTTGTGATGTGTTGGGGTTTCTGTCGCTTGAACTTGTCGAATTCCCATTTCCACGATCATACGCTTCTTATTGAACCTTTGCGAAACCTCAAACCGTGGATACCCTGATCCATAAACCCACTGCTGAAAAAAAGGGTCTAATTTAGTGTGGCTGCTCTTCTCACACACTCGGATAAAGTGCTTGGTACTCATGAGTCCGTTCTTCAGCTCGCCTGCCACTGCCCCTAGGAACGTCTTTCGAACCACACGGTGCAAAACCATGGAAGAACTGACTTTCCACAATCTCTTCTCAAGGATCGTCAAAACTACAGGAGCCTTAAGCTTGATGAAATCCAAACATCCCTGATCAATTGGAACCGCAAATCCCGCAGCGTAAAGCGATGGACGCCCAATATCCAGCTCACATATTTTTTCCGCATCCCTTTTGAGTCTGAAACGGTATTCATTGTTGCCCATCAATGTCTTCAGAAAGCATCCAGTCATCCAGTACGCAATCCCGATAATAACCCAAGTGTCCTGCCAGTCCTTCGGTACCACTTGCACCCCAGACCATTGTGTTGCCAGGGCATATGTGAGTTTCCGAGTAACCGGCCAAATTGGATCGATTACATGCTCCGGGAAAAGTAAGCGGTTACTGCATATAACCAACGAAGCTGATTCTGTAGTATCCATTGCTAAATCATCAACGAAACAAACTTTGAACGCCTGGAAGACATATTGTCCGAATTCCTTGAAGATATAATCTAGAGCCTGCTAAATGTTAGCCAAAAATCAAGGGGGAAAAGAGTGAGGCACATTCCCAGGAAATACCTTTGGAATGAACATGCAGGTGTTCCTAAGATCTGGCTCCCTCCCTGGGAGACAATACCCTAGCACATCAACACTCATAGTTCCCATAGCCTCCTCGGTTTCTACATCCCGATACTCTGAAAGATTAACACGTTCAAAGGGACCGGCTGCAATCGAGATATGTTGTGGGGCCACTGCTTGAAGTTGCTCAAACTTTAAAGTCTTTTTCCAAGACTCGGTAGGATGAGTTTCCTTCGTACCGTTAGCAGAATGATCAAGTAGATTTATTGAATTCCAACTAACCTCGTCTTTATAGTTGCCGCTACAAACAACTGTCATATCAAGATCCCCATCTTCATCTGCTACGTCTTCTGCACCCATTTCGTCTGGAGACTCGTGAGTTCCATTAACACCGTTGATTCCATTAGTTGCAGGGCCATTTCCGTTCACCTGTGGCGATGGTGATTGAGATGACGTCTTTTCAATGTCCCCGATAGTTTTCGGTACCGTCACCTCAATCTCCCATGTCCACCTCTCGTGAATTCCATCAAGAGTTGGGAAAAGACAACATGCAGATCCTGGTAGAGGGGTATGGGTAGTATAGGCATGAGGGTATCGCAGATCACCGGCATCACAGCCCACAAAGGTGAATCCATCACGAACATGCTCAATTACATATTCGATCCTTACTTTTAACGGGCTGAATATGAAAGATGTATCTGATCTGGGCAGGGCAGGGGTCATAGCTCCATTTGCGGCAATGTCTGGAGATTCCCGTCTGATACCAGGATTACTTCGCCCAACAGGGGGGTTTTGAGTGCTAATACTAAGAGGATCCTACACTCAAACTTGTAAACAAATCAAATACCTCCAACCATATGAGGCCCTTAACAAGGCAGAAAAAAGAACTCACAACGGATTCTATCTTAACCTTCGGAGGTAAATGAATAACCAGTTCATGCTCCGGAGGATCACTGAGCGCCGGATCAAGTTTTTTCATAAGCTGATGATGTTGATGCACTGTGGCGGTATCGTGGATTTTGAAGCTGCTATACGGTTCCTTATAGGTTAACGATGGGGACTTCCCATTGACAAGGCATTTTGTAATTTCTATGATTTTACAAGATTAGTTGACCGCTGTGAAAGTCACTTTGCTGCCCAAGATAATACGTACTGCATTGTCTGCAGTTCAGTCGGAGTTGCTTTAAAGTAGCCTCTGTCGGATTGATGGTAATCTCCGTCCAGCCCTATTTACGCGTGTATATCAGCACAGACATCCCTGCGGGGGTCTAGATGCAGAGATTTCATACCTTCAGGCTTTTGTTTGCGAAATTTATATCTAATCCAACCTTTTGGTGACCTGTGCAAAACTGTCAGCCACATAACGCTAGGAAACAGAACGTGAATCGGGAAACTTATATATTAAACCCGCGATTATAAACTACTTGTGGCGGGGGTGGCGCCTGTGCTTGTGGTTGGGATTGGTTATGTTGCGATGACTGCGAATAGTGCTGCGATGACTGCGCGAATATAGGCACCTCCGTAGCTGCCGGCATCTTGCCAAATTATTCAAATAAAAGTAAAAATGAAGCTTGTTGAAGATGCTGAAGTAGAGGTGGCGTAGCGGGGAGTAGTTCAGTGAAGTTGTGCGATCGAAACACGCAAAAAACGTAGGAAATTTCGGCGTCCTTTTTGTGTCGTCCCTTCTATACCAGCAAGAGCACGGTCTTCATCCTATTTTGGCTCCCCTCCCCAAAAGATTCTATTGCGGAACAAGCTAGGTTCTCTCCCTTTTTTCAAAAACCCTCTCTTCTTTTGACCCTAAAAGCCCCTCCTGTGTATTCCGCAACCTATCCTTCTGAGCCCCTCCAACCAGCGATCTCGAGCCTCTCAAGCTTGCCAAAGATACCAAAAGCTCCTCTGGCAATCGTTGCGCACGTATGTTTGAGCTGTCGCGGTTGTTGCTCTGCTTTTTCGTTTCTAATGTTGTTGAAATTCTAAAGCAATCACGGTTCGAAACGCTCGTCGAGTCCCCGGTGGTGATGGTACGAGCGACGCGGCGGAATAAAGGGGTTTGAGGAGGAATACAGAGGCGGACTACCGAAGGCGAAGAAGTGTCCTGTCGAGAGGTATCTCAGTGAATGGTAGATTGAGGCTTGTCGTGCCTGAGAACTAACGGTGGGTTGTTGTCGGAGTCAGCGACGATTGAGCGTCATTATCTATGGGGCTGCACAGGCGTCGAGACAGAAAGGCGTGAAGTCGGCTAGTGTAGCTGTTCTAGCCGCATGTGGCTTCAGGTCTTGGCATATCGCACATAGCAATGCGAACCAGAAATCTGCAGGAAAATGCTTCCTAACATAGCACCTACATACGTCTCTACTGCAACCAATAAACAGCATCTCCCTTTTTTTTTTTTTTTTTTTTTTTGGGGGGGGGGGGGGGGGGGGGAACACGTGAGAATCTCTCTTCTTTGTATATGTGTACCTGCCGCTGCCGAATACTTCCCGGCTGGAGACGAGAACAAGCTGCAGAAGCAAACAGAGATCCACGCAGGATATGCAGACTGTCTACATTGAAACACCATATATAGATTACAGTAAGTCTGCTAGCACTTCATTCCCGACAATAGTATCCTGAGATACATAATATACAGTATTGTGAAAGTACAGCGGAAGCTGATGGTAAAAATACACTGCATGACACGCCATGCCACCAGAAAAACTAAATTCGCAAGTGCCAGAGATGGAGAACCAGAGAGAAGAGAGTAAAAAAGAAAAGCCCATAACCACGACGATCCCAATGAACAAAGTAGAATAAAAACAAGAAATGATACGAACAATAAATTGCCCAGAAGCTTACTAAGGGGGGGGGGGGGGGGGGGGGGGGGAGGGGGGGGGGGAGCGCGGATGAGGAAGAACATAAAATAGGGATGGAGATAAAAGACCCGAGAAAAAGATACCATAATACACCACCTCCCGGAAAACCGCAATATGAGAAGGAAAAAAGGAAAAAATTAACACCATGTGATATTATGTACTTTCCCTAACGCTCCGTAAATAGCAACCCTCAACACGCTCCCTTATTTAGAAATCCTCCTGCGGGCCCTGAGATGCCTCGCTGTTTTTTGGTGGAATTCTTCGGGAAGTTCAAAATCTTTGATTTCGAGCTCCGGGAGGGATACCCCGAAAGGCTTCAGATTTCGTGAACTTTTTCTAGAAGTGTTGAGTACAGCTTGACGCATGTGTGGATTATTATAGAACGAGATGAATGGCTTGTGTATTGGTTGTTTCTTCTTTGGACTCTCGGCGGCGGCGAGTCGATGAGAGGATTTGGATGATTTCGATGTGTGACGATGTTGCTTTGAGCGATGAAGATGATCGCCGTCGTCGGAATCGTCTGTGATAGCATATATATCCTTTTCTGCTTTTCCATCCTCCTTATCTTCTTCGCCTTCATCTTCATTTTCATAGAAAGCCCGCCCGTTAGGGTCTCCAGATTCATCTAGATCTCGCTCTTGACTGTTTGTTAAGCTTCTGCTTGTTCTTCCGGCGGCAGCAAGCTTTTTTCTTCTCTCTTCCTCCTTCCAGGCCTTGAATTTTCTCAATAATGACTCATGCCATCTAATCACTCCGGCCTTTCTCTTCTCCATTTCGACTAGTCCGAGTTTCTGGGCAATTGTGCTAAGGTTAAATGTCTTTATCCAGTCAGGTCCTCGTAACCGTTCCAACCTATCTTCGTATCTTTGCTTATCATGGGCTGCCCTATCACGCTCAACATTGCGTAGGCGCTTTTCCTCCCTTCCCATGGAGGTGTGTGGCCTGATATAAATGTCTTCTGATAACGGATCTACAGCAAACCTAGTAAGCCGAGAACTACTGGCGCGGGCTTCTTCTTCGAGGTTGATAGTCTCGATAACTACTTGGCGGGTTGGGGGGATAGATTTCTGTGGCTCGGCCAAAGAATCTACTATTCCGATATTGACAGTTTCTGGGGATCGAGTTGCCTCAATGCCGTTTATATCAGCATTTCCGTTGACAGTGATGCCATTAATTCTGTTTGTGCTGGCGCTTTGTGCGTTTCTGGGAGTAGTATCGTTCTCCACAATTCTCATAGGATGATCAATATCAACAATAAAATCTACATTTTAAATTAGCCACTCAGTTAAGTACGAATAATGAGAGATAATTTACCATCCTCATCCTCTCGGTCTTCGAACCACTCTGCCAATTCGCTCTTTTGCTGGGTGTCTTGACTACGAGTTACTCTTTTGTCGCCTTCCTTTTTATCATTTTCATTTGGGTTATTTGTTGTTGTGGTTGCTGTCGTTGTGCGGATATGGATAGGTTGTTGCTTTGAAGCTGTAAACCTCCGGGCTTTCTTGGGTGGAGGTTGCAGATCCCCTTTTCCACCACCGATGCTCTTGGGAACGGAACGCTTTCGCTTCCCGATCAATTGCGACGTTTGAGGAACGAAAGCGGCTGCATCCGCTGAGGGTGAGGGCGGTGTCGGTAGAGAAGCTGTGTCGGGTTCTTGGGAATTTTTGTACTTATTTTGAACTTTTCTCTTGCGTTTGTCGCCTCGTGCTTCTACGCCTTCGTTATCGGAAGATAGTCGCGCCATAGACCCAGCCTGAGGAGAGTCGGGGGACTCTGTCAAGGACGTAAACGATGTAGCTGGAGGCGTGGAGTTCTCGGACGAAGAGAATTCAGATGAGGCAGAGGTAGAAGTAGCAGCAGGAGGATTGACTTGTTTGCTGAAGCGCAGAATTATATGGACCTTTCGTTTCATGATGTAAAGACGTTTTCATTCTTCACTTCTATGACTAGTGGGGGAGAGGAAGGGGGCGGGGAGGGGCGTGACAGCGGGAAGTAATGGGGGGGGGCTTCTTTTTCAAGGTCTCTTTTGTTCAGAATTGATGGGACCGACGTCGGCTGCCTGGCTGACTGGTTGCGCAGAGTACATACACCGTAGCAGTGTCTTCGCGAACAAAAACTACTGACAGAGCTGGGATTTTGGGGTTCAAAAGTTCAAAGGTTTCGCACAGAGGGGTCTCTCCTTTCCTCACACCATGCACAGGAAGCAACCAAGCAGCGCGGGACACCCTACTAAACTCGATAACACTGTCGAAGTGTAGGTGCATCAGCATCTGAACTCACTCGCAGATCGATATTGCGCTGCAAGGCAGAGTTCGCTAGAGTACATTCTTGGGCTTCATCTCTTGAATGTGATAATTCTAAGCAGCTTTTGACGCTTCAGTTTATTACAGTAGCCACTGTGTATTAACCCAACCCAATCTCCATAACCAGCCCGATTCTAAAGGAAAAGTCATAAAAGTCTACCGTAGATACCTAAGTACCTACATACATACGTATATGCTAATCACGAAAGTGAAAGAAATGAATAAAAGAAAATGATATATGAAAACTTCTCAAAGAGGGGAAGAAAACACACATAAAAGTATTGGAAAAATATAACCATATAATTAATCAACGCGCATCAAAAATTGCTTTACCAGAGGCGAACCAGCAAACTCTGGGTTCAAAAGGATGCATCTGCCCAGTAACAAATCAGGTCAATCAATGTCTTATTCACTCTACGTAAAACCGATTGAACCAGTATACCAACGATAGAACTTACGAGAGGAAGTATGACAAGCCCTGGCGACGAGCCTCAAGAAATTTTGGACGGAACTTGGCTGGTAGGCCAGGAGTTAGTATGTTCTAACCACGGAGAGACCCAAATTCTCCGGACGTCAACGATAGATGAAACACGTACAAACAACACTTTTTGGCGGCAAAGCTGGTATAGACACTCCTGATCTTGGGAATGTCTCGATAAGCATATCCCGCAGCTCGACAAACTCGGAATACCTATTTTGTCCAGTCAGAAATCTCCGGGACAATACTGCCAAATGGTCGTAGCGGGGTGGAATCAATCGCGCACCGTTTTCGAACAGTAAACTGAGCTCCCTATGTATGACGACAGCAACGCATGAGCCTCAATAACTCATAATGAATCCCCAAGCAGACGCCAACTAACCTCGAACGTCTCAATCGAGCAATTCCAGGCCACATAGGCTCCCGCCCTCGTCCTACTACCAGAAATAATCAAATAATCCACCACCTTTGCGCTTCTTGCCCATATTCCAGGGCTATTCTCGCTTGGAATGATCGTGTGGTCGATAAGCTTAATGGTGAGAGGATGAAATCCCCGCTCTTCGTAGTCGTCATCCATATTGTGTTTAGGTTTGTTGAGTGAGGGTACCTATCATGTAGCCAGGTCAAGGTGTTCGTTTTCACGATCGTTGTTGCTGCCGTAACATGCTACGCTGGTATGTAGATGGTAAAGGAGCTGATGTGGCGGTGGCCGCACCATATGTGGCGGTGGACGTACGTAATTGACTGGATAAACACATATACATGCACATGTAATTGCTAAATGTAGATAGGTACAGTGGGCAGAATAAGCACATGCAAATACCAAAATCAACAGGCCACAGATGGTAGGTAGAGTACATGTAGTCGTTTCTTTCCATAATCCTCCTTCACCTGACCTGCCCTCCATATACCGAATGCCAAGCAAGCACAGATCTACTATACCGAACGAGTTTTAGAGACGAATATCTAAATCAATTGGAATTCGACTACAACTGTATGTATGCTAAATGGAAGATTTGGAATATGCGCGTTTCTTATAACGAGGGACGACTCAATAGCTAAGTTTACTGAGCTTAATCCGTAATGTTATTAGAGTACAGTTCATTAATCCAGTACATAGTAGATTGGAAAGGATTGAACGGACGGATCCTAACTTTCCGGGGAAGCTCAACGCATGGATAAAAATAAATTGAGCCAATCGGGTCTCAATAGTCGAAATATGGAGCACTTTGACTGTTGAGACAACAAAATCTAACTGTAAGGGGCCTGTCTGGGCCGTAGACTCAGGGATGCTGTCCATAGCGGGAAGGGAGGCAGGGGCCCCTTGGCACTCTCTCAGGCAATGTTACTATCTGCAGACTGCAGTCCTCTTTGGTCGTGTGTGTGTCGGTTTTTTGTGTCTGGGTAACGACATTCGCTCCTTCCTCTTCTCTTACCAGCCGCTTAATTGTCTGTTGGTTTGGGGGTTGTTTCCTTTCTCTTATAATCGCCTCCTTCTCTCCTTCTCCCCTTCTTTCCCTCTCCTCCTCTTTCAACTATCCATCCTCACTCGCTCGTCCCTTCTCGCACATTCGTTTGTTGCTAGTCCACCCCTAATACCCCTAGTCCTGTATGTTCCAATCCCCTCCATAATACGCCTAATCCAGGTAAACAAACCAGGGACCCTTACTGACCCTATTGCTTGTTTTAAAGTTACATATCATACCTTAATTACTGTTCAATATGCAGTCCTTCCTCATTTCCACCCTTCTCGCGTCCAGCGCTGTCTTCTCTACGGCATACGCCCAAGTATACAACTACCCTAACGTTACTGATATGTAAGTTTACCGACTACCTTACTCTATTCAAGAATCACAATACTAATAATCTATAACAAAACAGTGATATCAATGTCAGGAACCAGTGGTGTACTTCACAGACCTCTTCGTGTAAACTTTTGTGCCAGAATCAAGAACTGAAGGTTTCTGCCAACGAATGTTTTCCCGACAATCTCTACTACCAGTGCACTTGCTCTAACGGCCTAGCTCCCAATGCAACCGAGTAAGAGCCCTCTCTTCATGGGTTTTATTTCACGTAGATTCTGATGATTGTCAACAGATACTCCCAAACTATTCCGTTCTTCATCTGCCGTCTTGAAGTTGAGGACTGCCAGACTGCCTGTAGTGGCGATGCCACATGCATCAGTCTTTGCGCCTCGGGCAAGCAGTGCGGTGCGACCGACCCCACACGAGTAAACGCTACCACAACCACTTCTTCAACGAGCAAGTCTTCTGCTACTGGAAAGTCGTCAGCCACCCAGACAGACTCCAATGGCTTTGCCGTCACAGGAACTACTGAATCATCCAGCGCCGACTCATCCAACGGTGCTTCTACATTGTTAGAGGCTGGTAGTGTTTACGGAATGGGTGTCCTCGTTGCAGGCTTGGCTGCTGGATTCGCAATTGTCGGAATCTAGGCTGTTTATGGCGAAGTGTAAAAGAACACCGGCAGAAAGTAATGATTAGGGGTTGCATGATGCTTATGGGGGAATACGAAAAAGGGTTGTATTGTAAGGATGTGTTCAAGAGCAGCAAATCACATTTCACTTCATGATTAGCTGTGAGGCTTTATTTATTTTCTTAATGGATCTGTATTGATGTGATTGGGGATTGAATGCGAGTTGGCTTTTCTAACGCATAGTTTTTCTTTTCTTTTTTTCTTCCCTCTTATTTACGCTGACAGATTACCTACCTGTATTTATACTTTTATGGACAACTATAGTATCAAGTTAAGCATCTACTTGCTTTAAGAATAACACTATCTATCTCAATTGAGTACTGACTTGGATTGTATCGACTATCTACATATGTAGATTGCTTGCTTAAAGGGAAACTTAAGGGTTTGACTTTATGTTCCTGTTGTTCTCCCTGCTTTATGTTTGATAATCTTTCTTTTAAAGCACTATGGGTGTCCTGGGAGCAACAATGTTGAAAAATTGTGGAGAAGCGAGATTTAGCGAAAAATGTGCTTACTAGCGTTTGTTTCAGAACCTTCGTGGCTAGCCCTGAATTAGACCCCATATTGACCAGGATCCCCCGGATCTATTACTATACTAGGTGTAGAAGCGGAAAATTGTATAGTACCCTTGTAAGTAGTGGCTGCAAGAGTCACCTAGTGTCGGTATTCGCGGTATGCTTACTCGGGTTCTGCACCATCATATCGTATCACTCGGTCAACGGCTCCGACGGCTCTGTAGACACGTCAAAGTGCAAGTGCAAATTTAGAAACGACAATCGTTCTAAGCGCACTTGTCAAATTTGTATCTTCAACAAGGGTATTTAACCTCAAAGTTTAAAAAGTAAAGTATCTGCCGCGAATTTCGGAGGTCGTCTTGTATATGTACCCTGCGCCGAAAAAATCAATATGAGGGTGCGTTATTCCTTGGATGTATGTGTATTTGGAGGCAGGTAGTAGGTACAGCCACTCTGCAAAAGTGTTCGTGATTCCGAGACATTTCTCCATAGGACCGTGGCGGACCATCAAAAAAAACCCAAGAGAAGACTTTCAGTGATCAATGGAGCCCGGAATCAATGAAGAATAAGATCAATGACCTATCTTCTTTTATATATAGTCACGAACTATATTATGTATTTTGCGTTGTTTTGAATCTCAACATTAATAACATCAACATTACTCATGCGTTTATTAAATGGTCGGAATTCTTAGTAGGGATTTGGTTGCAACGATATCCGACCATTTAATGAACGCCCGAGTATGTACGAGTGTAATAGAGCGTATTTGCCAACCGTCAATTTCAAGAATTTACGAATTGTGGGGCTCCGAAATGGCAACCGGGGCTGTTAATTTTGAATTTCGGTGGGGCGGCGTGCTGTGAGATATACCAGGAGGATCACAAGTACCCAGTTTTGTTACTACCGAACCTAGTATCATGGGTATGAATTTTCAGTTCCAACAGCGTATTTCACAGGTAGCATGATGGATTGTCTGGTTTTCGGGGTTTATTCTGTCACACCGTTAACCAGATCGATTTTGGTCACTGAGGGGAACTGTCAAGTTTGAAGTGTCAATAGTTGAAATTGACGTTTGGCAAATATGCTCTAATCACGAACACTTTTGCTGAGTGGCTGTACATACATACATAGAGCAACCGCTTAAGTGGAAATAAACCTAACCCTCTGCAAAATCTTTGAGAAATCGATTTTAAACGAGAGCCTAAGGCCAAATTTTGACCAAGTTTCCCTTATTTTGGCTACTCCCGTTGCTAGCTCTTTGTCCGATTTGGCGGTACTAGAGTAGAGCGAGTACCGGGGGTTAACATTAAATACCGAGAATCTGATAAGATAAACACACCTATTTCACAGCAAGATTCTCTTATCAGATTCTTCGTATTTACCGTCAACGCCCGGTACATACCCTGTCTAAGAGCATGTAGACAGGGTATGCGCCTAGAGTATTAATGCGCGTCTACTGAGTACTCTAGAGTATATCAACCCGTGCATTGTATGGCGGCAGATCTACTCTGCAACCGCCTAGCGTGACAACCCAACGCCTCTGTGTTCAATATCACAGCTCTTCGAATTGATCCCAACTCACTTAATCAATCAACTGCCAATACATCGCAAAGGTTTGTTTCTCGGTTGACATGGATGGACTAGATGCAAGTGCCCACTACACACAGGGCCCTGATGGTACAATTATTTCCTGTAGAGAACGGTTGATGGAGAACGCTAACACAGGCCTTCAGACGACAAGCCCTCTCTTCTTGTTCTTATCCTCGACACAAATCCCTACGCTTGGTCACAGTTGCACCCAGTTCTCCCTCTTCCTCGTGCCCTCGCATCGATTCTTCTCTTCCTCAATGCACACCTAGCCTTCTCGCACGCAAATCGCGTCGCCGTGATCGCCTCACACACAAGGGAAGCTGTGTTCCTATACCCCAGCACCACCCCTACACCCCCAACCGACAATGATCCCATGCGCGATGCCAACAAATATCGCCAGTTCCGCATCGTCGAAGACGAAGTACAGGCCTCGTTCCGCAAACTCATGGCGGAAACCACTACCGAGAGCTTGGCTGGCACGAACGAGACTATGATGGCAGGGGCGTTGTCATTGGCGTTGGCATATATTAATCGGCTGTGTATGTCATCGGAAGATGGTCAGGGAGGACATACAGGAGGAAACAGGACGGCAAATGGGACCAGGGATGCGGATATGACCACCATGAATGCGAGGATTCTAGTTCTAAGTGTGTCTGGTGATTTGTCTACGCAATATGTATCAATGATGAATTCGATGTTTGCAGCTCAGAGGAAGGTATAAACTGCTACCCTGCCCTTCCTTGTTTCTGGAAAATTGAGTTCTACAATGGACACCTCGCTTGGTAAGGCACTGACAATATAAATGTTAGAAAATCCCCATCGATATATGTAAAATCGCTGGTGAAACCGTCTTCCTCCAACAAGCATCGGACGCCACAAGAGGAATCTACATGCAGCTTCAACATCCTGAAAGCCTCTTGCAATACTTAATGGTGCCACTTCTCATACCTTTTAGAGTTTCTCTCTCTCTTTTTTTGAAACTAATGTTAGTCTTCTTAATCATCGTAGATGTGTTTCATCCCTGATAACTCTACACGTAAACACTTGGTCCCACCCACGCAAATCAATGTCGACTTCCGCGCAGCCTGCTTTTGTCATAAGCGTATTGTGGACATCGGGTTTGTGTGCAGTATTTGCTTATCAAGTCAGTGCCCTATTTCTTTTCTCGAAGGTGATACAGAAAGACGCGAATGGAGGTCTTTGGAGCTAGCTCCATGCCTTGAACATACCAAGGGAACGTCACAACAGTGTGCAACAGCAAATTATGACGAAAACGTTTTGGAGTCTTCAGAGAGTTCAATCGAAGACGCTAATTTTGATGTCACTTATTGTTGACTGGTGGCTCGGCGGTATGCAGCCGAATCATGACAACCGACTACAAGAGGTGGACAGCCTCGAAGTGACCTCTACGAAGCGTCTATAAACACAAGCCGATAAAATATAGTAATAAGCACAAAGCATATTTTTTGCGTCGAACACGATTTTTTTTCAATCTGTGTTTGGTTGTGTGATTTGATGCACAAATAATTTTAGCGGAGACAGAAATGGGTTACTGACTCTTCTTTTTGCTATGGCTTTTGGTGGCTTCTTATAGTATTTTGCTCTCCACCCGAAGGCGCTGTATGCACTACTTGCAGTACAAAACTCGATGTTTCCGACCTCGGTAACTTTGGCGGACGGCCTGCCGTCGTATTGGCCAAGAAGAAAAAGGCAAAAAGACCTAAGCAACCAAAAACAACCTCTTCCTTTTCCAACGACGTTTCTGCGCCTGCAAGTACGCCTGGGACACCTGCCACATAGCATCTAACGAATTTCCCTGCATCAGAAGTAGAGTGACCATGAATAATGGGAAGTGGATGCAATGCATCCAGAAGGACGCTGATATGAATTGAGACGAGAATTCATAGGGTTCTCATGGGAAAGTTACTTATGGTATTATTCTGGCTCTGATTCTTCTGATAACAATATGTAATTTAGAACCTTTCTTCTTGTTGCTCTATCTGTGGGGGGGGGGGGGGGGCATACCATTCACACTGCTCATTCTAATAATAGGGGCTATTGGTGTTACTTTGTCCTTTAACGGCATTACTCAATCTTAAGGGAGTCTAACGACCTTTCCACCAAGGCAGGTCTTGGGATTTCGTGCGTTACGTGACATGACTGTTTCTGGCTCAATCATGGATGCTGTCATATGTGCCATAGCCTAGGTGACAGTTAGAAACCCCAATAAAATGTGGGCAAGGGCTTTATAGTAGGAATTTGTCCTTGATTGAGGGGGGGGGGGGGGGGGGCATAGATGCCATTACCATGCTATCAGTGGTGTGTCCGTATGTGAAATATATCCGTTTTTCCGCTGCATTTTTATCGATTTTGATAGCCATGATGCCAACAGCAGAGGACATGGTTGACTCTTGAACAACTTTCGATCCTGTCAAAGTCATATTAGATTACCAATACTTGGTGGTTGAGCTATGGGATTTAGCAAACCCATGAAGTCCTTTTCAATGCTTGTCTTTAAGCCTTGCGATTCATCATCACTATGAAACATGCGATCAACAGCTTTGGATGCAATCAATGTATGTGCCATTTGTTCTCCAGTTCCTAAACAAAAAACGATAAGAAAATCCTTAGTTAAACATTGATAAAGGCCGGAGGAGAGAGATACCAGAGCATGTTGTTGCAACAACAATTCCATCCTCTACCCTTATCCAAGTTCCAATACCAATCAATGCTGCGGGGCCAATTCTGCCACGATGCTTCATGCCGATACCACCGGAACTACTTCCTGCTGCAACTCTACCCCAACGGTCAACACAGATAGCACCTACTGTATCGGTAACCACATCCTCTGTAGCATCACGCTGGCCTGTCTTTTCAATTTCAGCATCCAGTTCTGATTTAGCTGATAGCGCTGCTGCCGTTAGGGTGACCCCGGTAACTTTAGAGCGTGGTGTCTTTTTATGCTCTTTATGACGAATGCCATAGGCATCAAGCTCACGTTTCCACTTGACCCAGCGAGCATGGGCATTTCGGCTGATAAGTGCTTCATTGTCAACTAGCGGGAATCGATGTTCCTTTGCATAAGACTGTGCACCTGGCCCGACCAACATAACAGGCGGTACACGCTTTAAGGACATTGGCCGACGAGTATTGTCGAGAACAAGTCGGGCGAGGGCCGAAGGGTTTTTAAAACCTGGAATAGACATAAAATGTAATCATTACATGGGCTGGATCTTAATATGCATGTAAACGGAACGGAAGCATGAAAACTTACGGTCAACGGCTCCTACAGCACCAGACCTCCCGGTATCCTCCATGATGGAGGCATCACATTCTACCGTCCCATCCAGGGATAAATTACTCCCATAGCCGGAGTTGGTGATCTCATTATCCTCTAGACTCTTTAAAGCCATCTCAACACCGTCAACAGCAGATCCGCCATTGCGCAGGAATACCATGGCAGCTCTGCAAGCACTGAACGTATATAATGAGGTTAGAAACTAGGGCATAAGAAGAATAGAAAGTGTACTAACGCGGAGCAAGCTTCAAGATGACTGGGTTCGTTTTGGACTGAATGAAAACCTGCACCGGCATGCACAAAGATGGCGGACCAGTCATCCTCAGTCCTTTGCTGGCTAGGTCTTGTCTCCAATCCACCGTCCATTTCGGCTATCTAACCTGCACGAGGAAGCAGGGATGCAGAAGATGTGGGGCAAAAGAATAAGAGAAACAGCAAGGGATAGCAAGGACTGGGAACGGTTATAGGTATGAGATGCAAGCAAGGCGAAAGCAAGAGGTGGAGGAGAAAGATAAGACGGATAAGGTGAAAGGATAGGATGGAGATGAGAGGTGGGGGGAGGGGTCGGAGAATAAGAGGACAGACAAGAGGACAGAAGACCAAAAGATGGGGGAGGTCAGAAATAAGCAATTTTCCCCATAAATGCAGGTCGAGGGGGGGTCATCGTGATCACCACTTCACGAGCACCTGCAGCGGCCCGTCGTGAGTCGTTGAGGCTTAAATTAACATAGCTAAGCTATTAAGCGAACGCACTACGCAAAATATCCCGGCCAAGCCTATCAAACTTCCCCGCTTGTGTAAGGACACCAGGTTGATTTAAAGTATCGTGCAGGTGTGAATACCGACCTTCTCCCTCTAAAAACAAAGGTCATTGCGTCATGATGTCACATTCCGAGAACCACGGTACCTCCGGCCAAGGCGCTGGACACAAGCGTCAGGTACAGAGGTCAGGGTCTGCAACTAGATGGATGTGGATGTGGCTAAAACGATTTTAGTTTTATTGGAGGAATGCTCGGTGACCGGCGAGCAATCTCGGGCGAGCTTTTTACAATGTAGTGCATGAACCAATACCTACTCTACAGCTCTAATCCCAGCTGGACACAATGCACATCTAACCATATGCGTGGAAATATTAAACCTGATACTATAGGTACATGGAAAAAAATTGAAAATGGGCTGCTCGAACAATATCTCATTTGTCAAGAAACCCCAGTAGTGGCGGCAACACGAGCTGCAGCTTTCTTAGCCCTTTTAGAGAGTTGCTGCCCTCCTTGCTTTTCATTCTGTTTCTGTGGTTGTTTCTGTTGACCTTTGGCCGGTTTACCCTTCCCTTTGCCATCGTTACTTTCATCCTCTGCCTTCCTCTTATTCTTCTGTTGAACGGTTTCAGGGGGTGCTCCATTGTCGACAATATCTATGACTCCCCTGAACGACCGCCTCTTTAGCCCCGCTTGTATCTACTTACTATGTTAATGGGCTGCACAAGGAGAAAATCAAGATACATACGAGGAATGGGGAAATTACAACTACAGTTCTACTAAGGCCCCCAACTGCCTCCCTTCCCTTCTCCTGGCTCAGCCCCCACAAAGTTGCCAAATTCATAACGTCAAAAGGTGCTCTAACTCCCACAGCCTTTCTAGCTTCACTACTTATGATTATACCCCTTCCCCTTGTCGCTCTTATAAGAGATGCGGCGTTTTGCATCAAGTTTCGTCGAGCAGCAACATCATGGATACTTGCAGAGTAGCATATCTCCAGGAAAACTCCACGTTGGATCGCTGTGCCAACAATCTTGTGCTTCAAGTTATACGAAAGCCTTTGAGAAAGATCTATGGAGATGAGATCACACTCCAGCGAAGAACATGCCTGTAAAAGCAGCTTGTCATTCGTCGGACGTAGCGCAACGAGGTCATAATGGTTGACTAATGATGCGAGATGGTGACATTGTGCTGGGTCATCGAGAACAACAGTTACGCGACGGAGAATTTTCAGCCCCGGGTGTTGAGGGAAAGGATCAGGTGAAATGGGATTTACCTGAGATGCGCTGGTTAGCAGACTGATTTTTACGTCGGTAAGAGGATGTGAAGTTTTACGTGACTTTGAGAAAATTTACCGGAGATAGTGTGATTAAGGGCGACGACATTGTATCCTACTTTAGATGTCTGTCAGCAGTGGCCCTTTGGAATCATGGATTGGATGGGAGGGCTTGCACTCGTCCAGAAAAGCTATCGTCCTCGGTAGATCTGGTGATGTAGGTGTCCAGGGAATATTGAGGTCGTGAAACATACCGGCGTATTAGGTCAAATCCCTGACTTGACGTCTGAATCTTGGAACAAGTTATGATTGACTGAGTGTGTTCTGGCTTCAGGCGACCACAAGGGTTTGGGGTTTTCTTTGACGGTTGCCAAGAAAGCTTATCGTGCCCCACTAGTTTCCAGGTTCAACTTCCAAAGCTTTCCTTTTCTAACCATTACATAGGGCACTCAAACACTCCGCCTGACCGTGCTATTGATCATTCCCGCAACATTTCGTCTGTTCAATCAATCGGGTCGTTGTTCGATACGACAATTCGGAAACGAACTAGACTAATCCCCGAATAAGTGCCTCAACCCTCATGCGATACTTCAGAAATGCCCCCACAAACACTATCTAATTCTCAATTTTGACATACAGATTGGCGAGACCTTTCATTCTGTTTCCCTTCAAAATGACCTATCGCTTAGATGTCCACTGACCTATTTACAGGGGAGCCTTGAATTAGAATCAATAATAAATCCTTTTGATTCAGAAGAAAATATGCATACTTAAGTGCCCAAGGAACTCACTTCAAAATCAGTCCTTAGGTACAGTACTGTAACCAGGGGAACCAGGAGAACCTGCAAATCACGAAGCAACATGCAAGAGCACCGAAACGGGAAGCAGCCTCAATAACAGATTTCGACCCGCCTCCGCTGACGGTTGTAAGCCCCAATAACAATCACGGCGAACCAAAAGCGATCGGCCAGTCTGAAGTTTTTTTGCCTTGAAAAACTGCCAGCTCTTTCAAGCTTTGAAAGGGGAGCTGTTATGGGCTTTAAAGATGCATATGAAGGCTTTCGTGCGGATGGACGGAACCTTCTTTGCCATTCTCCGGGCGTGCAAAAAATAAAAATAAAATGAAATAAAGAAATATAAATGAAACAGACGTCATGAAATGAACACCATGCAAAACCGGTTTGACAAAATATGTTAAATCAATCATTACCACATTTCGCTGCTATTAACTACATGTACGTAGTAGACGGGTTTTTTCTAAATCAACTCGGCCATCCGTCGGTAAAGGCGCCGGAGCCAATGAGTCAAAATCTCCTTTGCGGTATATTCTTCTGCTCTACTGCAATCACATCTGGGAGGCATGTGAATTCAAGATAGGACCGAAAGGGAACGACAAAGAAATACGATAGAGCTCTTCGGGCGGATTATTCAAGGAAATCATGAAATGTCAATTCATTATGGCTTCGAATTTCGTATTTTCTGTGTCGTGGCTGGATCAGCAAACGTAGAATGGTAATCTCAAGCAGTCAACAGCGATAGTCAAAAATCCATCCCAAGTAATACCTCCCGTTTGCCGCTGGACAGGCTGTTATATCTACGTGAGGCTCCCCGAACTTGAAAATCGGACTAAAAATCTCGTTGTTCTTGCGTCAATTGCAAGGGTACTGTGTGATGCCGTGCCTTCCCCGCGGGTCCGGCCCAAGCTGCGGGCAAGCCTTGACCACAGGGCCGCGCACGGACATGGGCAAGAATTTAGGTATTGGCGTGACTGAAGAAGTTCGAAAAGTGTTTATCGTTGTCCGCTCAACGGCAGCTCGCAGGAATAATAGTGAAACTACATGTATGAAGCAGTAAGACAACGGGATTGTTAGGAGTCTCCCGAGTAGCAACCGCCGCAGCCTATTGATATTCTGTCATTTTAAAATGTGAGCTTTTACTGATTCTATCTCACACCTATCGACTCTCTGATTTCGGAGCAAAAGAGTGACAAAGGGCGGCGGCGAAGAAAATAAGAGCGATAGCGGGAATTTAGAGGCGTGTCGAGTATTGTTTGGAAACGAACTGCACAAAGCGCAGTGGAGAAAGGAGCATAGGAAAGCGAGCAGAAAGCATCTAATCCGGCTCGTTGTTGTTCCAGCCAACTGCCACCCCACCTATCTGCCCACCGTCTGGCGCCTCCCATCTCCCACGCCTGCCTGCCGGTCTCATCATCTGTGACTCTCTGTGTGTCCGTCCGTTGGGTGCACCAAACTCTTCCACATCGCGTTCCTTGCCCGTAACCAACCACGGGTTGTCTACTCCCCTCCTTCATTCACCCCCACCCCACTCACCCCCCCCTCACCTCACCACTCCCCTCCTGAGGCCAAGTCAACAGCAGCAATAGCAGCAGCAGGAGGCATTCTAGTAGTTAAGAGCCTAGGGTCTAAGAGCACTGCAACACACTGCACTGCAAAGCAACCCACTACCGACCGCAGCACTGCAAAATCACCAGCAGGCTCCAGAAGCAGAACAAGCAGCCCCATCACCGGCAGCAGCCTTGTCAGCACAAACCCAACCGCTTGCATACGTACATACTACATACGTCTCTATCTACCGTCTACACATTCTCTTACTCTTACTTAACACTCTCCCTCTCTTGCTCACATATCTCTCAACTATTCTCCCATCAACATCAACATCATCATCATCATCACAACAAACGCTCCTATCGTTTGCTTGAAGCGCTTCACTTTCTTCTTCCTCATCAACTTACCGTTCTATCCCATCATTCGTGACGGCCAGGGCGCACAGCCTGTCGAGAACAGAACAATGGCTCGTGTGTACGCAGATGTACTTTCCCTTGTTTTCTCACCCACCCACATGGATCCTTCAATTCTCTTGATTTTTACAAACTCAAAAGTTTTGGATGGGTTTGTGTTCATTCCTTATTAGGGGCCGCAGGGGAAATCTCCTCTTCCCCACCTGAAAATATACTAACATGAGAATTTTTGGCGCAACCAGGTCAACCAGCACATGCCCAGATCATACTGGGATTACGACTCAGTAAACATTCAGTGGGGTGTTCTCGAGAATTATGAGGTTGTCCGCAAAATAGGTTTGTTTTCACTGGATAAAATACGCCCTTTTTGTTTCCCGTGTCGGGATTTATGGAATTTGCAATTGGGGAGGATTTTCTAACTGAGTATGGATAGGACGTGGTAAATACTCTGAGGTTTTTGAGGGAATCAACATCACGAACTATCAGAAATGCGTTATCAAAGTCTTGAAGCCAGTTAAGAAGAAGAAGATTAAGCGAGAGATCAAAATTCTTCAAAATCTCTCTGGTGGGCCAAATATCGTTGCACTGCTAGATGTTGTCCGGGATCCTCAGGTGTGTTATCAACCCAAGGCGTGCTTCTCGGGGGAGACCGGCAGAAATTTCTAACAGAGAATAGAGTAAAACGCCGTCTTTAATCTTCGAGTATATCAATAATACCGACTTCCGCAGCCTGTACCCCAAATTTCAGGACTACGATGTGCGCTACTACATTTTCGAGTTGCTGAAGGTTGGTGCCCGCTTGGAACAATGTATCTTATAAAGGGCTTTAGTTTGCTGACTGTTGATTGGTAGGCGTTGGATTTCTGTCATAGCAAGGGTATCATGCATAGAGATGTCAAGCCACACAACGTCATGATCGATCACGAGAAGCGAAAGGTGAGCTTCATCGATCTTCTATCCTAGTCATGGGACTTAGATCGGACTAACCTTTGTAAAGCTGCGATTGATCGATTGGGGTCTAGCTGAATTCTACCACGCTGGTACCGAATACAACGTCCGTGTTGCGTCTCGCTACTTTAAAGGACCAGAGCTACTCGTTGACTATCAAGAATACGATTACTCACTTGATCTTTGGTCACTTGGTGCTATGTTTGCATCAATGATTTTCCGAAAAGAGCCATTTTTCCACGGAAACTCCAACTCGGATCAACTCGTCAAGATCGCCAAGGTTTTGGGAACTGAAGAACTGTTCGATTACCTTGACAAGTACGATATCGAGCTCGACGCACAGTACGATGACATCCTTGGACGATTTCCCAGAAAAAACTGGCACCAGTTTGTCAATGCAGAGAATCAGCGATTCGTCAGTAACGATGCATTGGACTTTTTGGACAAGCTTTTGAGATATGATCATCAGGTATGTGTTGCGCTTCCATTTTAAGTTGTAGTGACAGTGAGCTGATTCCTTAATTTTACAGGAGCGATTGACGGCCAAAGAAGCCATGGCCCATCCATACTTCGAGCCTGTCCGAAGGGCCGCTCAACAACAGAACCATGCCTCAGCTTCACATTCGTAATCGTTGAGAATATCATCGACGGTGTAGCCTATTAGTCTCGAATTCATGATTTACGCTGAATGCAAGCAATTCCTCTAAAGCTTGCATATTTCTACCAACTCCTCCCACCTCCATAAGCTGCGATCCAAATATCAACTGCAATTCATACACGATGCTTAATGTATCCTCATCTCTAAATATCATGTTTTTTTTTTTTTTTTTTTTTTTTTACGTCTCTAACGGTGATACTTATGGGCAATTCATTTTTTCTTTTGCCCTATCCCCATAACCCCTTCCCCCCTCCCTTCCCATCCTAGCCCGATTTTATCCGTACGTGTCATGCCTCCCATTCTCGCATCTGTTTGATTACCTTTTCATCATGGTTCTTTCCTTTTCATGGGGTTGTTTCTTATCTCTTTCTCCTTGCTCTCTCACTGGCGGTCATTGATCTGGTTCCCGTTACCTGTTACTGTTCGGGAATTTCACAGAGTTTTATATAACCTAGTTAATGAACGGAGAACCCGAGGCGGCAGAGCGTAGCTATACCAAGATCTTGAATTTGTGTGCCTGTAATCTAGAGTGAAAGTATTACATATAAATAACATTGGACAAGAAGATTAATACGAGCTTTTGTGTTTGGGAGACGATATCTGTGGCTTGTCTTGTGGCTGTATTATTCCCATGGGTTTCATAGGTATTTACTTACATGTACTTACCTACTAGAGTATACTTATGCACTGGCTCATAACCTAGAGTAAGACGGACGTCGTTTTAAAGTGGGCGGCATATGGTCTATATATAACCAGAAGGCTCATGCCCCGGTGCCTTAACTACTTCTTTGGGTTGGTATGCCGTCGAGTTCTTTTTTTCTCTTTCTTCCTTTTTTTCCTTTTCATCCCATTCATGGGATTCTCATCTTGGCGTTTATTGGTTTGTCTTTCTTTTCAGCTGCAGGTTCGGGTCTTGGATTGTTTGTTTGCTTTTTTCACCTGCATAGAAAAAGAATGAAAAATTGCTGCAGAATTGAAAAGCTTTTTTTCCTCGAGATTTCCATTTTGGAACCAGCCATTTTTCCTCATTGCTTTCGGCCCGGGACCGTCTTCCCTCCCCGGTCGGGTAGGTGTGGTGGGATCAAGTATCTGGGAGAATGTACCTAGGCTGGCTGTACGTAAAAAGAATTACTTTTTTACTGCAAGCACCCTAAAGGATTTTTCGCTACCGTGGGCTCCACCTTTTCTCTTTCTTTTTTTCCCATTCCCAACTTGCAGCTTGGGTCGTGGGGGAGTTGCTTTTTTGACAGGTCAAGTTCTTGCATCTCTAGAGTAATCGGGGGAGCCCTCGGGTGGCCGCGTGCTCGAGGGGGGGGGGGGGGGGGGGTGTGTTCAGAGGGGGTTGATAGAAAACGGGCCTGGGATGATCCCGACAGTTTGGCTGTGGTTTCTGGCGGTTAGCTGGAGAACTGTATTTTTTTTTCCTTTCTTTTTTCCCTTAAGCCGTTGCGGTGAAAGGTATGTGTTGTTTCGTTTTGTTTGTTGTCCCAATTGTATTGGATATGCGCAAAGGCCGCCACCGCGGGGAAAGGCGGTCATATGCGTGCTGCTGCGTTGTGGGGAAACGTGAAGTAGGTATCACGAGTGCTCTTACGACCTACCCAAGAGGATAACGAAACTTTTGCTATCTAAAACAGCAGAATTCTAACAAAAGAAAGACTTGCTACGAAGGCCAATCGTTTTGGAAACGGAGATATTCCCCTCCTAATTTCAAGCCGCGATTATGTACCCTGAGGGGTTCGGGCACGAGAAGCAGTTTCGGCCTGGGCTTACATTCTTAAAGCGGGGGAGATCTATGGTAAGTTCTAGAAAGGATCAACTGTTTCGCCCGGTACACCTCGTGCCACAAAAACGTTCTTTTTCATGCGGCTCTGGGGGGGGTTAAACAGATTAGTTACCCCGTGGCTGCGTGAATGGCGTGCGTGGCTTTTACCAGAAGAACAGTCAACCTGGTTCTGAGGGGACTTGTTTACAGTAGAGTACTCTATCCAGTCTGGTTCTGGATGGGGGCTGGGCGGAGAGAGGGGGAATAAGCTGATTGGTGATCGTCATTAGGCCGGTTGAGTGAGAATTGATGATGGGCTGATAAGGATGGAAATGATTTGAAGTGCATTTTTCTGCACACATTAAGGGACACGGACAAGCGCTTATTAGTGGCGTAATGAACGAACATAAACGCGCAAGAGCGTTTACAAAAACCGCTACTGCCACGGGGCAAATTCAACACGGTACAGGCACCCTATCGATCTGAACGGAAACGTGGTCAACAAGCAATACACACGTAAACTCCACTTGTCGCTTGGGAGCACGGGCGTCAGCTATATGTAGGTACATGTAAGTATGTATGTAAGTGCCTACTACTCACATGTTAGGAGTGAATGAATACCTACATGTACGGACTGTTGCAACTCTGTTTTCCTCCACCCGTCGTAGACTCGCAGCACACACTTAGGCGAGTGACACTACGTGATCCTTATCTACATGCCTCCTCTCTAGGGACCGGGGTTATCAACACCCGGCGAATGGTATAAAAGGCTCACATACAGAGATTCCGGTTACCGGAAAGCGTGGATAATCACTCATCTCCTCCTCCTCTTTTAGCGTTAGCACAGAGGTACCTTCAAACCCTGAGATTTTTATCGAGATCGGATTAAAAAATGGTCATCTTCGGTTTTTGATTCTCTGTACGATGGTTACGGTATAGGGTCCGTGGGGTTTCGGGGAAGATAAATTAGCCTTCCATGACACGTCGAAGAACATGGGTTGAATCACAGATGCTGTTGGGTATTTAAAGTGCGGAGTGTGCGTGGGGTTATCTATCACAACGGGTCCAGATTCGAGAATCTCGCTCACAAGGAAGGAGGGAACTATTCTGGGACCTGGTAACGACACGAAACCGCAGGAGAAGAAGAAAGACGCGCATCACAGCACACCACAGCACATCAAAGCACATCATGCTACATACATAACTCTCGACAGCGTAGAGTAGGTAGAGTAGTGTAACACCGCAGCCTATATCTAGATAAACCAGCATTTTACTGCAGATCTCGACTATGAAATGTTGAATACAGGAAGTATGGACAAATATGACGCACATCTCGTTCTTTCCCTTCTTAATGAGCGAGGATCCACCTACATTGCGGGGAAACCCTTAGTTCAGCGGCGGCAGGTTATGTCGAGATAGGGAGGGTGTGTTTCTAAGTTAAGAAACTCCGGGTAACTGCATACACTGCACTTCAACGAAGCTGCAACAACCCCGGCTCGTTGTTGTCGTCTTAACAAAGCCTGTCGTGAAAAGACGTCAGTTCTACCTAACTGTGTTTTGAATTGAATGTCCGGTCGTCGCGACAACCCATTTCATATCCAACTACAGTCTGTCCTTCCGATTGTTGTTGATTGAATCGCAACTCTCGGTCAGCCTCACCTCACGACCTAATCGTGTGTGTAAGTTTCAATCATATCATCTAATCAACATTTCTTCCTCTTCAGCCGTTCGCATTTAGACTGGTTCATCCTGGAGATAAAGAAAACAGAAGGGGAGAAACAGAGGGGGGAATAAAAAGAGATACACGACGAATTCGCGCAGAGCAGATAGAGAGATACACTAGCAACAGCAAACAGATCTAGAGACGGCCCGCGCCGTAACCGTAACATAGCTAACCAAATTCTTACGCACTACTTACTTTACCTTGACCTACCTAACGCATCAACGACGTACGCACTTTCAACTACATACACACCGCATACCAACTGCAACTATCTCATAGAGACATCCACAGAGACACCCTAGGTGCACCCCCTAGACAGATAGACATCTCTCCCCCACGTAAAAACAGATAATCATACACTATGCGTACCGACCCCCGCATCCGTCAATCGCTCAACCGCATTTCCACTTCCATAGAATCCGCCTCGGACAACGCCCTCACCTCATGCTTCACATTCACAAAGTCCTATTTGGACCCATGCCTCATATCGCTTTCTACATGCTGCATTATCAATCATGATCGCAATCACCGTCGGGACCGCCGTGAGTACCCATTCGGCTTTTATGACTATGACGACGATGAACACGGAAGTTCATCCACCGGCGGCTTCCTTGGATGGGGTAACGACGAACTAGATAGGCTCCTTGCTGGCGGAGGATCCGGAGGGGGTTATGGGGGTAATTCGAATAGAATGACTTATGGTGCTTCTTCATCAAGCGGCGCCATAGTCGGGAGTGGGTCCGCCGGCAAGCGGAAATCGGTCCCGGGGCATGATCAAGACCCAACTGTTATACCCCAAACATCTATGTTTGGGTTTCTGACGAGGTGGGCACCTTTTAGGGGGAAAGGTCTACGCTACAAGCCCTCAGCAGCGAACCTCCAAGAACATCCACATCGTGGAAACGGACTGTCTGCCGTTCAAGAAGAAGCGGAAGATGATCATGGTAGCAGGGCTACAGGAATGAGACGGAAACGCAGCGCTACAGGTAGCTCAGGCGACTCCGTAGGCGGGAGTATGCGGAGTAGGGGTGACCTATGGCCAAGTGAAGACGACGACGATGCAATCCCAATTGGTGACGATGTCTTCTTAAGAGGGTCTGACGGCGAAGAAGACGGGTTTCTCGTGTTAGCGCGAAGAGAGCACAGGAATAAAAATGCCGAAGAAGAAGAGGAACTGGGATCAGCGGAGACCATTGAACCTGGACGTCCGGGACCAGTTGATGATGAAGTGTTAAGAAGGGAGGAAGAGGAAGTCAGGATGCTTGAAGAAGAAGAGCTAGAAAAAAAACGGGAAGCGGCTAAGAGATTGGCTGTGCAGCGGGGACTCAGTACTGAAGACTACGCTGTTAGTTCTCTGTCTTATGTCCTGAACTAAATAATTACTAATCTGGCCAAGGGTTTATTGTCCCGCTCACAACAAGAGATCAATCCATCGGCTGTACCACTCCCTGAGACTTTACCATCTACCAGAGCTCCCTCGCTGGTCGAACAACTGGATTGCTTCGAACCACCAATGCCATCAGCACCGATGTCATCCCAACAAGGATATTTTGAACCGTCACAGTCGCTACCGCATGCAATAACATCGACACCTATCACTAGGACCAATTCTCCGGCCATTAGAGATTCAAGTCCTACATCGGTTGGGTCTCGAACGCCGATACAGATTAGGAAAGAGAAAGAAATTTTGGAGATACCGACAATGATTATATTAATGCCTAATAGTGAGAGGGAACTTGTCAAGGAAATTAACGAGGCTGCAAACTCTGGGGTTGTGATAGGGGATGTTTGAATGGCTTGGACGCAATGATATGAACACCAAATATCTCAATGCATTTCAAGAGCAGGTTTTTTTGTACCATATGTTTTTGCACGCGGGTTACTAGGGGGCAGGTGTTTATTTATGGATATCTATGGGTGGGTATATGGAGTAAATGTTTAACGCTTAAAATTTTTGTTATGGTGTATTGGGAGTTGAAATTATAAATGGAGATTAGTTGTCAGTATTTCAGACTAGGTATTCGATTTCGATGAGTTAAACCAAGGAGAGTGTTCATGATGAGTGCGTGTAGTCGCTTAATCATAGTATATCACTCGTTAACAAACTCAAGATCTGTACCCATACGATTGTGCAGCGCTAAAGAGAGGCATGAAATGCCTGATATTACGGCAAGGTAAAATACCACCGCAAGGCATTTTATTGGTACGATAATGATTTCAACTCTTGTGGTGTCAATATGTCTCATTCTTCATCCCGGAATTCTGGTGGTATCTTAAATTTCTTTCTTTACTAAGCCCCTGCTTAATCAAGCACACAATATATATACAATGGAGTATTGTATGAGGTATTTGGAGTAGTATGCTTCAGATGGTTTTTATAAGCTTCGGGTTTGCACATGTGCAGAGAAGGCAGACATACATAGATAGGGAGACTGCACTGGCAGTACATATAAATTATAAACGTTTAAACAAGATGTGGTTATTTAATTGGCTTACCATCTGTCACTGTAGTTGAGCGAGAGCATGAGCTTCCAGAAACGTCAAGATCCCTGCTAAGTTACAACCTTAGACTTTAGCTGTATAACAATTGTGGCTGGCGGAAATGGGCTGCCAAAAGAACATGGGCGCCGACTTTAGTCATGATCTTGATTTTTGACCGACACTACAATATGGACTGGAGATGCGCTACGCTTAGCAACGCTCTGTTTTTTTTTTTTTTTTGTTTTGTTTAATTCATTAGCTTAGCAACGCCCTGAAGCTTAAGCATACAGTCGACTCTAGTAAAATATAAAGAATTCGACTTATGACGTGACCCGTACTCTGCACTTGTAGCTTTTTGGCTCCGCCGCTATGGAGCGGTAAATGTGTCAAAAGTAATTTTACCAACGGTAGTAAATTATTTACCACCGGTGGTATAAGCACTGAATTTCAGTCATTGTATCTGCACGCTATCCTACATTAGTAAATTTCCACCGGTATAAACACTGAGTTTCGGTCTTTATGCTGCGCTATACTAAATAAGTAAATGTTCAATCATTAATGCCAAAACTTATGAAAATTTCCCACCGGTGGTACCGGTGGACAATTTTCATATATATTGGCATTATATGGCCCCTTTTGGCCAAAAGGTCTGTACAGCTGTGCTTTTATCATAAAAATTAGCATTATAGGGTATAAATACTGGTATTATTTTCACCACTGGTTGTAAAATTACTTTTGACACATTTACCGCCCCATACCGCCGCTCTGGTTTCCTCTTGCAACCGTCGATTTCGAAGTATCAATTACTCTATTACATAAATTCGAGTATGAAGTAGTCGATATTAAATAGTTACATCTCGATAAAACTCATAGAAAATGGGTGGATATGAGCTAAATTAAGGTCAATAACTAATAAACGGAAGGACATGGAAGAAGCTTTGTATGGGTAGGATGTCAACCCGGCCAGGCACACACCTCTCGAGCTCACCTTTGACCTAGACGCAGCTACCCTTGAATGATCTAAGCCATGAGCGAGCACGATGATGACTAAAGTAGTTACTAAGTAATGCCTGGAGTCTTGTGCCCGCTTAACCCTGAAGTAAACTTCAGGGCATACCTACAGCGGGAATGCCTAGGTGCTTAAATCAATTTAGTAATGTAACACACACTAGGGCCCGGGGCTGTGCAACTTCTTTGGCCTGCGGCCTTATATTTGGGGTGGTATTAATTAATTCGAGCGTCAACGAATTTCACAGACTAGACGTATGTATGTACATCCAGCCCAAAGAGTCGAATAATTCATTGATTTAGATGTGTATTATCATAGAGAAGTGTGCGGATATTTTTTCGGATCTAACGTGCTTCGATCTCGCGCTTTGAAGTCAGTCAGTTACAGGCCCAGGCAGTACACTATTTAACCGATCCCCCACATTCTTGTGTTACAAAATGATGATGGCCGGGGTGGTAGAATACTAATTAATCGGGGGCTAAGCCGCCGCGTGAGTAATCTTTGTTGCCCGGTGAACTTCACAAAGTTCGCAACTACTGCAACTCTACATTAACTACATGTATGTACATGTACTTGTGTTTAGGTAAACTACATTTTGTTCGAGCTCTACAGATCCGAAGACGTTTTTATTTTTCTGTATGTACTTGCTACGAGAATAAGTTTCCGCCACCACTTTTGTGTTGCAACCGCATTTTCACGTACAAATTTGGCGGAAACTTATTCTCGCCGCAAGTACAAACAATCACTCGACTCATGATCAAGTGATATATATGGTTTAGTCTTTAGTAATCAACCAGATACACCCCCACGTCCTACTTACTAGCAGAGCCCTTTGTTGACAACTTACATGCAAGTCTGTACAGGCTCTTCGGGCACTGTACTAGGAACCTCGGGCTGTGTAAAGTGGTGACACACCCCGGTGCTACCTTTGGCTGTAGAAGGCCATGGGACTTGGATTCTAGCCAGCTAGTCAACGGGGTAAACTCATACACAAATCGAAAGCGCAGCCAGTACTTATAGGACATGAAATCCTTTGATCGCTCAGTTTCCTCTCAGACGATGAATCATTACAAATAAAATGTCGGGTTTTTTGAAACAATTCGGGGCATACAAATTCGATACCGAGTTTTTTGAAGGTTATTGCAAACATACTACCGGTGCAACTGCAAAAAAATGGAACAAGGGCAGAGTTCTGGGAAGGGGTAGTGGTGGTATAGTGTGGTTAGAGAAGGGGGATAAAGGTGAGGTTAGGGCCGTGAAACAAATATACAGGAGTACCATATCGGGATGCTCGCAAGAGTTACTTGCTTTGGCGGAATTGAAAACGGTATATATTGTACTTTGATTCTTATTATTTCGAAATTCGAAATGAGTACTAACATTGAAGTCTTGTCACCTATATAGTATCCTCAACACTTTGTGGAATTCTTCGGGTGGTTTGAGAAAGAAGAAAATATCTACCTTGCTATGGAATATGTCGAATGCGGAAATCTCTCAAGTTTTATTACAGGAAAGGGAGAAATTTCCGAAAACGTCGCAAAGTCGGTCACATCACAGCTCCTAGAAGGATTGAAGATCATGCATGCAAATAACTTTTGCCACCGGGATCTCAAGCCAGAGGTTGGTCTTCATAAATTGGAGTTTCCAGGTCTGATTAAACTAACCGAGAGCGCAGAACGTTCTTATCGCTACAAAGGAACCTTTGGTCGTCAAAATCGGGGATTTCGGTATTTCCAAAAAAAGAGCGGAATGGCACTCAATTACGCACTGCCGTGGGGACCCAGAAATACTCTGCGCCAGAGATTCTGGACGACTTTTTCGACACAGGAACATCAGTATATGACAATTCCGTTGATATATGGTCACTTGGGTGTCTAGTGCATACCATGCTTACCGGAGATACACCATTTAATACGTCCGAGCTTAACGACTATGCTCTGGGTAGGATTATGTTCCCGACTGCAAAACTTGTCGCGAAGAAAGCGCCCGCCGAAGCAATCGATTTCATTACCAGATTGCTAGCCCCACACCCAAAAGACCGGTTTACCACTCAGAAAGCCCTCCAAGAACCTTGGTTAGGTCCCAAAGATGCTATCTTCTGGATGAAAATTCTATGTGACCTGGAGCGGAAGTCATTCTTCATACCGATGATCCTGAACAAGAACAAGCCTATTGCAAAACCATTAGAGGGGAATGGCATGCTATTAGTTAAAGTGATCTTCTCGGGGACGGAAGATTCCATCAGATTAGCCCTGAGGAAGGGAAAGCTAACGAGATCTGAGGCCGAACCCGCGAGAGCTCTCCGCCTGGCAGTCGAGAAGGGAGACTTAAGCTTAGTGAGTCTACTTTTAGAGAATGGAGTAGAAGTCATGGTAAAAGAGAAAGATGGCTACACAGCACTGCATGTGGCGGCTATTATGGGAGGGGTAGATATATCAAAGTTGCTTCTGGACAAAGGAGCAGAAGTCTCTGCCACCGCCCACAAGGATGGAAAAACACCACTACACATGGCAGCGTATGGTGGCCATGTCGACGTAGCTGATTTGCTATTAAGAGCGGAGCGGATTTTGAAGTAAGGGCAAAAGACAAAGCAACAGCTTTGTACCTGGCCGCCCAGGAGGGTCATATCGCTATGGCAAAGTTTTTACTGGGCAAGGGGGCAGATATTGTATCTAAATATCCAAGACGGATACCATTATATTGTGCAGCTCACAACGGACACACCAAAATGGTGAAGCTTCTTCTCGAGAAAGGAGCAGATATTGCAGCAAAATCTGAGGAAGGTTGGACCATATTGCACGACGTGGCCCACCAGGGTAATACCACCATGGTAAAACTACTCCTACAGAAAGGCGCAGATATCACCCTGAAGACAAAAGACGGAAGTACTGCACTCCACATAGCCTCACTGGAAGGTCACACTGAGATGGTAAAGCTTTTGCTTAAGAATGGGGCGAAGGTTTCGGCCAAAACAATTCTAGGACTGACGGCATTGCACTTTGCAGCTCGACATGGCCTCAAAGAAATAGCAAAGTTACTCCTTGATAATGGCGCAGATGTCACGATCAAAACGACTCAAGAATGGACGGCATTGCATAATGCAGCTCACAAGGGACATACTGCCGTCGCAAACCTACTCATTAATCGCGGAGCGGACGTTACCGCAAAGACAGAAAACGCTCACACGGCGATATACCTCGCTGTTAGCCAGAACCATGTCGAGATGGTGAAATTGCTACTGAAGAACAAAAAGTCAGATGTAGAGACTAGGTCAGACAAAGAATTGGCACCATTGCACAGCGCGGCCCATAAAGGCTATGCCATTATGGTAAAGCTACTTCTTGCAAACGGGGAAAACCTTGAGGCAAAGATGAAAGAGAAGACCACAGCCCTGTACTTGGTGGCCAAAAGGGGGGACATCGCGATGGCAAAATTACTTCTGGAAGAAAAGGCAAACATCGAAGCCAAATCCGATCTAGGATGGACACCATTATACGCCGCTGCACATCAAGGACACGATGATATGGTAAAGCCACTGTTAAAAAAAGGAGCGAATATTGCAGCAAAATCCAGCGAAGGATGGACGGCATTGCACGATGCATCTCATAAGGGTCACGATTCCACGCTAAAACTATTATTGAAAAACGGGGCGGACATTGTAGCAAAATCGGCCGGAGGACGGACAACCTTACACGAAGCAGCCAACCGGGGGCTTACTGATATGGCCAAGTTACTGTTGAAAAATGGGGCAAAGGTTTCAGAGAAAACAGATAAAGGATGGACAGCTCTACATAGTGCCGCACATCAGGGACATATCGGCGTGGCAGGGCTACTTCTCACTAGCGGTGCGGAAATTTCAGTAAAGACAAATAACGGAGCGACAGTGCTTTACCTAGCTGCCCAAGGCCACAAAAGTATGGTGGGGTTTCTGCTAGACCATGGAGCAGAAGGCTGGGTAGCATTGCATATGGGTGTCGAAAAGGGTCAAAGTTCTATTGTGAGATTGCTGCTAGAGGGTGGAGTAAAAGCAACGACGAAGGACAAAGACGGAAAGACAGCTCTGCATGTAGCTGTTACAAACGGCTATTATGGTATCGTGACATTGTTAATTGCGCATGGAGCTAAGATCGATGAACAGAGGAATGATGGATACGCCCTATTGCACGTGGCGGCCCATAAGGGGGATGAAAGAGCAGTAGATCTGTTGTTGAGGAAGGGGGCCAAAACTGCAGTAAAGACTTTAGATAAATGGACACCACTCCACGAGGCAGCTCATAAGGGACACGAAGGTGTCGTGAGGTTACTGCTTGACGGGGGGGCGGGTGTTGCTGCGAAGACCTCCGACGGATGGACGGCGCTTCATGAGGCGGCTTCCCGGGGGCAAAATGGCGTAGTGAAATTGTTACTGAACAGCGGAGTAGATACTGAGGCGAGGAATTCAGCTGGATGGTCACCACTTCATGAGGCGGCACGCGAAGGACACAAAGAGGTCGCAGAATTGCTCCTGAGGAATGGGGCAAATCTCTCAGCAAAGACATTAGACGGATGGACACCACTTCTTGTAGCGGTCGATAAGGGCCGAAAAGACACGGTTGAGTTACTATTAAACTATGGAGCAGATCCTACGGCGAAGACTAGTGCGCAGATTGGAGAATATACCTCTTTACATCTTGCGGTCCAAAGAAAACGAAAGGATATCATTTTGTTACTTATCTCCCATGAGGCTCAATGGAAAACAAAGGATAAAAAAGGGCGGACAGTGCTTGATATAGCCATCGAGGATGGTAGCAAGGATATAGTGGAGTTATTGAGGCAAAATCTGGGTATAAATAGAGTTCGAATTTGGATGATCAGTGGCCAAGAGTCAGGTTGGATTTTGCCTGTTTAGGTTTTCGTTATCTTCCTCTTCTCGATCTTTTTTTTTTTTTGTTTGTTTATATTCAATTCCTTTTTGTTTCTTACCCTTCTCCTTATTTTTCGATGTTGGTATATATCGTTCATGAGGTACTTGACTTGTTTTTTGGTTTTCTGGTAGGCGTTTTTATTCCCCGTTTATTTTCTATTCTAAGTTCATAGGTGTTGGTGGTGCGTAGTATTTTCCTTTTAGGTCTGGGGAGTGTATGTATATCACTTGTCGATGGGAGTGGAAGATTTCATAGTAGGTTTGAGCTATTTTATGTTTTTGTGGTTTTAATCATTTCCAGTCCTTGAAGGGCTTAGGGCCGCTTAGGGAGTGGAATTATTTGTCATCATGGTAATAGTTCTACGAGAATACCTACGGTCAAAATGAGATGCAGAGGTAAAATAGCTAAGTCTACGCGACAAAGTCAACCTCTACATATATGTAAATATATTTACTAAGGCATATTACTTCTAAACTTTAAAATTTGACTTGGTATTTCATAGCATTAGTAGCTAGGCGGAGTACTCTACTATAGCTTTAATTATTATGTAAGGCGGGGAAACCCACTAGAGCCTCACAAATTGAACCTAAGCTTCTACATAGCAACCTTCAAATACAATGTCAGCAACCTCTGAACACGAGGCCCGAGCCTCATCGCTTGCTATCAAATCTCTCGAATATCTTAAAACCGGCAGTCACGATGCAAGCACTCCTACCCACACAATGCGCGAAAAAACCATCTAACCGTTAGCATTCAGGACGCAATCCGTTCCTTGCGTGAGGCCCTCTCCTTAGCGCCTCGTAACGAAACAGTGCTACACGCATTCCACGATTTTCAGAAAGACCAAAATGTTCCTCCAGTTTCGCGACTTTGCCAGAAGCTCGTTGTTGAATCATCGCCTGGTGCGGGCAAAGAAGTGTTAAGGGCATTGAAAGATCCAAATCTTAGTTTACAGCCTTCGACAGCTACTGAATGTCTTGAATTGCTTCTCGCACATGCCGATACTATGCCTTCTCCCGAAGGAGGTGAAGTAGTGGGTGGCATTCTGAAAGCTAGTAGAGGCGGGAGGGAACATTTGACCGACCTACTAGAGAGAGATGCTGTTCAAGTGTTGAATAAATTTATGGGGCTTGGGGGAGCTGCCGTTGATGGGCTCGTAGTGGTGCTTCTAGACCCTGCGGCTTGGAAGGTGGTAGAAAAGAAGAACAAGTGCTTGAGAGAGTGTTTTAAAGCCTTTCTCCAGAACTTGAAGCTTCGAGAGAAGGATAAACAATTAGCAACCGTAAGATCAGTGGCAAGGTTACTCGCAGCACATGCAGACGAGCTGCATACTTTCGTAGGGCAAGAAGCATTGGAGAGATTGCTGGAGATGTTGGATATAAATTCAGCAGAGGATTTGCGATCTCATGCTACACTAGCAACAGCAAAGTTTGTGGAGGCCGATGAAGCAGTTGCGGCGAGTATGCTGGGGAGGTTTATGCTTTCTCGGTTGGCTGAAGACTCAGACGACGACCTCCGGATTGCGTTTTCGGCTGCGGCAGCGATATTTCCGCTTGTGCCAACTGTAGGAGCACAGCTGTTCATGACCGATGGATTTGTCGAAGGGATTATTCCGAGCCTGCAAGGTCGCCCAGGGGATGTTGAAAAAGCGGCGCTGGAAATGATGAACGCGGCATGTGTGGATAAGAACTGCAGGGCTGCTGTTGCGGGGCAATGCGAGGGCTATTTGGAAGCGGTGTCAAAAAGTACAGAGGGCACAGGGAAAGCCATCGCTTCCACAATTCTTGCAAAAGTACGATTTGGCGTCGGAGAGCCAGGAACTTTGCCAAAAGGGATTGATGAATTGGCAGCGGTGTTCAAAAATATGATACTGCAAGAGGACGCCGACTCACGACATTCATCGGTAGAAGGCCTGGCATATGCCACACTCAAAGCATCAGTCAAACAATCTCTCTGCAAGGACAAATTATTCGTCAAGAATCTTCTAGAAACAATAAAGGACACTTCCAGCAAACCAACAGTAATGTTCGGCGGTTTAACTGTTATAAATAATCTTACATCATACCTCCCTTCGTTGTCAGAAGAGCAGAAAAAAGTCGCCCAGCTCAAGAATTATGCGAACGCTACCCCCAAAGCCAAGACAGAGCCCGATGTAGGCGACAAGGACCCTGCTGTAACAGAGCGCTGTAAAATACTTCTTGAAGCTGGTATTATTCCGGTTCTTATTGCATGCATCCGAAAAATTTCACAGAATGCTATTGCAATCGTTACCAACATTCTTTTATCACTCAGTCAACACCAGAAACATCGTGGTCTTATTGCACAGCAAGGCGGCGTCAAGCTTCTCCTCCAATTCTATTCAGCGGTAACAGGAGATACGTCTCAAGATAGGCAGATAAAACAGGCATGCTCGCACGCACTTGCACGGGTCCTAGTATCCACAAATCCGTCACATGTATTCTCGTCGCAACTCCCAGTGGCATCAGCTGTGCGTCCGCTCCTGGCACTGCTAGATAACTCAGATGATCAACCCACCCTTCTCCCGGTCTTTGAAGCACTTCTTGCACTTACAAACCTGGCTTCAACTGATGATTCCACTCGCGATCTTATCATCCGTATTGGCTGGCAGAAAATCGAAGAGACCATGCTCTCATCAAATTCAATGGTTCAGCGTGCCACTGTTGAATTGGTTTGTAACCTCATGGCATCCCCAGCCGGAGTTGAAAAGTTTGCAGACGGATCCAAGAGTGCTGGTAATAGGCTTCATATCCTCCTCGCCCTAGCAGACTCGGAGGATCTAGCAACTAGACGAGCAGCAGGAGGCGCACTGGCAATGTTGACGGAGTGGGATAAAGCGTGTGAAGCAATCATGAATAGGGAGAGGGGTGTGGAGATACTTTTGGCAATGGTATCGGAGGACAATGAAGAAGTGAGACATAGAGGTGTGGTCTGTGTAAGGAATTTGGTATGCGGGGGTGGAGAATATGTCGGAAAGTTCAAAGCCGCCGAAGGAGTGAATGTCGTCAGAGAGGCACTGAGAGGCACAAGAAATCCGGAAGTTCTCTCAGTTGGAGTAGAGGCATTGAAGGTTTTGATGCAGGAGTAGATGAGATACATTTGTTAGTGTGGTAGGGCAGTGATTCCTGTGGATGCCTTGTAATGCTGGCTATGTGGTGCTATGACCTTCTTACACACGTTACGTAGCATACGTTACATTTATGTAGTTCATTTTCACTTCACTTCAATGTCATTTCAGTTCAGTCTACTTCATACGTGTAGTCAATGGAAAACACCAACCTCCTTTCCACCAGTACTTACCTTACCGTCGAAACGGGTAAAATAATAAGGCTGATTTTGAGCTCTAAGACGTAGAAAAGCCTTAAATAAGGCATATATCTCAAAAAAGCAAAAAATAAGCGTGTTTTAGGCAAAAGCATGATATTTGCTTAATATTACCACCAAATAAGACTCTTTTAAGGCCTTTACTAGTATTAGGATTACTAAATAAATAAGCATTATGGAAATTCGTCAGGATTATAGGCATTTACGGGTGCTAAGGCTGGGTTAGGGTTAGGCACTTAGCAAATATTAAACAGTGTTCTTCCATCTGTTCTTTGACACCCCACATCTACCTCTCTATCACCTCCGTCCCCTCTACTCTCCTAACCATCCCCCCCCCCCCCCCCCCCCCACATCTCCCAATCGTCAAAATTAATATCAAAACATGAGCTAATCAGCGAATCCAGCAGCAGCAGCAGCAGCGAATCGAGCACCAAATCGAGCACCAAATACAGCACCAAATACAGCACCCAATGCAGCACCAAATCCACCCAATTGAGCGAAATAGGTCGATAGGCAGGTAGGCAGGTAGGCAGATAGGCCGATAGGCAGCTGCAGGTAGGCAGGTAGGCAGGTGGGCCGATAGGCAGCTGCAGGTAGGCAGGTAGGCAGGTAGGCAGGTAGGCAGGTAGGCAGGTAGGAAGGTGCGTAGGCGGGGAGATAAATAGATTGTCTTAAATCAATGTACATATTAAATTCAGTATTGATAAAAACTTTATTTCCGAAATTCACTATGGCGAATAAATGTAAAAGTATACCTATCAGGCTATCATGCTGATCTCACGAATAAACATTATTCAGCCTTATTTTTCAAAAATACCTTAAATAAGACTGATCAAGCTCAATAAGCCTGAAAAAAATTAATTCTTAGCGAAACCATAGTCTAATAAGGACTTTAAAAAGCAATAAGAGAAAATCGTCAAAAAAGGCAAATATCATGCTTATTTAAGCCTAAAATAAGACTTAAAAAAATACCCGTTTCGACGGTAAGGTAGTACTTAAGATCATGAAAGATACAAGGTATGAATCATGACATATCACTCGTTAGTTGATGAAATGCGTATGATTGATTTATTGATTGATTGATAAAATGTGTGTTGTGACTAGCCCTCTTTCAAATTAAAGTGCTAGTTCGGTAATCCCGGCCGGCCTCTTGCCTCAGTTAACTCGTGAATCTGAGTTTGGTATAAATCGGGATGTGGGAGCTCAAGTGTTCCGGGAAGAAGTATCTAGCACACACTCCCAGTATTTAGAAACGTTGAACCCGGTATTCCGAAATCGATTCTGTGCTGGTTTAATCAAATATCTTCACGGGATCCTTAATTGAATCGTGACCTTAGATTACAAACCCCTACCATCGTGTACCTTCAAATCGCCGGAGCGTTTGACCCATCATCTTCAATCTTCTATGTCAGCAGTTGGGAGTACTTGATTTGTAGGCCTTGTATTCCGACTTATCAACCTTATACTTTGAGGATTTTACTTATGATCTGTCATGAACTGCTTGATCAATTGCTCAAATTTCTTTATTCCGTCTTAATCGGGGAGATGAAAGAAGCAAAATCTACCGAGAATAGAAAAGAGGCGAAAGATTTTATATCACGCTGTTAAGTATCGCTATATTCTTATCTCACACTAAGCTGTG